ATCCTGTCTGGACTCCGAACGTATCCTCTTATCCTGGTCATGCCAGTGCCTACTGTAGCCTGCCTATCAAACCTCCTCTCTTCTCTGATGTAGGTCCCCAGTGTAGCTTAATACATTTTCAATTAGACCGCGCCACTGTGGGTTTACTCGCTTCTGGCTTATTGATATTAATGTGATGTGTTGCTAATGGTAAAATAAAGATTGTGATTGATGTAGAAACAACCACTTTGTCATAGGTGAGACATAGAGCCACAAACAGGAGCTCTAAGCTTCAATCAGGCACTCATTTCTGGTATGCCTCCTGAATACTTTTTCAATGTCTGACATGATTGACTAATCCCTCCTCATCTAATCCTACATTTTGGTCGGCAGGAATCCGCATAGAATGGCTAGGGAGCTTCATGGGAGCTTCCTGCTGGGATTGGACGCACACTGTGTCCCATTTAAAAAAGATATATCCCACTGACTGATTTCTCAAATCCTCTCCATCCAACCCAGTAGATGTTTTATCATGATTATATTAGGGGAAATAGTTTTTAAATAGTTTTGCTCAAATATGGGTCAACGTAGTGGGGGGTGTTATTTTCTCAGATATTTTCCACTCAACTTAAACTGTACGGTATCTTCCTCACCCTCCCTTTGGCAAATCAGACCATAACTATATTCTCATGCTTCCTGCTTACAAGCAAAAACTCAAACAGGAAGTACCAGTGACGTGCTCAATACGGGATTGGTCCGATGAAGCGGATGCTAAGCTACAAGACTGTTTCGCTAGCAAAGACTGGAATATTTTCCGGGATTCATTTGATAACATTGAGGAGTTTACCACATCAGTCACCAGCTTCATTAATAAGTGCATCGATAACGTTGTCCCCACAGTAACCATACGTACATACCCGAACCAGAAGCCATGAATTACAGGCAACATCCGTACTGAGCTAAAGGCTAGAGCCGCCGCTTTCTAGGAGCGGGACACTAATCCGGACCCTTATAAGAAATCCCACTACGACCTCCGATGAGCCATCAAACAGGCAAAGCGTTAATACAGGACTAAGATCGAATCATACTACCCCAGCTCTGACATTCGCAAGGCCGCAGGGCCAGACGAAATACCAGGACGCGTACTCAGAGCATGCACTGAATGCATCCGAATGGATGTTATTATTCGAATATGAGTATGAGTATTCATATTTGCGGCCCAAAACATTATAGGCCTATTTTAACACTGAAAAGGCTTTTTTCTACATTTCATTAAAATATCCATGTGACATCGTTACATACAAGGATACACCATGACATTTCAAATTATTAATTGAATAAAACGACAAACTTTTCAATGTATTTTTATGACGTGAGCACCATAAAAAAGACCGGTAGCTGGCCGGTAGCCTTCACGTGTGTAGCTTGTTGTTTATGTCGGCCAATCAAATTGCCAAAGAGGCTCAATGTGTAGCAAGTGGAGTGAGAGTTCACCAATGCATTGTAAGATTGAATAAAATTACGGAATTAAAAGTTAGCAAAATGAGAAGGAGTAGGCTACAACGAGTAACCAACAGGTAGGCTGTTGTTTTATCTGAATTGGATTTGCGAGAAAGTGCAGCATGATGTGGCCTCAATTAGCCTAGCTAGCTATAGCTTTTGTAGACTACTCCAGTCAAGATCGACACTGTTCGCTCAATTTCAGTTTATGTGAGAAAACATTTTGCGAGCCAATGCTAACTAGCATTAGCGCAATGACTGGAAATCTATGAGTATCTGCTAGACATAAAAATGATATCCACGAGTTCATCTGACTCTGGGGAAGTAGATAAAGGGCCTCATTGCCAAAATCCCAAAGTATCCCTTTAAATACTCTACCCATGCATTTGACCAATGAGAAACAGCCCTTTATATTTAACCACATTATTATCAATAAATAAACATGCTTCTCATCAAATGTAAATCATCATCAGTGTCTGGTTATTCATATAGGCATGTCTTTAGATTAAGTGACGGAGGACGTAGAACAATTGTCACATCCACACACTCCAGCCACCAAATCCATAGACTGTTCTCTCTGCTGGCGCATGGCAAGCGGTACCAGTGCACCAAGTCTGGAACCAACAGGACCCTGAACAGCTAATCATATGGCTACCCGGACTACCTGCATTTGCACTAATTCTCTTGCACAGACTCTACCCACACACACACAAACATACTTACGCTGACACACATACGCTACTGGTCAAAAGTTTTAGAACACCTACATTTACATTTTAGTCATTTAGCAGACGCTCTTATCCAGAGCGACTTACAGTTAGTGAGTGCATACATTTTCATACTTTTTTCATACTGGCCCCCCGTGGGAAACAAACCCACAACCCTGGCATTGCAAGCGCCATGCTCTACCAACTGAGCTACACGGGGCCTACTCATTCAAGGGTTTTTCTTTATTTTTTATATTTTCAACATTGTAGAATAATAGTGAAGACATCAAAACGATGAAATAACACATATGGAATCATGTAGTAACCAAAAAAGTCACTCTCCTTCTTGGTAAAATAGCCATTACACAGCCGGAGGTGTGTTGGGTCATTGTCCTGTTGAAAAACAAATGATAGTCCCACTAAGCCCAAACCAGATGGGATGGCGTATTGCTGCAGAATGCTGTGGTAGCCATGCTGGTTAAGTGTGCCTTGAATTCTAAATAATTCACAGACAGTGTCACCAGCAAAGCACCACTACACCATAACACCTCCTCCTGCATGCTTTACGGTGGGAACTACACATGCGGAGATCATCCGTTCACCCACACCGTGTCTCACAAAGACACGGCGGTTGGAACCAAAAATCTCCAATTTGGACTCCAGACCAAAGGACACATTTACACCGGTCTAATGTCCATTGCTCGTGTTTCTTGGCCCAAGCTAGTTTCTTCTTATTATTGGTGTCCTTTAGCAGTGGTTTTTTTGCAGCAATTCGACCATGAAGGCCTGATTCAGTCTCCTCTGAACAGTTGATGTTGTGATGTGTCTGTTACTTGAACTCTGTGAAGCATTTATTTGGACTGCAATTTCTGAGGCTGGTAACTCTAATGAATTTATCCTCTGCATCAGAGGTAACTCTGGGTCTTCTATTCCTGTGGCGGCCCTCATGAGAGCCAGTTTCATCATAGCGCTTGATGGTTTTTGCGACTGCACTTGCAAAAAAGTTCTTGAACTTTTCCAAATTGACTGACCTTCATGTCTTAAAGTAATGATGGACTGTCGTTTCTCTCTGCTTATTTGAGCTGTTCTTGCCATAATATGGACTTGGTCTTTTACCAAATAGGGCTATCTTCTCTATACCCCTCCTACCTTGTCACAACACAACTGATAGGCTCAAACACATTAAGAAGGAAATACATTCCACAAATTAACTTTTAAGAAGGCACACCTGTTAATTGAAATGCATTCCAGGTGACTACCTCATGAAGCTGTTTGAGAGAATGCCAAGAGTGTGCAAAGCTGTCATCAAAGCAAAGGGTGGCTATTTGAAGAATCTCAAATATAAAATATATTTTGATTTGTTTAATACTTTTCTGGTTACTATATGATTCCATATGTGTTATTTCATAGTTTTGATGTCTTCACTATAATTCTACAATGTAGAAAATAGTAAAAATAAAGAAAAACCCTTGAATGAGTATGTGTTCTAAAACTTTTGACCGGTATTGTACACTACATATGCCCACACACACAATACGCACACTCATGCATACTGACGCAACACACACTCACTCACACTTTCACACTCACCACATACGCTGCTGCTACTGTCTTATCTATCCTGTTGCCTAGTCACTTTATCCATACCTATATGTACATAGCTACCCTAATTACCTCGTACCCCTGCACATCACATCGATTCAGTACTGGTACTGCCTGTATATAGCCATGTTATTTTTACTCTTTATTGTTATTCACTGTGTATTTATTCCTCATGTCACTATTATGATTATTTTTATCTTATCTTTAACTCTACATTGTTGGAAAAGGACCCGTAAGTAAGCATTTCACTGTTAGTCTACATTTGTTGTTTACAAAGCATGTGACAAATAAAAATGTATTTGATTTGATTTTGCCAGTGTCTGTGATATATCAATTCAGCTCACTCCTCTTTTCCTTACTGTAGTTTCTATATTCCGGTAGAGTAATCCAGTAAATCTTGTTCCTCTGAATATCCCTGGACTCAGACTCTGTTTTCTTCATCTCACATACTAGCAAGGAAACGCGTAAAAATATGCAAACACTCAATGAAGCGCCTAGGGATGCTCACTCATTAACATCCATTGGTTCCTGAGCCGAATGGACAGATGTTCCTGTTCTGCTTGCCGAAGCCACAAATCCTTTCTAACAGACTTAAGTCTAGCAGCACAAAACATACTTCTTAGAAATAAATACTCAGTATAGTATTTGAGGCACAGCTTTGGAGGACAGCACTCAGCTACCTACAGACCCAACTATACCTACTGCACACACACTCATAGATTAACTCTCTCTTTCTTTCTCTACACAGACACCCACACACACACCTACACACTCCTAAACATGTTCCAATGACCATCCCCTCTGATATCACTTTGATTATGCAGCTGTAGAGATGGGTGTTCCTGCAGCTCCTCAGCCAACGCTTGGGGTGGGACTCACCATGTCCATCTGCTCATGACCGGCAGTGTGAAACATACCCACACACTGAAATAATATGATTCACTCATCAGCGATTCTTCAGCGTGTGAGAGTATGTCATTCAAGGTCACACCCAAACCCTGCCCCCGCTCCTCTAGCTTCCCAATGCTGTATATTTTACCTACACCTAATCCCAAACAGCTCACAACTCACTCAAAATACTGTATAAGGCCATTAACCAGAGTGTCCTACTTCTCTCTAGTCCTCTAAAAGGGATTGTGTTTTTTATGTGGAGCTGAAAATATACCTGGTTTTGATGTCTCTATTTTCTTGTCTGTTCCTTCCTCTTTTAGGGGCCTGTTTGCGAGCCATTACACTGAGACACATTATCTGGAGGATGGCAGTGCAGTCACTGGAGCTCACAACTATACGGTAGGCTGGAGGTCGAGTGTTTCTGACATTCATGTTTGACTGAACGTTGTGTGCTGCTGACTTTAAAGGATGGACCTTTAAAGATGTCATGTAAACTGTTGTTTCAAATTGCCCTCCGGTAATGTTGAGGACACATGTCTGAATTATAGACATGGCATTTGCATCCAAGTGATCAAATGTTGTCATCCAGTAAATGGAGAATGACTAACTTAGTTTTCAGTGGGGAATATCTGTACAGTTATTAGCATACATCCAAATTGACATGTAGACCTAACAATTGGTGAATTGATACAGGGTTAGGTAACTTAAGGGGAGTCAGGTATCAATATATTTACATTATTGCACAAAGCACAGTGCTTGTAAGTCCTCCAGGACCAGAACATGCTAAATTTCAATGGCTGTCGAGGCCATTTGGCTTTGTTAGCTTACAGTTTGATTTACAGTAGTTAGCTACTGTAACTACGCAGATGCTATTGCCAGGTCTCACATCTTGGTCAACTGAACTTTTGCTACTCTTCCTTAAAGTAATTAGCTCAACTGTTGAAGGTTTGACAAAGGACAGCACAGCAGCTTTTCTAGGCCAGCCTTCAGGTACAACATGTTGAAGCATTCTGGGATAACCAAGCCAACCAAGCCTCATTAATGATTTTCAAAAGCCTTTCGCTTAGTTAGCAGACTTGTTCCCCCTTCACAGTTGGAGTGAGATTGAAAATATGACTTAATTGAGCAGAGGTGAGGACAGCTTGACAGGCGCTTGGCAGTTGGAAAGGAAAATGCTTTGTGATTTGACACTGATTGACAATCTAATTTCCTCAAAGCTAAACTGTCCGAATACCCATACTTGCATTCTAAATAGTAGGTTGAATGGGTATGTTAAAATATAACATTCTATAGTATGTGAAGTTTCTCAAATTGAGTATGCTTTAAATGCCAGGACATCGTACCTTTTTTAGACTTTTCAGAAGTTTGACATATGAAAAACCAACTGTCAAAAACCACTTATTTTGAAAGTAGATTACCTTGTATCTGGCTGCTATTTTCATTTAAAAGGTCCCTATCCAAAACACAGCTGAAAGTATTTATGGACATTAAAAAGCCATAAATTGGTACACACTCAACAAATGAATCACAGTGTCCTAAAGAAAGATGAAGAAGCTAAGGTAAATGCTAAACCTAGCGTTTCCCAATATACAATATCGGTCAAATGTTTTAGAACACCTACTCATTCAAGGGTTTTTCTTTATTTTTACTATTTTCTACATTGTAGAATAATAGTGAAGACATCAAAACTATGAAATAACACATATGGAATCATGTAGTAACCAAAAAAGTGTTAAACAAATCAAAATATATTTTATATTTGAGATTCTTCAAATAGCCACACTTTGCCTTGATGACAGCTTTGCACACTATTGGCATTCTGTCAACCAGCTTCACCTGGAATGCTTTTCTAACAGGCTTGAAGGAGTTTCCACATATGCTGAGTACTTGTTGGCTGCTTTTCCTTCACTCTGCTGTCCAACTCATCCCAAACCATCTCAATTTGGTTGAGGTCGGGGGATTGTGGAGGCCAGGTCTTCTGATGCAGCACTCCATCACTCTCCTTCTTGGTAAAATAGCCCTTACACAGCCTGGAGGTATCGCTGCAGAATGCTGTGGTAGCCATGCTGGTTAAGTGTGCCTTGAATTCTAAATAAATCACAGAGAGTGTCACCAGCAAAGCACCCGTACACCTCTTCCTCCATGCTTTACGGTGGAAACAACACATGCAGAGATCATCCGTTCACCCACACCGCGTCTCACATAGACACGGCGGTTGTAACCAAAAATCTCAAATTTGGACTCCAGACCAAAAGACACATTTCCACCGGTCTAATGTCCATTGCTCGTGTTTCTTGGCCCAAGCAGGTCTCTTATTATTATTGGTGTCCTTTAATAGTGATTCCTTTGCAGCAATTCGACCATGAAGGCCTGATTCACACAGTCCCCTCTGAACAGTTGATGTTGAGATGTGTCTGTGACTTGAACTCTGTGAAGCATTTATTTGGGCTGCAATTTCTGAGGCTGGTAACTCTAATGAACTTATCCTTTGCAGCAGAGGTAACTTTGGGTCTTCCATTCCTGTGGCGGTCCACATGAGAGTCAGTTTCATCATAGCGCTTGATGGTTTTTGCGACTGCACTTGAAGAAACTTTCAAAGTTCTTGAAATGTTCCGTATTGACTGACCTTCATGTCTTAAAATAATTATGAACTGTCGTTTCTCTTTGCTTATTTGAGCTGTTCTTGCCATAATATGGACTTGGTCTTTTACCAAATAGGGCTATCTTCTGTACACCCCCCTCCCCTAACTTGTCACAACACAACTGATTGGCTCAAACACATTAAGAAGGAAATATATTCCACAAATGTACTTTTAAACACGGCACACCTGTTAATTGAAATGCATTCCAGGTGACTACTTCATGAAGCTGGTTGAGAGAATGCCAAGAGTGTGCTGTCATCAAGGCAAAGGGTGGCTATTTGAAGAATCTCAAATATAACATATATTTGGATTTGTTTAACACTTTTTTGGTTACTACATGATTCCATATGTGTTATTTCATAGTTTTCAAATAAAATAAAATCCAATTATATTGGTCACATACACGTGTTTAGCAGATGTTATTGCGGGTGTAGCGAAATGCTTGTGTTTCTAGCTCCGACAGTGCAGTAATATCTAACAAGTAATATCTAACAATTTCACAACATACAGTGGGGAGAACAAGTATTTGATACACTGCCGATTTTGCAGGTTTTCCTACTTACAAAGCATGTAGAGGTCTGTAATTTTTATCATAGGTACACTTCAACTGTGAGAGACGGAATCTAAAACAAAAATCCAAAAAATCACATTGTATGATTTTTAAGTAATTAATTTGCATTTTATTGCATGACATAAGTATTTGATACATTAGAAAAGCAGAACTTAATATTTGGTACAGAAACCTTTGTTTGCAATTACAGAGCTCATACGTTTCCTGTAGGTCTTGACCAGGTTTGCAGAGACTGCAGCAGGGATTTTGGCCCACTCCTCCATACAGACCTTCTCCAGATCCTTCAGGTTTAGGGGCTGTCGCTTGGCAATACGGACTTTCAGCTCCCTCCAAAGATTTTCTATTGGGTTCAGGTCTGGAGACTGGCTAGGCCACTCCAGGACCTTGAGATGCTTCTTACGGAGCCACTCCTTAGTTGCCCTGGCTGTGTGTTTCGGGTCGTTGTCATGCTGGAAGACCCAGCCACGACCCATCTTCAATGCTCTTACTGAGGGAAGGAGGTTGTTGGCCAAGATCTCGCGATACATGGCCCCATCCATCCTCCCCTCAATATGGTGCAGTCGTCCTGTCCCCTTTGCAGAAAAGCATCCCCAAAGAGTGATGTTTCCACCTCCATGCTTCACGGTTGGGATGGTGTTCTTGGGGTTGTACTCATCCTTCTTCTTCCTCCGAACACGGCGAGTGGAGTTTAGACCAAAAAGCTATATTTTTGTCTCATCAGACCACATGACCTTCTCCCATTCCTCCTCTGGATCATCCAGATGGTCATTGGCAAACTTCAGACGGGCCTGGACATCCGCTGGCTTGAGCAGGGGGACCTTGCGTGCGCTGCAGGATTTTAATCCATGACGGCGTAGTGTGTTACTAATGGTTTTCTTTGAGACTGTGGTCCCAGCTCTCTAAAGGTCATTGACCAGGTCCTGCCGTGTAGTTCTGGGCTGATCCCTCACCTTCCTCATGGTCATTGATGCCCCACGAGGTGAAATCTTGCATGGAGCCCCAGACCGAGGGTGTTTGACCGTCATCTTGAACTTCTTCAATTTTCTAATAATTGCATCAACAGTTGTTGTCTTCTCACCAAGCTGCTTGCCTATTGTCCTGTAGCCCATCCCAGCCTTGTGCAGGTCTACAATTTTATCCCTGATGTCCTTACACAGCTCTCTGGTCTTGGCCATTGTGGAGAGGTTGGAGTCTGTTTGATTGAGTGTGTGGACAGGTGTGTTTTATACAGGTAACGAGTTCAAACAGGTGCAGTTAATACAGGTAATGAGTGGAGAACAGGAGGGCTTCTTAAAGAAAAACTAACAGGTCTGTGAGAGCCGGAATTCTTACTGGTTGGTAGGTGATCAAATACTTATGTCAAGCAATAAAATGCAAATTAATTACTTAAAAATCATACAATGTGATTTTCTGGATTTTTGTTTTAGATTACGTCTCTCACAGTTGAAGTGTACCTATGATAAAAATTACAGACCTCTACATGCTTTGTAAGTAGGAAAACCTGCAAAATCGGCAGTGTATCAAATACTTGTTCTCCCCACTGTATACCCAATACACACAAATCTAAGTAAAACAATGGAATTAAGAATATTTATATAAATACATGGACGAGCAATGTCAGAGCGGCATTGACTAAGATACAGTAGAATAGTATATAGAATACAGTATATACATATGAGATGAGTAATGCAAGATTATTATTATTAAAGTGACTAGTGTTCCATTTATTAAAGTGGCCAGTGATTTCTAATCTATCTATATAGGCAGCAGCCTCTAATGTGCTAGTGAAGTCTATTTAACAGTCTGATGGCCTTGATATAGAAGCTGTTTTCTGTCTCTCGGTCCCAGCTTTGATGCACCTGTAGTGACCTCGCCTTCTGGATATGATAGCGGGGTGAACAGGCAGTGGCTCGGGTGGTTGTTGTCCTTGATGATCTTTTTGGCCTTCCTGTGAAATCGGGTGCTGTAGGTGTCCCGGAGGGCTGGTAGTTTGCCCCCGGTGATGCGTTGGGCAGACCGCACCACCCTCTGGAGAGCCTAGAGTTTAATGTAATGGAAGTGAAGGCCATTAAGCCTAGCTGGTGACTCAGCAATGTATATTATATATTCATAGCAATGCTTTTTAAAATAGTTTCACATAAAGAGTCTCATTCCTTTCAGAGAAGTAAGGGAGTCTCTTTTGGAGTCAAGTCAACACAGCTGAAGTGATTGTGTAAAAGTATGAACTGGCTACGGAAAATGCCAGCCTCAAGTATTTCCTCACAGTTCAGTATTGACATTCATTATTTTTCGAACTGACTTTTGGCTAACAAATCAGTTGGTCTTGGAGGGATTAGTGTAGACTTGAAAGAAGCCTGTCAGCCATAATACAGAGGTTTGTTTTCACTCCAAACCAGACACTTCCTCCTCATCATACTGTCTCAGACAGACAGTAGCTACATTATGTCTCTGTACACTTAGATGGCTTCCTTTCCACTTCTCCTTTCCATGGTTGACCATGGGTGAAACCAAAGATAAGTATAGGGTAAATCCATTTGAATTCAATCACTTTTTGACAGCATCCCTTTTGATTTAAACAAGACATTCCATACATGTTTGCCCATGGAAGAAGTGGTCAGAAAGTGACATTTTGGACCTGAATGTCAAAACATTCAGGAGATGAAGGTGTTCAAAGTTGACCCATTTTGCGTACCATACCATGAAACATCCATGTCTTCATCACTGGAAAAGATTAACGATTTAGTTTATATAATTTAAAAGCTTACAAACAGCTTTGTCAAACTATTTCATAATTTCAACAACATCAAAAAATTGAATACAAATTGTCATTTTCTTACCTTTAACATTTACATTTACGTCATTTAGCAGATGCTCTTATCCAGAGCAACTTACAAATTGGTGCATTCAACTTATGATAGCCAGTGGGACAACCACCATTTTTTATATTTTTTTTATGGGGGATGGGGGAAGAAGGATTACTTTACACTATTCCAGGTATTCCTTAAAGAGGTAGGGTTTCAAGTGTCTCCGGAAGGTGGTCAGTGACTCCGCTGTCCTGGCGTCGTGGGGGAGCTTGTTCCACCATTGGGGTGCTAGAGCAGCGAATAGCTTTGACTGGGTTGAGCGGGAACTGTGCTTCTGTAGAGGTAGGGGAGCTAGCAGGCCAAAGGTGGATGAACGTAGTGCCCTCGTTTGGGTGTAGGGTCTGATCAGAGCCTGAAGGTAAGGAGGTGCCGTTCCCCTCACAGCTCCGTAGGCAAGCACTATGGTCTTGTAGTAGATGCGAGCCTCAACTGGAAGCCAGTGGAGTGTGCGGAGGAGCGGGGTGACATGAGAGAACTTGGGAAGGTTGAACACCAGACGGGCTGCAACATTCTGGATGAGTTGTAGGGGTTTAATGGCACAGGCAGGGAGCCCAGCCAACAGCGAGTTGCAGTAATCCAGACGGGAGATGACAAGTGCCTGGATTAGGACCTGTGCCGCTTTCTGTGTAAGGTAGGGTCGTACTCTGCGAATGTTGTAGAGCATGAACCTGCAGGATCAGGTCACCGCTTTGATGTTAGCGGAGAACGACAGGGTGTTGTCCAGGGTCACGCCAAGGTTCTTTGCACTCTGGTAGGAGGACACAATGGAGTTGTCAACCGTGATGGCGAGATCATGGAGCGGACAGTCCTTCCCCAGGAGGAATAGCAGCTCCGTCTTTCCGAGGTTCGGCTTGAGGTGGTGATCCGACATCCACACTGATATGTCTGCCAGACATGCAGAGATGCGATTCACCACCTGGTTATCAGAAGGGGGAAAGGAGAAAATTAATTGTGTGTCATCTGCGTAGCAATGATAGGAGAGACCATGTGAGGATATGACAGAGCCAAGTGACTTGGTGTATAGAGAGAATAGGAGAGGGCCTAGAACTGAGACCAGGGGAACACCAGTGGTAAGAGCACGTGGTGCGGAGACAGATTCTCGCCACGCCACCTGGTTGGCGCGACCTGTCATGTAGGACGCAATCCAAGAGTGAGCAGCACCGGAGATGCCCAACTCAGAGAGGGTGGAGAGGAGGATCTGATGGTTCACAGTATCAAAGGCAGCGGATAGGTCTAAGAAGGATAAGAGCAGAGGAGAGAGTTAGCTTTAGCAGTGCGGAGAGTCTCCGTGACACAGAGAAGAGCAGTCTCAGTTGAATGACCAGTCTTGAAACCTGACTGGTTTGGATCAAGAAGGTAATTCTGAGAGAGATAGCAGGAGAGTTGGCTAGAGACGGCACACTCAAGAGTTTTGGGGAGAAAATAAATAAGGGATACTGGTCTGTAGTTGTTGACATCGGAGGGATGGAGTGTAGGTTTTTTGAGGAGGGGTGCAACTCTTGCTCTCTTGAAGACGGAAGGGACATGGCCAGCGGTCAAGGATGAGTTGATGAGCGAGGTGAGGTAAGGGAGAAGGTCTCCGGAAATGGTCTGGAGAAGAGAGGAGGGGATAGGGTCAAGCGGGCAGGTTGTTGGGTGGCCGGCCGTCACAAGTCGCAAGATTTCATCTAGAGAGAGAGGGGATAAAGAAGTCAAAGCATAGGGTAGGGCAGTGTGAGCAGGACCAGTGGTGTCATTTGACTTAATAAATGAGGATCGGATGTCGTCAACCTTCTTTTCAAAATGGTTGACGAAGTCATCCACAGAGAGGGAGGAGGGAGGAGGAGGAGGATTCAGCAGGGAGGAGAAGCTGGCAAAGAGCTTCCTGGGGTTAGAGGCAGAGGCTTGAAATTTAGAGTGGTAGAAAGTGGCTTTAGCAGCGGAAACAGAGGAAGAGAATGTAGAGAGGAGGGAGTGAAAAGATAACAGGTCCACAGGGAGTCTAGTTTTCCTCCATTTCCCCTCGGCTGCCCGGAGCCCTCTTCTGTGAGCTCGCAATGAGTCGTCAAGCCACGGAGCAGGAGGGGAGGACAGAGCCGGTCGGGATGCAGAAAGGGAGGAGAGGAGGGTTGAGGAGGCAGAATCAGGAGATCGGAGGGAGAAGGATTTAGCAGAGGGAAGAGATGATATGATGGAAGAGGAGAGAGTAGCAGGAGAGAGAGAGAGCGAAGGTTGCGACGGCACATTACCATCTGAGTAGGGGCAGAGTGAGTAGTGTTGGAGGAGAGCGAGAGAGAAAAGGATACAAAGTAGTGGTCGGAGACTTGGAGGGGAGTTGCAGTGAGATTAGTATAAGAACAGCATCTAGTAAAGATGAGGTCAAGCTTATTGCCTGCCTTGTGAGTAGGGGGGGACGGTGAGAGGGTGAGGTCAAAAGAGGAAAGCAGTGGAAAGAAGGAGGCAGAGAGAAATGAGTCAAAGGCAGACGTAGGGAGGTTAAAGTCACCCAGAACTGTGAGGGGTGAGCCATCCTCAGGAAAGGAACTTATCAAGGCGTCCTCATTGATGTACTCTCCAAGGGAACCTGGAGGGCGATAAATGACAAGGATGTTAAGCTTGAATGGGCTACTGAAAGTAACAGCATGGAATTCAAATAAGGAGATAGACAGATGGGTCAGGGGAAAAAGAGAGAATGTCCACTTGGGAGAGATGAGGATTCCTGTGCCACCGCCGCACTGACCAGAAGCTCTCGGGGTATGCGAGAACACATGGTCAGACGAGGAAAGAGCAGTAGGAGTAGCAGTGTTTTCTGTGGTAATCCATGTTTCCGTCAGCGCCAAGAAGTCGAGGGACTGGAGGGTAGCATAGGCTAAGATAAACTCTGCCTTGTTGGCCGCAGAACGGCAGTTCCAGAGGCTGCCAGAGACCTGGAATCCACGTGGGTCGTGCGAGCAGGGACCACCAGATTAGAGTGGCAGCAGCCACGCGGTGTGAAGCGTTTCTATGGCCTGTGCAGAGAGGAGAGAACAGGGATAGACAGACACATAGTTGACAGGCTACAGAAAAAGGCTACAATAATGCAAAGGAGATTGGAATGAAATGAACTAAACATCTGGGAAAGCGAGAGCGGGGCCTCCCTCATGTTTTACTGAAACACTCAAATATAACTCTCCCAACTTCCACTTTAGAAATTATAATTGTTGTAAACTACAGCGGTTCAATGTTTTCTAGGAATAGACTCTAACTTAGTTTATTCAGCTAGCTAACTTGGTACAGTATTCTTCCGTGAAAACCGTCCAGGACACCGAATCCTATGACGCCATAGCCAACTAGCATGCCAGCCTCCAATAACACGGTTTAGCACCAATACTCGGTTACAACAAACCACCAGTGTGTTAACACGCCAAACAGATCATTCTTGTCCGTGTCTAACGTTGTGTAAAGTTTTGGGTTAGTTTAGACAGTTTGAGTGAGTACGTCGTCAACTTATTCAGCCAGTTAGTTAGCTAGAATAGTTAGCATACTAGCTAGCCATTGCTCTCTGTCAACGAACCAACCCCTCCTCCCAAGGCAGGGAACACACAGAGAGCCAAGCTAACATTAAATAGTCACCCATGTCCCGAATTCCCTTGAACGACTCTGGTTACCAGTATGTAAAAACAAAACAAAAATAAATGTATGTTATAACTTACCCTTAGTAGCTACTGTTAGCCAGTTAAGTGCAAAGCTAGCCACTGAATCGATTCAGCCAGTTCGCGTCTGTCCCAACGGAGAGAAAGCGTCTCCAAATATTACAGCTAGGTCATTCCAGCTATTGTTTAGTTAGCTATCCAGGTAGCAACAAGCTAGTTACATTTCGAGTACAGTAGCTACTAACTACCTAACGTTAACGCTTCAGATAATGAGGTTAGAAAAACAGCTGAATGGTAGGTAGCTAGCTGGCATAATTACAGGTACTCTTAAGCGTGAAATAAAATTGGAAACAACTATCCACAGTTGCTAATAGTTACCAGTAGCTACCCGCTAGCTAGCTAGCTTTATTGGTCCAGGTAGTGGGTTAGCTAGCCTCGTGCTTCACCGGGCTCAGCCGAATACAATACTTACCTACAATAATTACCTACAATAACCTACAATAACTACCTACAATCTAAATACATGGTTTAAGCTTTACTCGACACCATATAAGAAGCTTACCTCCTGCTAGAGAAACACAACCTCACCCGACCAGTATCCCCAGGGATAACGTCAATTATCTAAAAACGTGTAAACTCAGATTTAGCTTAGACCCTATTTTACATCATCTGAGGTTTTTGTGTCGTGCCTGCATCGTTTGAGACACAACATGCTCTTGAATATAGGGTGGGTGTCATTTCAATCATAGAAATATAATTCATAGAATGGACCTATCCCTTCAGACCACTGCAATTTAGCTGGTACACCATTGACATTTAAATTGAATAGACATTTTAACTTCTAATTACTACCACAATGATGGCCACCAGTTCACACACCGTTGAATGTCAACTTCAATGGTCTTGTCTATTCTATTATCTATATTTCTATGATTTCAATACAGATGTAGGATCTTTATTTGAGCCCGATTGCTACAGCAAGAAAATAATCCTGTAGCAACAGGAAATGTGAATTATTATGTGGATTATAATAAACTGACATTTTCGTTAGGGCAAATCAAGTCAAATTTAAAAGTGGAAATGACCAACTTTAGAAGCCTGCTGCTATGCAGGAAAATTCTCAGCAACAAAAGAGTGATCAAATTAAGATTCCATTCAAGTAAACATTCTCTGATGTGTGGACCTCCAACCATGTGTGGTACCTTTTGAAAGTAGAAATGTCAATTGTATTCCCATTTTAGTACATTTATCAGCCAAAACATGACAACCACACTGTATTCGTGAGCATGTTGTGTCTCAACCGATGATGTAAAATAGGGTCTTAGCTACAACATATGTGAATATGAAGAGAAGAAAAAAGAAAGGTGTTTTTAAATCATTGACATTTACTTTATTTTACTTTACTGACTTTATTGTTCCCGTATTGAAATTTTGTTGCAGTATCATGTACACGTATAAAGTGGTGTTTAAATACAGTAGACAACAAATTGGCAATACAAAATTCATAAGGTTACATACAGTATATACCGATGAAAGAAGACCAGCCTACTGACCTTACAGGGTGGATAGGAACATTAACCCCAGCTGTTTAGGAGGGATATCACACCTGGCACAAATTATTATCTAGTTCTGTTTAAGTTTTACATACGTTTTATTCAAAATAAAAAAAATATTATTTAAAAAGGTTTGACAACCCTGTTTGTAAACTTTTCAATTATATAAATCTCCACCGTTGATCTTTGCCAGTGATGAACACATGGATGTCTCTAGCCCAAGATGTACTCTTAAGGAGGCTACCATTACTCCTTAAGGTCCAAGGACCTTATATGATATCTTCATAGGTAGAAATATACATTTACATAAGTATTCAGACCCTTTACTCAGTACTTTGTTGAAGTCTGGCCTCAAGGACATTCAGAGACTGGAGCAGGTTTTCATCAAGGATCTCTGTACTTTGCTCTGTTCATCTATGCCTCGATACTGACTAGTTTCCCAATCCCTGCCGCTGAAAAACATCCCCACAGCATGATGCTGCCACCAGCATTCTTCACCGTAGGGATGGTGCCAGGTTTCATCCAGACGTGATGCTTGGCATTCAGGCCAAAGAGTTCAATCTTGGTTTCATCAGACCAGAGAATCTTGTTTCTCATGGTCTGAGAGTCTTTTGGTACCTTTTGGCAAACTCCAAGCGGGCTGTCATGCCTTTTACTGAGGAGGAGTGCTGCAGAGATGGTTGTCCTTCTGGAAGGTTCTCCCATCTCCACAGAGGAACTCTAGAGCTCTGTCAGAGTGACAATTTTTTGGTACCCTTCCCCAGATCTGTGCCTCGACACAATCCTGTCTCGGAGCTCTACGAACTCATGGCTTGGTTTTTGCTCTGACATGCACCGTCAACTGTGGGACCTGATATAGATAGGTGTGTGCCTTTCCAAATCATGTCCAATCAATTGAATTTATCACAGGTGGACTCCAATCAAGTTGTAGAAATATCTCAAGGATGATCAATGGAAACAGGATGCACCTGAGCTCAATTTCGAGTCTCATAGCCAACGGTCTGAATACTTATGTAAAGGTATTTCTGTTTTTCTAATTTCTAAAAACATGTTTTCATTTTGTCGTTATGGGGTATTGTGTGTAGATTGCTGAGGAAAATGTTTTATTTAATCAATTTTAGAATAAGGCTGTAACGTCACAAAATGTGGAAAAGGTCAAGGGGTCTGAATAGTTTCCGTAAGCCATTGTATGTAGTTCTGTCCTTGAGCTGTTCTTGTCTATTAATGTTCTGTATTATGTCATGTTTCATGTTTTGTGTGGACCCCAGGAAGAGTAGCTGCTGCTTTCACAACAGCTAATGGGGATCCTAATAAAATACCAAAATACCACACAGGTGTTCGGAGCATGCTAGACAGCTAATTAGCACAGGTGGTCCCTCTGTCATCCGTCTGTCTTCTGTAAACACTCACTGTAACATGGGAACACTAACCCTAACCCTATAAAAGTATGTATCAATGTAACCTTTTGTTTCTTGAAAGTAATTTCTCAGCGATATGAAAAATAAGGTCCTTATGCTTCCAGAACCGTATCGCAAGCGATGCGTGTTAATGTTCAGACTGAGCGTGGGGGCTCTTAACAAAACTCCCCCATACATAAGACGCCTTCGTCCAATTACTCTTATGTGTAATGTAATGGAACTAAGAGTCTTGATCAAGAGCCAGGATGTCTCATGGTATGGTGGGGTATACAAAATAGGTCAACTTTGAGTACCTTTATCTCTTAAATGTTTTAGCATTCTGGTCCAAAAAGTCACTTTCTGAGCACAAAGAATATGGGCAAAAATTTTTATGGAACGTTTCATTCAAATAAGAATCGGTGCTGTCAAAAAGTGATTGAATTCAAATGGATTTACCCTATACTATAGTATATTGAAGAACGTCCTGACACGGTTCAAATCTGATTTGAGTGTCATGGTGTTTTTCAGAAGAACTGCTACTACCATGGAGAAGTGGAGGGCCACGCTAATTCTGACGTCACTCTCAGTACCTGCTCTGGCCTCCGGTAAGTAACACTTCACTCTATAAGATCCCAGCACCCTCAGTCAGACATGCTGCGTAACTGGCCCTCAAAGCTCTGTCAACAAGCAGGTATGAGTGTCCACTTACCCAAGAGTATAGAATAATCCACCAGAGCCTATAAGAGATCCCTAGACAGAGAACATGGTCTTGGTCTGGGCCACCCAGTGATTATCTGTACTCTCCTCCACTCTCCTCTGGGCATGTGTCTGTGCCTAATGGCCACCTGGAAGTAATAAAGCTGCCTGACTGAGTGTAAACAGCAACAGAAAGCCTGCTGATGTACGCTCATCTCCTGTTTAATTACCCCAAAACTACCGATGCATTATGTGACGAGAAAACGTTTAATATGCCATTATCCTTTTAACAACGCAATACAAGCTAATGACAAGGAACATTTAGCGGTAATACATTGTGATAAAATGTTGACCTGAACTAGAAGTAATGCTGTAGCTGAAGAGTCCACCCCAATGGAGTTTTACTGGTAATGCTTTTTTTTTTTTTTTTCTTGTACCTCGTGACAAAATCCTTGAGGCAGACAGATGTTTGACGAGCAATATGTGGCTTGGCTTCGATGGCAAAACAAATTGTTTCCGAGTTTTGGTTGGCCTAAGAGCCTTTTCGGGGAGTTGAATCTACTGTAAATCAGTGGGTCCATTTACATTGACTGAGTTATTGCACTAAGAGCCATTAGTTCAGTCCCAAAATCCAGCGAGAAATACAAAAATAAGCAAAAATCTAAATAATCCAGCCGCAAGAAAGGAAATAAAGATTGATTTGACCAGTTCAGTTGTTAGGCTGTGTATTAATCCAAATGAAAGGTAGTACAGAGAGAAGAAACCCAAATATATCAGTAGGCCTTAGAAATAGCCTTCCACACTTTGGTCCTTGAATGTCAATAGTCCACAAAAAGGAAACTTCTCTTGATGATCAATACACTATCCGTTACAAGACTTTGAGAAAGGCCTTTCAACTATAAACAGTTTCCTAGTTACAAACATTTCTGACCACAAATGCAGTCAATAATCAAGATGGCTTCCCCCTTCCAGACACACTCAAACCAGGGTTGCGTTCAGTACGACAGAATGGTGTGCAACATTAAACTCAATGGAAACTGTACTGTACTGAACGACCAGTTGAAAAAGTTGTGATTATTGCGGCCCAGATGACAGTTACCACATAGCGTGCTGCATGAGTTTTGCGATTTCAGATGGTCACACCCATATTGATCAGTCCACAACTCGCCACACCCACCAAACAGGAGCAAACCTACCTCAAAGGCTGTTGAAGAACGGTGCACACTGTGTTGGGGAAATGTGTCATTCAGTACAAACTGTCACGTAACGTAGCAAATTTTGGAGCGAACTGAACATACCCTAGAAAGTGACTATGGGTGTGGCTAGGGTGTGACTGGGGCAGAGCCCACAGCCTATACATATCTCAAGAAACCATGGAACATTGTGGGTTACACCATATTCAATCAAAACTGGTAAGATGTTTTTTATGTCTAAAACAATATTAATGAAGTCGTTGTGTAAAAGGTCCAGTAAATCGACCCACCCGCACTGCTCACAGCCAGGAAAGTAAACATGTAGAATTGAGAAATTACTTGGGTTTTAAAACACACCATCTGCAATGGATTTGTCCTCTTGAAACTAGCCCTGATATGTGATTCATGCCAGACTTTTTATTTGTATTTGCTAACACCAGATTGAAGAACCAGATCCTTATCATAGAGAAATACCTTAATCATTGACTTGTTTTCCATATAGCTTTTGTATTATGGAATCAGATCACATACTGCCCTGTCCACACAGTCAATGCCTTATGCCAGATCTGTTGAACAGCATTACCTTGTCTTCCCTTCTCTTCCAGGGGTTTCATCTCTCTTGAAAATAAGACCTTCATCCTTGAGCCGTCGTTATACCAGGACAATAATAAACACATAATCTACCGAGGGGAAAACCTCAACCTGTCCCCCGGAACCTGTGGTCATGGCTTCAACATGTCATCTGTTAGCCCTAACAACCATCTGAGAAGCCCTTTCAGAACGTTCAGTACCAGGGTAAGGCTCATCATCAACTACAGCATCATCTGAGTTCTTTATCTGACCATTCAGATAACCTCCATCAAATACCACTTTAGCAATATTGTAGGATTCCATAAACAACACTGTTCATGATAAAGCTCACAGATAGAATCATTAGATATAGAAATATTCAAACGGCAGAGCTTGATAATGGATTCATGTTCTAAATGGTCTGGAGCGTGGGCTCATGGACTTATGACATTGTCGTCCAGATATCTTTGTGATAGCAGCTGCGACACAAGGTTCTGGGTTTGATAACAGAGCGAGGAGGATGCCATCTTTCATGATGGGGGAATCAATTTATCTGCCCACTGACAAGATTAGTAGGAACCACTTCTTCATTTCTCTAATGTAATACATGACACCATTTGAAACAGGCTGATATGATTTTAGTTTTATAATGGGAAGCCCTTAGAGAGATGTTAAATGTTCATTTGTAAAATAATGCATGCCTTTATAGCTATTGCATTAGAGGTAGGATCAAACTTATTTTTACCATACTTTTGTTGGTAAAACATAGCTTTTTGTGGCACTAGGATTCGATTAAAGACAATAACAGCAATTTGTCGCTGTGACTGGACTATGACCAGGAACCAGGGCTTAAACTGGATTGGTTTTGTACCTTGATTGGAGCTCAGACCAGCACATGAACCATGGTAGAGATCCAACCTTGGCCCTTACTCTCTCCCTGGCTCCAGAATCCTATATCAGGGCCAGGGCAGGAGCGTGTGCCCCACTCCCCACTCCAGTCTCCATGTACCAGGTATACAGCTCCATCTGCCCCTACCACAGTACCTGCATCCATCCTTAATCCTGGTCCTCCCTTTTCCTTCAGAAACAATAACCAAGACACTCACTGACACAGTGAATCAGAAGCTTTCAATGTTAATGCTTTAAAAGCTCTCTATAAAAAGCACAGGAGTACTATAATAGGTGAACAAGATATTTTATAGAAAAGTGTCTGCTGTTAGTGTGTCTCAGCAGATGAATACGTTTTTTTTTGTGAAGCTTTAGCCACTGGTGTGTAGGCGGTTAATGCAAAGTTGGAATCACAGGTGATGCCGTGACAGAAGCCTTTTGAAAGATTAATAAGCGATATTTTTGAAGTAGCTTTAGCATAAAGAACCCAATGTGAACTCACAGGAAGTTGTGCGTAAGTGTGCGTTGTTTACAATGCTCAAAAAAGACCATGCAGGATCTTGAGGAGAAGGGTGGTTAAATTTAGAATCCCATGTCGTCGTCCAAACCCCCCCCTGTCTTTCTGCATCACAGCACAAGAGGCACGCTCAGAAGACTACCAAATACGTAGAGCTGATCATCGTTGCAGACAACAGAGAGGTAATGTATCTATAATGTATTTATAATGCATGTATAAAAGTCCTATCATTACCTCATCATTACCATGCCTATGTGGTTGGCTAGAGATGGGCATGATGATGTAAGCCACACAGACTTTTTGGAAGAAAATAGGCGAGACTTTAACAAGGCAAGAACAAATCCCCCTAGGTAACGGCAGAATTAGGTCAGTGTGCGGCTACAACCAGTGTGGTCGTCGGTGGTAGCCGTATTCCACAGGAAGTGCTGAACGATTCCCCAGTGGACTAGACAGGAAACAGGAAACAGGAAACAGTGTGGATACAGAAGAAGGAGAGAAAGTCTCGCACTGGGATTTCCTCTTGGCTGCCCCTAGCTGATGCTGTTGACCTGAACTGGAAGAGAGGAGGAGAGAACCCATTTGCTTGTCCAGCTCTATAAGGGGCAGGTTGGATGGTTCAGCTAAGTAGGCTTACACTTAGGACACTCAAGCAGGTGGATGCACAGTGGGATGAAAAAGAAGAGTCTGTCTCAACATGGACGCATCTTACATGCTATTTCTGCCAATGCACATGCTCGCTGTTGTCTTGCCAATTGTTTCTTTCCCACTGTGAGATCAGCCCAGATCCAGATTGATTGCAGCTTGACAACCTGTCCGACCTGTTATGCCTTCTCTCTCAGACAGGTTGAAGATACAGGGTATCTGTAACTTATGGGACCATTTCTGCATAGAATTACCATTATACTGTAGTAGCTTGTGTAAAGGACTAAAAATATACATGATGAGGAAAACTGAGAACAAATATAATAAAAACAAACTAACTTACTTGGTAAAAAATAGCAAAATAGCCTTGACTTGGGGACTAACGCCGAACACCTCAAACACAGGGCAAAATGCCCATAAACTCACTGAGTTACTCACACATCTGAGTATTTGGCAGAACTTTAGTAACAGCATGTTACCTCGACAAGCAGAAGATCTGCTTGCCGAGGTAACATGGAGGTAAATTCTCAATGAACATTCAGTACATAATAGTACACTTGAATGGCAATACTATTGCACAGTTGACATTACAATGGCTAACACTTAACTCAAAGGTATAATTAGCACACACATTAGCGATTACGATAAACTTTCAAAACACTCCTTAAATGGGAGATTCCCCTTAAACGTGAGAAACCAAATAAAGCCCTGAACATCACCCGCATGCTGACTTAGGAACCCAGTTCACAAAGAAGGTGGACACAGGTTGGCAGTAAATTATATGATAACCAGACTCTTGCGTTTGTGTTCTTATAAAGCTATCATAAAGAATAATATAATAATTATTATATGATATAATAATAATAATGATCGTAGCGATAGTCATGTTAGAAAAGTTGGTGTACCAAACAATCAGTTTGTATGGGAAGAAATGAAGGTAAATGTCCCGAAGTGGCAATGTCTCACAGCCACACTTGTTGAAATGATATTGAACCCAGTTTTCAGTACTGTATATTATGGGCATTATCTTGTGCTCTCATCCACTATTCATGTCCTTCTTTGCTTCCTAACGTCTAACAATGTTAACCTGGTGGTTGTGTGTTCAGTTTCAGAAACAGGGGAAGGACGTTGACAGGGTGAAGCAGAGACTGGCAGAAATAGCCAATTACGTGGACAAGGTAAAACCTCCACCTCCCAATGCACAGCAGAGATCCATCATATGTTTAAAATAGAAATACCTCTGGCAGTAAAGATTAATGCCACACCAGGCTAATATATTAATGTCAGTCTCTCACAACTGATTTTAGTCCATCTAAAATTATATTTTAGAGCTATCGATAGATCGCTCGTATAAGGGTCCCAAGCAAGTCCCAAGCCATTCATCCATACTACCTTTTTATGTAAATCTGTCCAAAAATACATTGTTGATATGGGCGAGATCTGACGATAGTACTACAACTATGCATCCTTCTACTCACTGCCCCTCCTCCTCCTCCTCCTCCTCAGTTCTATAGGGTCCTGAACATCCGTGTGGCCCTGGTGGGCCTGGAGGTGTGGAGCGACGCTGATAAGTGTCCTGTCACTCAGGACCCCTTCAACACCCTGCATGAGTTCCTAGACTGGAGGAAAGTCAAACTACTGCCTACGAAATCACACGACAATGCTCAGCTCATCAGGTGGAGATCCTACAGTACACATAAACGCATAAACACACACATAAAACACACTCAAACAAAGAGACACACGCAAGTTCTACCGCCCATACAGTTTCTGATTCATACAGAAGCTTCCGTTGTTTGTGATTTGGGATATGAGATTGGCTATGATTGGATTATTCTTATGTATTTAACCCCTGAAGTCACCTTCTGTACCTCTCCTCGATCCCCTTCCCCCCAGTGGGGTGTACTTCCAGGGTACCACCATTGGCATGGCCCCCATCATGAGCATGTGTACAGTGGAGCAGTCTGGAGGCATCGTCATGGTGAGTACAAGCTGAACTTCACTGTTCCTCCTCTATTCAGTCTGATGCTATCAGCAGCATTGATATTGTTCTCAGCTCAGCTTAACACTTTCCAGAGGCACAGTGTAAAGAAAATGTGTTCACCGTTCATTGTTTGGTGAAGGGGTCGGAGGAAATTATGATTGTAAACACCAGGATATTCACACCCACGTACACACAGATGCAATCACGCGTGCACGCACGCACACGCGCATGCACACACACACACACACACACACACACACACACACACACACACACACACACAATCCAAGGTCATTTGAAGTCATTTAACCAACCAGTCCAGTTATAAATGTAGGCCGATGTGGGTTTGAGGTAAATCACTGTATACAGAGCTTAAACAAGACAAATTTTCATTTTTATGAGGGGTGATAAATGATTTGTGCCAGGTCATACTATAGGTCACAATAGAATGCCCTTTACTCACTACCATGCACAACCCACACAGTTAAGATTTTTTGAATGAGCAAAGTGAGCTGTGTTTCCGTCCCAACTGTATCACCTGATACCCTTTTCCCCCACTGGGCCAGCCCCCTAGCAATTCGAGTTCTAGCCAATGAGCTTCAGCCCCTCGCCATTTGAGTGACAGCTAGCAAGATGTACACACAGCAGAGCAAGAGAGAGAGAGAGAGCAAGGACGTGGTGCACATATCTGCACATATGTGATGTAGTACGCAATTTTCGGGGGCCACTTTTGGCTTGTGAATGCTACTTTCAGAACTACTGGCTAAAAAGTAGACAAAAGTACCGGAAAATCTCTTTAATAGATATGTTTTTCTTCTGGCCAGGGTTGGCTGGATATTTCCAGATGTTTGTCCTACCCATTACTCACACATGGCAAAGGCTTGGAGCAGGATTACAGAACCATGTATCGAGTTATAGGGCCAAAGGATCAGATGAACCACTTCGTATTCCACCATATGTTATTACTAACTCCAACCTCCTTTATTTGCTCCACATGTAGGTTGAATTTCACAGTTTGTGCTTCGCTTGGTTTTTAAAACAAATGTTTAGTCATTAAATGTAAACAAAATACAGTAATCTTGTTTTGGGAGATAAAATATCCCCCTGCATGTCTGGAAACGATATCAGAAAGCCCGTAAAAACCTTTCATGACCAAACTAACCCTATCGTGTTGTCACCATCGCAGCTAGCTTAGAAGGGCTGACTGACTTCAACTACGTCAATTCACTCTCTCTGATTCTACAATTACAGTGCTTGTGAAGGGGCACTCAACCATAATGCGTGCGGTATGATCCGCACCACTCAGTGACATCCATGAGACCTCTCATAAACATGACAGAGCTGGGAGAGACGTAGTATCCTTCCTCTAAAACCCCAGCTGCCATGCGGCTCTGTAATCAGGGCCCTCCTCTTTAATGGGAAAAAGCATGCGTTTCTCATGGACATTAAACAAGGCCTCTGTACACAACAGCTGAGATCAGACTAGTTGTGGGGCCTATGGATTGAGAAAATGGCTGATTCATATGCCTACTTTTTGTGCCTTGTTGTGTCGCGTTGGATGACAGCATCCACATAGGGGAAACATTATATGACTGAGACGAGTCTTTCTGTCTCCAGTATCCCCTAGTAAATTAAGAGCTTGTTGTGTGTGTGTGTGTGTATGTATGTTTCAGTGTGTCTATACATAATTCATGGCTTAGTGGTGTGGTTTACCTGGTGTGATTTAATAAAGGCACACACGCACATAGTGTGTAAAGCTCCATGGGGAGGGACCTTCATAATTTAAACTGCCGTTGTGTGTGCTCCTGTACACTCTCAGCTCTCAGCACTTAACTGTGCAGCAAGCTTCAGCAGCCTGTCTTACCTTCACTTCTACTGTTCCCTCACTTTCTTCTCTTTGTCTCTCAGTGTCTTTGCCGCTCTTTTTTTCTGTCTCATTCCGTTCTCTCTCTGCACTCATCTCTGCCTTTCTCTGTCTGGTACTTTTCAGTTGTCAAATTTTCCTCGGTTTTTCTCCATCACTCTTCCCTTCTCCCTATCTCTCTACACCCCCTCCCCTCCCTCTACCCTGTCTCCTTCTGAAGGACAGTGGTCTAGCTTATCGGTGCACTAAAATGTCATAATGCACCAAGTTTATATTGCTCCCCAGCATCTGTCCCCACTGGCAGTAGTGTGTGATTGGGGCTGGTGAGGGAACAGCAGACAGCCTCCGATGAGCTCCCATCCTCCATGAGCAGAATGTCTAATGACATGTGGATCAGTGGCACCTAATGGATCCACTGTGGGCCTGTAGAGTCAACCGAACTAAGATAGATATGTAGTGAACTAGATGTGTAGTGAACTAATGAGGGAAAAAAGTATTTGATCCCCTGCTGATTTTGTACATTTGCCCACTGACAAATAAATGATCAGCCTATAATTTTAATGGTAGGTTTATTTGAACAGTGAGAGACAGAATAACAAAAGAAAAATCCAGAAAAACACATGTCAAAAATTGTATAAATTGATTTGCATTTTAATGAGGGAAATAAGTATTTGACCCCCTCTCAATCAGAAAGATTTCTGGCTCCCAGGTGTCTTTTATACAGGTAACGAGCTGAGATTAGGAGCACACTCTTAAAGGGAGTGCTCCTAATCTCAGTTTGTTACCTGTATAAAAGACACCTGTCCACAGAAGCAATCAATCAATCAGATTCCAAACTCTCCACCATGGCCAAAACCAAAGAGCTCTCCAAGGATGTCAAGGACAAGATTGTAGACCTACACAAGGCTGGAATGGGCTACAAGACCATCGCCAAGCAGCTTGGTGAGAAGGTGACAACAGTTGATGCGATTATTCGCAAATGGAAGAAACACAAAATAACTGTCAATCTTCCTCGGCCTGGGGCTCCATGCAAGATCTCACATCGTGGAGTTGCAATGATCATGAGAACGGTGAGGAATCAGGCCAGAACTACACGGGAGGATCTTGTCAATGATCTCAAGGCAGCTGGGACCATAGTCACAAGAAAAACAATTGGTAACACACTACGCCGTGAAGGACTGAAATCCTGCAGCGCCCGCAAGGTCCCCCTGCTCAAGAAAGCACATATACAGGCCCGTCTGAAGTTTGCCAATGAACATCTGAATGATTCAGAGGAGAACTGGGTGAAAGTGTTGTAGTCAGATGAGACCAAAATGGAGCTCTTTGGCATCAACTCAACTCGCCGTGTTTGGAGGAGGAGAAATGCTGCCTATGACCCCAAAACACCATCCCCATCGTCAAACATGGAGGTGGAAACATTATGCTTTGGGGGTGTTTTTCTGCTAAGGGGACAGGACAACTTCACCGCATCAAAGGGACGATGGACGGGGCCATGTACCGTCAAATCTTGGGTGAGAACCTCCTTCCCTCAGCCAGGGCATTGAAAATGGGTAGTAGATGGGTATTACAGCATGACAATGACCCAAAACACACGGCCAAGGCAACAAAGGAGTGGCTCAAGAAGAAGCACATTAAGGTCCTGGAGTGGCCTAGCCAGTCTCCAGACCTTAATCCCATAGAAAATCTGTGGAGGGAGCTGAAGGTTCGAGAAGCCAAACGTCAGCCTCGAAACCTTAATGACTTGGAGAAGATCTGGAAAGAGGAGTGGGACAAAATCCCTCCTGAGATGTGTGCAAACCTGGTGGCCAACTACAAGAAACGTCTGACCTCTGTGATTGCCAACAAGGGTTTTGCCACCAAGTACTAAGTCATGTTTTGCAGAGGGGTCAAATACATATTTCCTTATACTTAGCTATCCATGCTAGACATTACACAAAGCAGTCATTATACAATAGCTACTAATGGTGTGGTTTTCAGAAAGATTCACAGAACAAAGTACAGAAATGTGTTCTCAGTTGTCAGTTTTTTCTCAATTTCCTTTTTCGACAGAATATGAATGTGTTTTTTTTTTCTGTAGGATCATTCGGATAATCCCCTGGGTGCGGCTGTGACTTTAGCACATGAGCTGGGGCACAACTTTGGCATGAACCACGACACTCCAGAGCGGGGGTGTGGCTGCAGGATGACAGTGGACCGCGGGGGCTGTATCATGACCCCCTCCACTGGGTAAGTGATGCCAATGGTCCAGTCCATTCATATTAATGGATTATAAAAACTGTGTATAAAAATATGTTATAAAAACTGGATGGTAGGCCAGCTATATAAATTCCAGTCAATTTCGGGAAAATTGAGGTTTCAGTTTATCTGTACTGGCTCGAATTGAAATGGAGGTTACATCAACCTTTTTTCCCCCCTCGAAACTCTGATAGTCCCTTTTCTCTCATCAATGTGTAACAGTTTAACTTTAACTCCCAAATCAGCCGTACACTTTACCAGCATGCAAATGAAGACCCATTCATTCCCCAACTTTTCAGAATAAATTAGCAACTTCTTTTAACCTTGTGTTAACAGACCATACAGACAAGATTAATCACCTCACAGCTTATACAGGGTCAATCGTTATCTCATGTAAACACTAGTTCCCTGTGTGTGTCATTGTTAATGTGTGGATGGTTATGCATCTTGCTGAGGGCTGGGACCAACTTCCCAACCTGAAGACAGAGCGACTGCTCACAGATTCTCTCTCCGTTCCCAGCCTGGGATCTCGTGATAACGCAGCTGCCGCGAGTGATGGACCATGTGACTGTTCCTTAGTAAACAGTAGTCAGATAAGGTGTACCCTGCGCATATTATGAGATTTCACCCTTGGTCTGATAGCAATTTGTTTTATCTGATGATGAGTGGACTTGCAGACGGATGGATGTGTTTGGGATGTATTTTACAGCCTTGTGAGAGAGGGGAAGAGGAGGGAAAAGGGGAAACTATATGTCAGGTAGATAGACAGACGGGTGCACAAGCAGTGGAGTCTGTTATTGCCATCGGAATTGGAAATGTAGAAATTCAGCTGCTTCCTGAGCAGTACATCCAAGGGGGCTTAGTTAAAGGATGCGTCGCTGCCTCCTGTTCGGAACTGTGCCGCTGAGGATCATGGGTAGGATCTGAGGGGTGTGGGCCGCAATCGGATGCAGCTGATTCACAGCCTGTCGACGACGGTCCCTCTTGTCTCTGGGCTTGCTGTGTTTTCACTAGACCAGGCTCTCACCGTTGTCATTGGAGCCAGGCCATGAAAAACACAGTGACACAATTCTCAATGATGTGCTCATAAAACAACATAGCGACCCACTGGGAGGAAACCGCACAGAGCTTGCGAGGGCATCCTTCGAAAATGCCAGCAGGTCTTTGAATAAGCGAAAGACGTTATCCGCCCGTCGGAGTTAGCCAGAGAAAATAATATGACCTTTTACCTAAAAAATAGTCCAGCCGAAAACTGCGTGCAACAGAGATGGCAGTGAGCTCATTCTGTTATACTCATGCAATATTAATTGAGAAAAATTGGGTAACACTTTATTTGGATAGTCCATCTGTAGATGCTCTACAGACTATCAGTAACATTTCAACTAACGCTAACCTTAACCCTTATCCTAACCCTAAACTTAACCCTTACCCTAGCCCTAACCCTAATCTTAAACCTTACCCAAACCCTTATTCTAACCCTAATTGTAACCTTAGTAAGCAGTTGCTTATCAACAGATCATTTGTTGATAGTATGACCAGCGTTAGAGCATCTACAGATAGAAAATCTTGACTATCCAAATAAAGTGTGACCAAAAAATTCTCCATTAAGGCATGAAATGAATGCATAAGCAGCCTTTACCACCATTAGAGAATGCATGCAAAAATTATATTTTAGTTTCTTTGAAGTGAGTTTTGCGAGATGGCTATTTCATATGTTAACACAATATGTGCTTTGATTTATACACATTGTGGAAGACAGTTCAGATAAGGCAATACTGTACTAACATGTCTGTTTTTCTGAGGAAAGACATTGTTTTTCTCTGTATGTTCGACTCGAACCTCAGGGCTAAACTTCAGTCAGAATAGAACTCAGACAATGCCCAATTTCAACAGTATCAGGACCCAATGGGAACAATCCTACAACGTCCTCAGTTCACTTCAGCTGAAAGGCCACTGAGCACACACAAGACAAGAAATAAGGTATAGCATATCCAACTGACATTCTGTGTGTTTATTAGTGTGTATGCTAAATATGTGGAAACACACACTTGCGCACAAAGGCACACACACACACACACACACACACACACACACACTCTGTCTGTCTGTCTGTCTGTCTGTCTGTCTGTCTGTCTGTCTGTCTGTCTGTCTGTCTGATACACCAATAAACACACGCTACATCAGCTGGATATGCAATGCCTTATTTCAGCCAGTCAAACACATCCTCCTCCGAGCTAAATTTTCAGTGGCTTGTTGACAAAACCAGTCATTTCAGCAATCCAATCCGAAACTAATTTCCTCCTCACCGTTTTATGCCTTCTTTACCCACAGTGCACGCTGTCTCGATCTATCCCTCAGTCCTGCTGCATTCTCAGAATGTGATGAGCAGGCAGGCAGGCAGTGAACCCTGTGTAGCTGCCTGGGTGTTGTGTCAGGGACATTCTTTAGTCAGACATGCTAATGGAGCGGAGCACAGGCTGCATCTAAATGACGTGATTATCACTGACGCTGCCAGCTGAAATCAGGAACAGGGCTCAGAGTGAGATCCACAGAGGAGGTTTTTGCCAGGCTAGACAAACACTGAGGGGACTGTGCTTTTTTTATTTACAGTGTTTTCTTTGTTATAGAAGAACAGTGCGAGAGATAGGAGGGAGAGAGAAAGAGAGAGACAGAGATGTGGTGGGCTTGCTTAGTGGGGATGTAAAGTTAGAGGGTTGTGTTTGAATAGAGCACCTACAGCAGATCCCAAAGAGAGGCGTGTTGGCTCATATCCAGATTTGAAGTACAACATATCTTAGAGTGAGAGAGCTGAGCTGTTTGATGTGGGGACTTAAGAGCGGTTAAGAGCATCGGGCCAGTAACCGAAAGGTCGCTGGTTCAAATCCCTGAGCCGACTAGCTGAAAAATCTGCCGATGTGCCCTAGAGCAAGGCACTTAACCCTAATTGCTCCTGTAAGTCGCTCTGAATAAGACCGTCTGCTAAATGATTAAAATGTCAAATGTAAATGTGGGGACTTGTCATGGTAGTGGATTGTGTCATTTGTGGTAGCTTTGGGTAGTCCCAGTTAGGTGGCTGTATCATGTGTAATTGAGTAGAGCACAGACCTACAGCAGGGTGTATAACTGGGCTGCAAACTCATGGTGAATCTCTGGAGAGGGGGGAAATTATTACCAATGTCAAGGTAGGACGGGAATTGAGGGAACATTGACTAATTATGGGGTTGGTTAACTGAGTTGAGCGCCAGCATGCGTCCGTGCATCTGTGTCTGTGAGTAACATTATACTTTTATGTTGTGGAGAATCTAGAGGTGGTTGGTGGGCAGATGTTTTGGGTAATGCCCCGGGCTGGTATTGAGGGGTACACAATTCCCTTAACTGTCTGAGTAGACCAGTGCCAACACTACAGCATGGTTTCACATCTGCTTAAAGGTCAGACTTGTCTCACCAACATAGTTAGTTTTGGAGCAAAGTTTCGAGGCGCAGATGGCTGTTCTAGTCTCCTGTGGAAAGAGACCCAAAGACAGGCTGGTGTTTCACTCCCACAGATGAAAACATCCTGCTCTAGTCTCCTCACCCACCACTTCCATTGTCAACAGACATCCATGCCAGCCCCCTATCCGCCTTGGCATTTACTCAGCCACTGAACCCAGTGGCTCCTTGTTTGACTTGATCAGACTAACAACAGTCTTCTGGGCCCCCTGATGTAGGCTAGATTCAGAGAAATGCTACTGTTAGTCACCAGCGGTGACAGCCCAAGCTCTGCCTCAGTACAATGTTGCCATATCAGTGTGACTGTGATACCTCTGCATTTGTGACACGACCACAGATGGTCCCAAATCCTCTATGTCAGAAGTCAACAGAGACTTACTAGGCCTTGTTGTTGTCGCTGCAGAGCAGGAGACATGTTACATTGGCAACCTGAAAATGACTGCAGTGCAGATTAATAATAATAATAATATTGTTGTTCCCCACTTTACTTTCAAAGCGTTCCAAGGAAAAATGCTAATTAATTCTGTGTAATTTCCTATAGATCAGTCCTGCTGACAAAAGAGCACATCAGATCATATCCATTTGCTCTTTCCCTCTGTGTGTCTGCCTGGCATTGAACTCCTGTTAGTAATAACAAAGGCTGTCAGCGTCTGAGCCCCCGGGGAGTACAAAAGATGCTGTCTGTCATCATTGCCACTGCTCTAAGTAAGATATGAACGGCCATTCATCATATGAGCTATCAAGGCTGATCAGAATATGAATTAGCTTCTGTATCAGCTTTTATGAATAACCTTAGCAACTCCTATTGCCTCTCATACTGGCTGTCAATCAGGATGACTAGGTTTGAAATGGATACTCTACGACCATTATGTGGCGTCTGCCCCAACACCCCAACACCTCCTAGTCCTAATTAGATCTACATTGCTTGACTGTTCATGAAGAAAACGTGGGGGTTTTAAGCTAATATTATCCACTGAAACTTATAGTTCCTCGTAATATCATTTCCTGGACGGCGTAGCCGGCACGTGGCATCAGCTGTAACAACAGTCACTGGGGTGTAGGGGGATCCACATTCCATATCTGTATTAAAGGACTAGAGGGGACTAGCAAGCAGGGCCCACGCCTCTCCCCAGGCCTGGTGGACCTGCTCTGGGTGCTCAGCTTGGGAGGAGATGATGGGCAGTCTCAGGCTGGTCGCAGCAGATTGCTTTGTCTGCTAGTGGAGTTAAGTATTGTGTTTTTCCCCACACAGATCAGGGGTCTCCACCACTCCTTTGTGTTATCAGCACAGCAGGCTGATTTTACGAGGGCCTGTTCAGTGGCTTGGTGTAGCCTTGCTCCCTCTCACTTTGGTTCCCCCCTAAAGAGCAGTCAAGCTCTGTGTAGTTAGTAGACCCTGTTCTTTTGAGGTAAACACATTTAGAACCAAATGGATGAATGGAGCAGACAGGTTGATGTGGTGCTGGTCATCACTGGGTGGTAAAGAAACACTTGATACTCACAGAGGTGTTTCAGAGGTGATGGGTGGACTGTGTTCGACAGCACGATGTGTTCTCCCAGGGAGTTGTTGTGAGTGAGAGTTCAGTGGGTTTATCCTCAGTAGTAGGGAGGGAGCACAGTGTGTTTTCTGGCTGCCTCCCCTTATCTCTTAGCCCCTAGCGGGCCCACTAAAGAGTGAACTGATGACAGTGCAACGTCCATAGAGTTACAGCTGCCAAATCCCCCCTAGGCTGAGGCCAAGCATCACAGATGCCCTCACAAACCCGATGCCAAGTTTCAGCTACAACCAGACTCTGTTTCACATTAAAGAAAGTAATTCTGTCTAATGTCAAGGTTTAGCCTCAAACCTTCTTTGGCCCACGCAATGTCAAGTTTACCAACCTGGTCCATCCAGTGCCAAGACTCTCAACCCTTTAGTCATTTACATTTACATTTAAGTCATTTAGCAGACGCTCTTATCCAGAGCGACTTACAAATTGGTGCATTCAACTTAGTCCTCTGACTCTTTGAAGCAGTCATGTCTGATGTCAGCTTTTCCACAATCCCATGCCAGCGGTCACCCTCCTGGCCATCTTGCTCGGCCCACACCAGCCTCCTAGCTTGGTACCAGCCCTTCTCCTCCTCGGTCGGTCTTAAGAAGGCTTTTCAAAATGCCGCCTGTCCAAAGCCAACCCTCCATCTTCACCACTCACGACACCGCTCACTTTCAGATACCAAGCTTACCCAAAGCCTTTTCTTTTGTGCCAGTCGCCTGTGCCAATACCACTCCTTCATACTGTCTCATTAGCCAGCTTTACATACTGAAAGTGCGCCAGCCTAGAGTCAAACAGTAAAGTCATTATATAGGCCTGTATGTCTCTGGCTCAGCCCACCTGCTGCCATTTCTAGTATTGTAATTATAGATTTGTCACGTCCAGTGTTCTGTTCTTTGGCTTTAGTCTCCTACTGTCAGAGTTGTTAGGGTGATGGGAGGGAGGTTAGAGGAGGACAGGGGTTGATAATGAGGTGAAGGAGCAGTGTGTATCCGTCTGTCCTGTGGTTGGTTGGTCGGTATGTACAGTACAGCCTGAGGAACACATTCTGGCAGCACAGAAACCCCTAGGGAGGACAGCTGTTACAAACAGATATTTTGTCCACATTTAGGATGTTTTTATTTCTTAGTTTCCTACTTATGTAGACATACAGTATACGCTATACAAACAAAAGTATGTGGACACACACGTTGCTGACAGGTGTATAAAATCGAACACACAGCCATGCAATCTCCATAGACAAAGATTGACAGTAGCATGGCTCGTACTGAAGAGCTCGGTGACTTTCAATGTGGCACCGTCATAGGATGCCACCTTTCCAACAAGTCAGTTCGTCAAATTTCTGCCCTGTTAGAGCTGCCCCGGTAAACTATAAGTGCTGTTATTGTGAAGTGGAAACGTCTAGGAGCAACAACGGCTCAGAACGGGACCTGCCGAGTGCTGAAGTGCGTGGCGCATAAAAATCGCCTGTCCTCGGTTGCAACACTCACTACCGAGTTCCAAAGTGCCTCTGGAAGTAACGTCAGCACAATATCTGTTTGTCGGGAGCTTCATGAAATGGGTTTCCATGGCCGAGCAGCTGCACACAAGCCTAAGATCACCATCCACAATGCCAAGCGTCGGGTACAGTGGTGTAAAGCTTGCCGCCATTGGACTCTCGAGCAGTGTAAATGTGTGTGATGAATCACGCTTCACCATCTGGCAGTCCGACAGACGAATCTGGGTTTGGCGGATGCCAGGAGAACGCTACCTGCCCCAATGCATATTGCCAACTGTAAAGTTTGGTGGAGGAGGAAAAATGGTCTGGGGCTGTTTTTCATGGTTCGGGCTAGGCCCCTTAGTTCCAGTGAAGGGAAACTTAATGCTACAGCATACATTCTAGAATATTTTTTTATTATATATATTTTTACTTTCTTACTTATGTAGACATACACAGACTGGTAAAAAGTAAAATAGAGATATCATGTACTGTATGTGCCACAAGCTTGGCTTGGCTGCAGGTCTGATTAGGTCTGATAATCATGTTTAAAATATGCTTCACCGCAATGTATAAGTAAATATTATGTTGTTGCTGAAGACACACAGACAAACTTAAAGAGGCATGTGTAATTTCCCCATAGCCCTCCTTTTCAAAAGCCTGTTGCTTCAAATGGCCCAGATTACCCAAGCTCCTCTGTGATTGAAGACTAAGGTCTGCCTGAGCGGCGGATAAATATTTATGAAAATAAGGGGCTTGCAGACCAAGCTGCGTCTTTGTTGTATTGATCGTTTGTTTGTTTGTCTTTGTGCTTATGAAACTGTGTCAAATCGGAACGCATCTGATGTCGGTAGACCGTTAAATATGTGCCAAGGCTTTATAAATGAACAAGCCAGTAGAGCCTTTATAGTTTCAGTCTGAGCTCAGTCTGGGTTTGCTAGTTTCTGGCATGTGTACATTTACTTGTCCTAAGTTAACCTTTAAAGGCTTAAAAGTATGAGCATACTTTAACCAGGAATGACAAGCATACAGGAATGAATCAGATCATTTTTGAATGTAATTGCCTGTTGGACTATTTTATGGAAACTCTGACCTTGAACACCAGAAGCATGCCAGATTGCTTGTGCCCATATCCTAGGTTTGTGCCCACAGCAGGTGTACTGTAACAGTGTATCTGCATAGCAACACTTTGCACTCAACAAGTTTCCACTGTCTTTATCCCCCAGGTACCCATTTCCTACAGTATTCAGCACCTGCAGTAAAAAGGACCTGGCAGCCAGTCTGGAGAAGGGAGTGGGAATGTGTCTGTACAACATGCCTGAGGTCAAAGTGCTGTACGGGGGACAGAAGTGTGGCAATGGATACGTGGAGGAAGGAGAGGAGTGTGACTGTGGAGAACTGGAGGTACAGTAAGATTCAATGGAACAGAATGCAGAGAAACAATTATTTATGTCATATTATACTGTAGATATAGCTACAGAAAGCTTGCATTGGACCAGCAGTCACTATCCACACTAAAGAACACAGAGAAATACAACAAACTATGAACACCTGCACAGAATAGCAACAAACGACACACAGTAACTACCCATGTTCCAAGATAGCGTAGCAGTGTTTTTTGCATTTTTTTTGTATTTCACGTATATATTTCCCTATCACACTTTTCATCCTTCTACTAAATATACTTTCCTGCAACCCACCTCACTCAATGTGGAACGGATTCTATTATTTACTCACCTTTATCTAAAATCTCCAGTTGAAACTAGCCAGCCAGCTAACTAGCTAACTAGCTACTTGCTATTAGCCACCGTCAGCGGTTTTCACCCAGAACACCGGAATAACTGAATCACTGGACCTTAACACCGGATCTAGCTAGCCGCAACCAAATGTATGTCGCTGTAGGCTAATCACCACTGCCCCCGTAGCACCAGTTAGCCTTGAGCCTTGAGTTAGCCCCGGCTATCTACCTCTCTATCTACCGGACAGGAGTAGCCAGCTAACCAGCTAACTAGCTACTTGATATTAGCCACCGTTAGCGGCTTTTTCTCCATTGTCCGTGGCCTGCACTACCTACCAGCCAGCTCTTGTCTGGACTATTATCGGCCAGTCTGCACTGTCTGCACAGCGAGTTATCGACCCAGAACCTATCGGATTTTCTGCCGGATTCACTGAATCACTGGACCTTTAGCAGTGGATAATCGCAACTAGCTAGCTGCAACCATATGAACGTTGTTGTTGGCTAATCAGCCTTGAGCTAGCCTTGAGTCAAGCACATCTCCCGGCTATCTACCTCTCTGTCAACCGGACAGGTCCTCCTAGAGTCGACACGGAGCCCTGCCGATCCATCAAGACTGGTCTGCTGACGTAATCGTCTGTGGTTTCAACCGGCTTCCCGTTGCGACGACCACGAAGATCCATCTGCTACCCCCGGCCCGCTAGCACACGCAAACTACAACCGTGCTTCCTGCTCGCTGTGCTGAAGCACCAATTTGAACTGCTCTCGGTGTCACGTTCGTTGAATGACGGGTCAGACCAAGGCGCAGCGTGATATACGTACATGTTTATTAACTTATAAACACAACGACAAAACAACAACCGAAATGAAACGTGAAGTCCAAGGTAGAACACACAACATACCTTACAAGGAACAAGATCCCACAACTAGACAGTGCCAATAGGCTGCCTAAGTATTGTCCCCAATCAGAGACAATGAGCGACAGCTGCCTCTGATTGGGAACCACACCGACCAACATAGAACTATACATACTAGATCACCAACATAGAAAATACAACATAGAACATTCACACCCTGACTCAACATATAAGAGTCCCCTGAGTCAGGGCGTGACAGTACCCCCCCCCCCCCCCCCCCCCAAAGGTGCGGACTCCGACCGCACAACATAAACATAACAGGATAGGGGCCGGGTGGGCATTCCGCCTCGGAGGCGGATCCGGCTCCGGGCGTGACGACCTCTTACTCTCCGCCTCCCTGTTGCGCCCCTGGTCTGGTCTGGAGCCGCTGACCGGAGCTTGACCAGGCACCAGTGGAGCGGACTGCTCTGGCTCCGGAGTGGAGCCGCTGACCGGAGCTGGACTGGACCCTGGTGGAGCGGACTGCTCTGGCTCCGGAGTGGAGCCGCTGACCGGAGCTGGATCAGGCACCGGTGGAACGAGAACACGGGCCCATGCCGGACACGACACACGCACCACTGGTCTGGTGCGAGGAGCAGGCACGGGCCGGACCGGACTAGGAACACGCACCACTGGCTTGGTGCGAAGAGCAGGAACGGGCCGGGCCGGACTGGCGACACGCACCACATTATTGGTGCGAGGAACAGGAACAGGCCGGGCCGGACTGGCGACGCGCACCACTGGCTTGGTGCGAGGAGCAGGAACAGGCCGGACCGGACTGGCGACGCGCACCACTGGCTTGGTGCGAGGACCAGGAACAGGCCGGGCCGGACTGGGAACACGCACCACTGGCTTCGTGCGAGGAGCAGGAACAGGCTGGGCCGGACTGGCGATGCGCACCACTGGCTTGGTGCGAGGAGCAGGAACAGGCCGGGCCGGACTGGCGACGCGCACCACTAGCTTGGTGCGAGGAGCAGGAACAGGCCGGACTGGCGACGCGCACCACTTGCTTGGTGTGAGGAGCAGGAACAGGCCGGGCCGGGCTGGCGACGCGCACCACTGGCTTGGTGCGAGGAGCAGGAACAGGCCGGGCCGGACTGTGGAGGCGGACTGGAGGTCTGGAGCGGAGAGCTGGCACAACCCGTCCTGGCTGAATGCCTACTTCCGCACAGTATGTGTGAGGCATCAGCACAGGACGCACTGGGCTGTGCACGCGCACTGGCGATACAGTTCGTAGAACTGGCGCAGGATATGCGGGACCGAGGAGGCATACTGGAGACCAGGAGCGTTGAGCCGGCACACCCCGTCCTGGCTGGATGCCCATCTTCGCACGGCATGTGCGTGGTGCAAGCACAGGACGTACAGGACTGTGCCGGCGCACTGGCGACACAGTACGTAGCTCCGCATAACACGGAGCCTGCCCAGTCATACGCTTCCTCGCGTGAGTACGGGGAGTTGGCTCTGCTCTGACACAAGGCTCCGCCAACCACCCCGTGTGCCCCCCCAAATTTTTTTTATTGGGGCTGCTTCTCGGGCTTCCTCCTCGACCGGCCTCCTCCGTGTTGCCGTTGCTCCTCTCCGGCCTGGGCATCTACCTTAGCCCATGGTCCTCTCCCCGCAAATATCTCTTCCCATGACCACAAATTGCCCACCTGTGACATGGCTATTCGCTCCGCCTGGGCACGCTGCTTGGTCCTCGTTTGGTGGGATCTTCTGTCACGTTCGTTGAATGACGGGTCAGACCAAGGCGCAGCGTGATATACGTACATGTTTATTAACTTATAAACACAACGACAAAACAACAACCGAAACGAAACGAAATGTGAAGTCCAAGGTAGGAACACACAACATACCTTACAAGGAACAAGATCCCACAACTAGACAGTGCCAATAGGCTGCCTAAGTATGGTCCCCAATCAGAGACAACGAGCGACAACTGCCTCTGATTGGGAACCACACCGGCCAACATAGAACTATACATAATAGATCACCAACATAGAAAATACAACATAGAACATTCACACCCTGACTCAATATATAAGAGTCCCCTGAGTCAGGGCGTGACACTCGGACTCACATATTGCTGTTCACCGGACCTTATGATCACTCAGCTGCACAGCTGATGCCTGCTGGACTGTTCCTTTACACAGTACCCTGTCCTGTTTATTCTGTTTAGCCTCAGCCCAAACTTTATCGCCATTACCAGTTGTTGTCTTAGCTCTCTCTAATAACACCTGTGATTGCTTTATGCCTGTCTCCCATGTCAATATGCCTTGCCTATTGCTGTTCCAGTTAGTTCTTATTATACAATTTCACTGTAGAACCCCAAGTCCCTCTCAAACTGCCTCAAATAGTTCCTTTGTTCCACCCCCCATACATGCCGAGACCGGCTAAATCGGTGCCTCCAGTGATGCTATCTCTTTCATTGTTACCCAACGCTTAGGTTTACCTCCACTGTACTCATATCCTTCCATATCCTTTTCTGTACATAATGCCCTGAATCTTTTCTACAACGCCCGGAAATCTGCCCCCTTTATTCTCTGTACCCAACGCACTAGAAGACCAGTTCTTAAAGCCTTTAGCCGTATCCTTATTCTAGTCCTCCTCTGTTCCTCTGGTGATGTAGAGGCTAACCCAGGCCCTGCAGCCCCCAGTATCACTCCTACTCCCCAGGAGCTATCATTTGTTGACATCTGTAACCGTACAAGCCTTGCTTTTCTGCACGTTAACATCAGAAGTCTACTTCCTAAATTTGAGTTATTCACTGCCTTAGCACACTCCGCCAACCCTGATGTTCTAGCAGTGTCTGAATCCTGGCTTAGGAAGGCCACCAAAAATTCTGAAATGTCCATCCCCAACTACAACATTTTCCGTCTAGATAGAACTGCCAAAGGGGGTGGAGTTGCAATCTACTTTAGAGATAGCCTGCAGAGCTCTATCATACTATCCAGGTCTGTGCCCAAACAGTTTGAGCTTCTACTTCTAAAAAAAAAAAACCTCAGCCCCCAGCTGTGCCCTGTGAATTGATTGCCCCCCATTTATCCTCAGAGTTCGTACTGCTTGGTGACCTAAATTGGGATATGCTTAACACCCCAGCCATCCTACAATCCAAACTAGATGCCCTCAATCTCACACAAATGATCAACGAACCTACCAGGTACAACCCTAAATCCGTAAACATGGGTACCCTCATAGATATCATCCTGACTAACTTACCCTCTAAATACACCTCTGCTGTCTTCAACCAGGATCTCAGCAATCACTGCCTTATTGCCTGCGTCCGTAACGGGTCTGCGGTCAAACGACCACCCCTCATCACTGTCAAACGCTCCCTAAAACACTTCAGCGAGCAGGCCTTCCTAATTGACCTGGCCCAGGTATCCTGGATGGATATAGATCTCATTCCGTCAGTAGAGGATGCCTGGTTGTTCTTTAAAAGTAATTTCCTCTCAATCTTAAATAAACATGCCCCATTCAAAAAATACAGAACTAAGAACAGATATAGCCCCTGGTTCTCCTCAGACTTGACTGCCCTTGACCAGCACAAAAACATCCTGTGGCGTACTGCATTAGCATCAAATAGCCCCCGCGATATGCAACTTTTCAGGGAAGTCAGGAACCAATATACACAACCAGTTAGGAAAGCAAAGGCTAACTTTTTCAAACAGAAATGTGCATCCTGTAGCACTAACTCCAAAACGTTTTGGGACACTGTAAAGTCCATGGAGTATAAGAGCACCTCCTCCCAGCTGCCCACTGCACTGAGGCTAGGAAACACTATCACCACCGATAAATCTACAATAATCGAGAATTTCAACAAGCATTTTGCTACGGCTGGCCATGCTTTCCACCTGGATACCACTACCCCGGCCACCAGCTCTGCACCCTTCGCTGCAACTTGCCCATGCCACCCCCGCTTCTCCTTCACACAAATTCAGACAGCTGATGTTCTGAAAGAGCTGCAAAATCTGGACCCCTACAAATCATCTGGGCTTGACATTCTGGACCCTTTCTTTCTAAAACTAGCCGCCGACATTGTCGCAACTGTGTTAACAAACCTCCAAACGAGCTTCAATGCCATACAACACTCCTTCAGTAGCCTCCAACTGCTCTTAAACACTAGTAAAACTAAATGCATGCTCTTCAATCGAACGCTGCTGGCACCCGCCCACCCGACTAGAATCACTACTCTCGACGGGTCTGACCTAGAGTATGTGGACAACTACAAATACCTAGGTGTCTGGTTAGACTGTAAACTCTCCTTCCAGACTCACATTAAGAATCTCCAATCCAAAGTTAAATCTAGAATCGGCTTCCTATTTCGCAACAAAGCCTCCTTCACTCATGCTGCCAAACATGCCCTCGTAAAACTGACTCTCCTACCGATCCTTGACTTCGGCGATGTCATTTACAAAATAGCCTCCAACACTCTACTCAGCAAATTGGATGTAGTCTATCACAGTGCCATCCGTTTTGTCACCAAAGCCCCATATACTACCAACCACTGTGACCTGTACGCTCATGTTGGCTGGTCCTCACTACATATTCGTCGCCAAACCCACTGGCTCAAGGCCATCTATAAATCACTGCTAGGCAAATCCCTGCCTTATCTTAGCTCATTGGTCACCATAGCAACACCCACCCGTAGTATGCGCTCCAGCAGGTATATCTCACTGGTCATCCCCAAAGCCAACAACTCCTTTGGCCACCATTCCTTGCAGTTCTCTGCTGCCAATAACTGGAATGAATTGCAAAAATCTCTGAAGCTGGAGACTCTTATCTCCCCTACTAACTTTAAGCATCAGTTGTCAGAGCACCTTACCGATCACTGCACCTGTACACAGCCCATCTGAAATTAGCCCACCCAATTACCTCATCCCCATATTGTTATTTATTTTGCTCATTTGCACCCCAGTATCTCTATTTGCACATCATCTCTTGCACATCTATCATTCTAGTGTTAATACTAATTGTGATTATTTTGCACTATAGACTATTTATTGCCTTACCTCCATAACTTGCTACATTTGCACACACTGTATATATATTTTCTGTTGTATTTTTGACTTTATGTTTTGTTTTACCCCATATGTAACTCTGTGTTGTTGTTTTTATCACACTGTTTTGCTTTATCTTGGCCAGGTCGCAGTTGTAAATGAGAACTTGTTCTCAACTGGCTTACCTGGTTAAATAAAGGTGAAAAAAAATGATAATAATAAATAAAAAAATCACCTAGAACAAAGCACAAGCAAATGAAAACATTTGCATACATATAGTTGCATGCAATGCTGTCAACATTGTTATTTTGCTACAAGGGCAATGACATAGATCTGTAAAAGGACTCCATGCATAACACTACAAACCACTGGAGAACCTACGCTATTTGCAACTATTTAGCCATAGCCCCCCCCCCCCTTCTCCCTGTCAGCCTTCCATATGTGCTGAGCACTGCTCTGATACTGTGCCACAATGATGTCACTTCCTGTTCATTTGCTCATTAATCAAGTGTGCCGTCCAAATTTGTGACAATGCTAACAAACAAGAGAGTAATCAGGGTGACGTTGAGCTTTCTTTGTCTGCCATCAAAACAACAGAGCACTACACTGACATGGTTGCCATAGGAACTGAAACCAGTCCAAACCAGTCCAGACCCACATCTGGGGAACAGGTACTGGAGCAGCATACAGCATCACTCTAACTCACAATCACAGCAGCTGCTCTCACATCCCACAGAACGTGAGAAATCCCTCGGGCAATGTGCTTAGGTGTTAGTCTTCAAACAGAACAACAAGAAAGCAGGTAATTAACTGGATGTGAGTGTTGTTGTCGTCTTCAGGATGACAGAAGGGTTAAGGACTCCATTAGGGAGGCTTTTGATGAAGATGCATTTGATATGCAGACAAATTAACTATTTTAGCACTCCCATTCCATCATACACTCACATAATCCTCTCTCTCTCTGTAGATACGTATCCACTCCTCTCAGATGTCTAATTTACTGTGGCATCCAGTGACTATGTTAATAAACAGAACATATCTGTGTTCTTGAGTCTACTCCGATGATACACGCTGATGTAATTTGGTCTCAAGTGTTTACAGATTTGTCAAGTAATGATGGAACCAGAATCCCCTCAATTACAGTATGAGGTATTTCCAATCAGGCAATGATTATAACACCTTAATACCAGCTGTGTGGTTTGGAATACTGCTGTTCCATTACCTCTCTGTGCCCCTCCGTGACCCAGTGATGTCACCAGAGGGCTGGTGTGGTGGGCCGTGGTCCCAGTTGGACCGGGGGATCAAAGCATCCCTCTCTTCCCACAAACAAAACAATAGGCTGACGTCAGGCCTCAAGAGCACAGCCAACCCCATAAAACTCCCTTCAACAGAGCAGCAGTGGCCAACTAGGCCTCTAGTCCTGGCCCATCAGCATCATCACCTTGTCAGACCACAGAGTCAACGTACCAGGGTCTTGTTGGGAAGTAAAGACAAAGGAGAGATGGTGTAGCCGGGACTCTGTTGTGGCCTGGAAAAGAAAGTTGATGGCGTTCGACCTCTAATGAAAGCTAAAAGGGTTTTCAACGCCGTTCTGTACTCTTTCACTCTGTCCTTTACTTAATCTCTTTAATTAGCCTTGTACTTCTACCTCTCTCTCCCTCTCAATCTCAATCCCAGTTAATTTCTCACTCCATCACCTCTTGTCATTCACTCTCCAACACCTATCTGTCTCTCTCTAACCCCCCTTCGCTCTCTTCACCTCTTTCCCTCTGTGGCCAGCTCTCCATTTCCTTCCATTGTGTTACATTGTTTGTAATCTCCAGGACTCAGGGGCCTCAAAGCTCACCGACCCCAGCTCACCCCACCACCCACTCAATTACCTCTACAAGATCGTTTCACTACCATCACCCTCAATGAAACCTTCAACCAAAGCCCCCTTAACTTACCACACCCCCTTCCCAACCTACAATACACCATCTCAGTCACCACAGCTGAGCTTGAGCTGTGGAACTCCCCATCCACCCACCCATTGTATAGATAGGCAACGCAAGGGACATCAAAACAGAATGTTGTTTTAACAACAGAGCGAACCACAAATCCGAAACATATGAGCTGAAGATCCGTTTACCCTGACAGAGAATGGTCTCTCACCTGTCTGACCCTGACAGAGAATGGCCTCTCTCCTGTTGATTTGTTCTATGCTATTGTGTCTCCAGGCTTCAGCTCACAGGGTTAAGGGGCTGCGCTGTGGGACTCCAGCGCTACAGTCAGGGGATTCTCCACAGGATGTGCTCTCCCTGAGCTGGAACGCTGATCTGAGACGGCCACAGCAACAACAGCTGAGAGTCGGGGGTCCAGACCATTAATCAGGTCCATGTGTTGCTTTGTTTTGTGTCTCTCAGGAATGCATGAACCCCTGCTGCAATGCCACCACCTGCACCCTGAAGGGAGATGCTGTGTGTGCCCACGGACAGTGCTGCGAGGACTGCAGGGTAAGACTGCTCTTTCTGTTTCTCTTTTTCTACCTCTCCCTTTCTCCCAACTGTCTTTCCCTCCCTCTCTCTTCCTTGCACTTTTGTCTCTCTCTTTCTCACTCTTTCCCTCCCTGTCGAAATGATAAAAAGAGTGGGAATCTAATTATCTCTGCTGCATGTGTTTACAGTAAAAAATTAAGACATTTCATTTCCAGGGACTTGTAAGCCAATACATGAAGCTGTAGCACAGGGCCCTCCGAAGTACACAAATATGCCAAACTTGATCAATTTAATTGAGGTGTGTGTGTGTGTGTGTGTGTGTGTGTGTGTGTGTGTGTGTGTGTGTGTGTGTGTGTGTGTGTGTGTGTGTGTGTGTGTGTGTGTGTGTGTGTGTGTGTATGGGCTGGCTGGCGGGGGTGTTTGTGTGTGTGTGTGTTCTCTCTGCAGCTGAAACCTGCTGGCACACCGTGTCGAGAGTCCAGTAACTCCTGTGATCTGCCAGAGTTCTGTACTGGTGCCAACCCCCACTGCCCTGCCAACGTGTACCTGCATGACGGGCACTCCTGCCACAACGTGGACGGATACTGCTACAACGGCATCTGCCAGACTCACGAGCAGCAGTGCATCACGCTATGGGGACCAGGTCAGTAGAGCGCCCCCCAATGGACAGGACCACTTGATGAAAGTCTTCCATGTTTGAAGAGATAAGATAGTACATCCGTAACTTTCCTTAACATGTTTATTGGAGTAGCTAAGGAAAAACGAATCCTAGCTTATAAATCAGTTCAATGTAAAGAGAGAGGAAAGCAGCACCTGGACAGCACAAGCTGACAGACATCATGTGGACAATCATTTGAAAAAAGACTTCAGATTCAAGCATTTTAGAGCAGGTATTTTGATGAATACGGGTTGACCTGGCTTAACTTCTGGAGGTCAGGGGTTACCTTTGGCTCATGGTATGCTTTGTCACATCTCTGACACCTCTCTCTCTCTCTTCCCTTCTCTCTCACTCTCTCTCTCGCTCTCCCCCCATCTCTATCTCCCTCTCTCTCACTTTCTCCTGCAGGAGCCAAACCTGCCCCAGGGATCTGCTTTGAGAGGGTCAACTCAGCAGGAGATCCTTACGGGAACTGTGGGAAGGACTCCAAAGGATCATTTGCCAAATGTGAAGCCCGGTAAGACTGTGCAGCTGTTATGTATGTCATGGCTTCGAAGCAAAAAGAGCTAGCTAGAAAGACAAATGAATAAAACAACATTGTTTATCTGAATTGATATTATCAAGAGTGCCATCGACAATCAGCATGGCACATTAAATGGGACAAATAGCCTAGGAACAATAATTAGTAGCGAGAAAAACACAATTTGGAGATAATGAAGGCTAATTACAGTTTGAAGTATTCATGAAGCATTTTTTCCTATTAATGTCGGCTAAATGTTCTTGGATCTCCCATGGGTGAAATCTCTAATCAAGCATTTGTTAATTGATGTAATTGCTTTAATGACTGGAGGACTGAGGGAGTCATTATTAGGGTGAGACGAAGGCTGTCTAGTCTTTCATCTTTGGTTATAATTGCACAAGATGTCACACATGTCAGAGATTGTCAATGTTAAACTGTATGCCTTGCCATTTATGTTGCGTGTGTGTTTATGTGTCTGTGTGTGCATGTGTTATTATAAAAAAAATTCACAGAGACGCAAAGTGTGGCAAAATTCAGTGTCAAGGAGGGGCCAACCGGCCTGTGATTGGCACCAATGCCGTCTCCATAGAAACCAACATCCCTCTTCAAGAAGGAGGGAGGATCCTGTGTCGGGGGACCCACGTCTACCTGGGTGATGACATGCCCGACCCTGGACTGGTTCTGGCTGGCACCAAGTGTGGAGAGGGCATGGTGAGGGTACTCTGTAGGGCGCGGCAGCTGTTATCAAGCAGAGCTAGAGAGAGATTACCGTCACCACTGGTGGAGATGCTAATGCCCACGCTTGTCTTTGGCCCAATTCCAAACCAATCACTTACTCTCATTACTGGGATCAGTCGAATTCTACGAAAGTACATTAAGTAGAATAGATAACAGTTCTCAGAAGATATGCTTTCCATTCAATAATTAACATCACATGTGGAGTACTACAGTACTTTACATTGGATTAAAAAATGTTTTCAATATGACTCTTTCTCTATTCCATAGATGTGTCTGAATCGTCAGTGCCAGAATGTCAGTGTGTTTGGAGTGCACCAGTGCTCAGGGAAGTGCAGCGGACGAGGGGTGAGTACTCCATGTTGGAGCGTATCATCTTATGTTGAGTGTCTAGAATGCAATGACTTATTCCAGTCTATTAGCTAAACACCGGTGTCATATCAATGTTAATAACTTATCACAGCATCTTATTGACCTCAACATAGCATAAAGTAGAGTAGTACAGGGCTCTACGGTGCGACCATTTTACTCACATATTTTGCTGTGCGACCAGGAATTTAAATTTAGGAGAACCAGTGTGCCTAGAAAAATGTATGAGTCTAGCCTTTAATACCTCAAATATTTTTCATTGTGCTCCTACATCTCTTTGTGTGTGCCTACATTTTTCAACTTAGGCGCACACGTGCTCCTTGTAAAAAAAGAAAAGGTCAGTGTAGAGCCCTCTAGCTAGTACAGTAGGCCCTTTACTCTGCTACATCGAGCTCCAATTTTAGTTACTGCACCGCCAATGAATTATGGCAGCTACTCACATGCTATACAATCAATCTTCATCGCCCCAGAGAGGTTAAATCAAAGATGGTGGATAAATGAAGATAGTTCACTCAGGCCGTTTACCATTGAAAAAGAATGTGTCAGTTACGGTCTACCTAACTAGGTGTGTCTCCCATAGACACCAATGCAATAGCAGCTGGGTCTGGTCTACTTAGTTAATTGACCCTACGGGGAGCCAGTATGAAAAATGTATGCACTCACTAATTGTAAGTCGCTCTGGATAAGAGCGTCTGCTAAAATGACTCAAATGTCAATTGGATCACTAAAAATACTTTCATTGAACCCCAAAAACAAAACGGGGAAAAAAGAAATGGTTCCTCTTCAGCCTCTGGTTAAATCAATATCATTTAATGACATAATTTATGTTCTAAGTGCCGTCCATCATCTTTTGGCATAGAGAAGGCAGGCCAAGCAGCATTTGAACATACAGTGCATTCGGAAAGTATTCAGACCCCAACCCTTTTTCCACATTTTGTTACGTTACAGCCTTATTCTTAAAATGGATTAAATTATACTTTTTTTCCTCATCAATCTACACACCATACCCCATAATGACAAAGCGAAAACAGGTTTTTTGAAATGATTGCAAATGTATTACAAATAAAAAACAGAAATACCTTATTTACATAGGTATTCAAAACCTTTGCTATGAGACTCAAAATTGAGCTCATGTGCATCCTGTTTCCATTGATCATCCTTGAGATGTTTCTAGAACTTGATTGGTGTCCACCTGTGGTAAATTCAATTGATTGGACATGATTTGGAAAGGCACACACACACCTGTCTGTAGCTCAACTGGTAGAGCACGGCACTTGTAACGCCAGGGTAGTGGGTTCGATCCCCAGGACCACCCATACACAAAAAATGTATGCACGCATGACTGTAAGTCGCTTTGGATAAAAGCGTCTGCTAAATGTCATATTATTATTATAATATTATAAGGTCCCACAGTTGACAGTGCATGTCAGAGAACAAAACCAAGCCATGAGGTCGAAGGAATTGTCCGTAGAGCATCGAGACAGGATTGTGTCAAGGCACAGATCTGGGGAAGGGTAACAAAACATTTCTGCAGCATTGAAGGTCCCCAAGAACAAAGTGGCCTCCATCACTACCAAGACTCTTCCTAGAGCTGGCCGCCCGGCCAAACTGAGCAATCGGGGGAGAAGGGCCTTGGTCAGGGAGGTGACCAAGAACCCGATTGTCACTCTGACAGAGCTCCAGAGTTCCTCTGTTGAGATGGGAGAACCTTCCAGAAGGACAACCATCTCTGCAGCACTCCCCCAATCAGGCCTTTATGGTAGAGTGGCCAGACGGAAGCCACTCCTCAGTAAAAGGCACATGACAGCCCGCTTGGATTTTGCCAAAAGGCTCCGAAAGTACTCTCAGACCATGAGAAACAAGATTCTCGGGTCTGATGAAACCAAGATTGAACTCTTTGGCCTGAATGCCAAGCATCAGGTCTGGAGGAAACCTGGCACCATCCCTACGGTGAAGCATGGTGGTGGCAGCATCATGCTGTGGGGATGTTTTTCAGCTGCAGGGACTGGGAGACTAGTCAGGATCGAGGGAAAGATGAACGGAGCAAAGTACAGAGAGATCCTTGATGAAAACCTGCTCCAGAGCGCTCACGACCTCAGACTGGAGCGAAGGTTCACCTTCAACAGGATAACGACCCTAAGCACACAGCCAAGACAATGCAGGAGTGGCTTCGAGACAAGTCTCTGAATGTCCTTGAGTGGCCCAGCCAGAGCCCGGACATGAACCCGATCGAACATCTCTGGAGAGACCTGAAAATAGCTATGTTGCGACACTCCCCATCCAATCTGACAGAGCTTGAGAGGATCTGCAGAGATTAATGGGAGAAACTCCCCTAAATACAGGTGTGCCAAGTTTGTAGCGTCATACCCAAGAAGACTCGAGGCTGTAATCGCTGCCAAAGGTGCTTCAACAAAGTACTGAGTAAAGGGTCTGAATACTTATCTAAATGTGATATTTCCATTTTTTATTTTTAGTAAATTTGCAAGAATTTCTAAAAACTTGTTTTTGCTTTGTCATTATGGCGTATTGTGTGTAGATTGATGGGGGGGACAATTTAATCCGTTTTAGAACAAGGCTGTAACGTAACAAAATGTGGAAATATCAAGGGGTCTAAATACTTTCTGAATTCACTGTACTAGCAAGTAGCTATAGTCTGGAAGCATCAAACTGCACTAGTCAAAATGCTCCTTGCTGTTTGAGTAGGTATTAATAATGCAACGAGAAGCCTTTTATGTTTTATTTACTTTGTTGTTTAGTTGAATGAATAAATAAATTAATTAATTAATGAACAAATTAATGGAAAGTAGAACCCTGGGCCAGATTTCCTTACAATGACTGGCTTTTGAACCACTGCATGGTTGAATCACCTTCATCAGAGGTGAATTTAAAACAGAGAATCAAAGCTGGATTAAGAAATTGCCTTAATTTACCTTAACTTTTGTGTTTGATTGCTTCTTTGAGGTTTTATTTGACCTCTAATTGAATGATGTATGATTCATTCATTAGTTAAGAACAGGTTGAACCAGGTGATGTCATTTGCCACAGCACTTTTCAACCACACCACTTTTGATTTAGTTTAATCAAATATATATCGACGCAAAGCGTTAAAAAGAGGGGCAAAGTGCTGTTTTTTAGACCAATTTGCCTCATAATTTGTCAACTCACACACAATTTCTCTGTCCTTCACATCGGCGTGCTGCTGCAGGCTCTTTGCGTGTCTTGACCAATCAGATTCACGGAAATCCTATGTTGCGCGGGCCGGGAAACCCACTTTCCTCTTTCCTCCAGTATTTATTTAGCAAGCGTGATAACACATCACTCCCGACAGATACAAGCAAAAACTCTTCCATAAATGTAGATGCCTATATATCTAAACGAGATCTGACATGCTGTATGGCATGGAAAGGAGACTATTTTTCAGTTTAAAGCAAGCTCAGCCCTGTGGGTTTTATTGGCCAATCATGTTGCTTTCTTTGTGTCTGTGTATAGGAAACCCCCCTTAGTTCTTCTTTATTAAAATATCATTAAAATGAACAAGTACAAGGTTGCTGCAGTTTGACAGGTTTTTCATCCTCCCCAAGTTCAGTCGTTATTTTAAACCATGTGAACTGATTTGAAAAAACTCTGGTCCCATCATAGCCCATATTAAACCTAGCCCGTATTAAACCTTTTTACAACAGATTAATCACGTCATACCGTATAAGGTCTGGAGTTTTAACTGGTTAGGTTACCAGATCAGGAAAGACTACAGGCTCAAGATATTATTTTTCTTTGCCACACCGCTCTGGGACCACCTCTGTACTAACTACACATTAGTGTCTTTACATTTGGGAGGCTCTTATCCAGAGTGACTTACAGGAGCAATTAGGGTTAAGTGCCTGGCTCAAGGGCACATCGACAGATTTTTCACCTAGTCGGCTCGGGGATTCAGCGATGTTTCGGTTACTGGCCCAACGCACTTAACAGCTAGGCTACCTACCTTCTCTAAATTGAACATTATACAGTATGTTGACTATATTCAGACCCACATGATGTCACAAATATAACCAACCCTACACTGTAGATCCAGAGCCAGTATGCATCTCCAAATGTGGCTCTGTGTAGATGTACACTACCAGTCAAAAGTTTTTCTTTATTTTACTATTTTTTACATTGTAGAATAATAGTGAAGACATCAAAACTATGAAATAACACATATGGAATCATGTAGTAACCCAAAAAGTGTTAAACAAATCAAAATATATTTTATATTTGAGATTCTTCAAATAGCCACCCTTTGCCTTGATGACAGCTTTGCACACTCTTGGCATTCTCTCAACCAGCTTCATGAGGTAGTCACCTGGAAAGCATTTCAATTAACAGGTGTGTCTTAAAAGTTAATGTGTGGAATGTATTTCCTTCTTAATGCGTTTGAGCCAATCAGTTGTGTTGTGACAAGGTAGGGGGGTATGCAGAAGATAGCCCTATTTGGTAATTGACCAAGTCCATATTATGGCAAGAACAGCTCAAATAAGCAAAGAGAAACGACAGTCCATCATTACTTTAAGACATGAAGGTCAGTCAATACGGAACATTTCAAGAACTTTGAAAGTTTCTTCAAGTGCAGTCACAAAAACCATCAAGCGCTATGATGAAACTGGCTCTCATGAGGACCGCCACAGGAATGGAAGACCCAGAGTTACCTAAATTCATTAGTTACCAGCCTCAGAAATTGCAGGCCAAATAAATGCTTCACAGACTTCAAGTAACAGACACATCTCAACATCAACTGTTCAGAGGGGACTGTGTGAATCAGGCCTTCATGGTCGAATTGCTGCAAAGAAACCACTACTAAAGGACACAAGTAAGAAGAAGAGACCTGCTTGGGCCAAGAAACACGAGCAATGGACATTAGACCGGTGTAAATGTGTCCTTTGGTCTGGAGTCCAAATTTGAGATTTTTGGTTAAAACCGCCGTGTCTTTGTGAGACGCGGTGTGGGTGAACGGATGATCTCCACATGTGTAGTTCCCACCGTAAAGCTTATGTTATGGTGTGGGGGTGCTTTGCTGGTGACACTGTCTGTGATTTATTTAGAATTCAAGGCACACTTAACCAGCATGGCTACCACAGCATTCTGCAGCGATACGCCATCCCATCTGGTTTGGGCTTAGTGGGACTATCATTTGTTTTTCAACAGGACAATGACCCAACACACCTCCAGGCTGTGTAAGGGCTATTTTACCAAGAAGGAGAGTGATGGAGTGCTGCATCAGATGACCTTGCCTCCACAATCCCCCGACCTCAACCCAATTGAGATGGTTTGGGATGAGTCGGACGGCAGAGTGAAGCAAAAGCAGCCAACAATTGCTCAGCATATGTGGGAACTCCTTCAAGACTGTTGGAAAAGCATTCCAGGTGAAGCTGGTTGAGAGTATGCCAAGAGTGTGCAAAGTTGTCATCAAGGCAAAAGGGTGACTATTTGAAGAATCTCAAATATAAAATATATTTTGATTTGTTTAACATATTTTGGGTTACTACATGATTCCATATTTGTTATTTCATAGTTTTGATGTCTTCACTATTATTCTACAATGTAAAAAATTTTTTGTAAAAATTAAGAAACCCTTGAATGAGTAGGCGTGTCCAATAGTTTGACTGGTACTGTAAGTCTATATAACATTATGTGTGTATGTGCATGAGTGTGTTTACAAGTGTACTGTTCAGTACTATGTGGTAAAATCCTATCACATCCATAGATCTCCCCTCATGGGTTCTTAAGTGTCCTTAAGTCTCCAGTCTTGACCTTGACCACCCCTAGCCCCAAACACTCCAGACACATAAGGGAGTGCCACTCACTCCGAGGGAGGCAGGGAAAGGTCTTCCCAGTTCAGGGCCAGATCCGATCTGTAATTATCCCAGCCACAGGCCTCCCTGCAGCTGACAGCTGGACTCCATTATCCCACTAGGGAATCCTGTTGGATCCCTTTCCTGCTCAGAAAACTGTGTTTTGGGATGGGCTGTCCCCTGCACATGTTTTCTCCATCATGTTTGACACTGCACAGTCTATGGCACCCGCCACATCCAAACCGATGGGTCTGATGGAACGAGTGTGTGGTTTATTTGTAGAGGTAATCCAAACATTTGAGATGTGGGCTGGGATCCTATTTTCATCTCTCTCTTTTCTGAGGAAATGCAGGCCCAAATTAATGCATCTCTTATTTCATGTGTCAAAGGCAAGTACGATGCATACTGGTAGCTTATAAAGTGCGTAAAATAAGTAATGCATACTTGCCATATCCCATGAATCATTGCACTGTAGTTGCTTTCACTCCCCTGTGTCTGATGATCACAAGAGCCTAGAGGCCTGGCACACAACTCTCCCTGTGCTCTGACCGGTGTCTATTGGAAGAACACAAGGTATGGACAGTATTGTGTTGTACAGGTGAAGATGTGTCAACTTAATACTAACCAGCATGCATTGTGATTCTAGGTGTGTAACAACAAGGAGAACTGCCATTGTGAGGTGCACTGGGCCCCTCCCTTCTGTGAGAGGGCGGGGTTTGGAGGCAGCCTCGACAGTGGACCAATGAGATTGGCAGGTACAGTACGCTCTTTCCTCTTTGTACTTCACTAACTTCACCCTCTTTCTCACTAGCCAGTGCAGAGACTAAGACAGTAGTTTGGGATAATAATCAGTTTAACACCTTTAGCTGTACTTTCATAACCTGCTTACAGCAAGTTAGTTTCTTTTGACAGATCTACCTCAGTCACCTACAAATGTAGGATCTTAATTTGACCACTCTTTTGTTGCCGAGAATTTTCCTGCACCGCAGGAAATGCAGATGAGCTTTGTGATTTACATAAATTCACTAAAAACCCACACTAACGCACAGTTATATTAATAGTATTGCACTTTTCATGTAGCCTACTTTTGGCCAGAATAACCAGAAATCAAGCAACATTATGGACTAAACGTTCAAATCCTTTTGCTACAGGATCATTTTGCTGTGACAATATAGGTCAAAATATTCATCCTAGCTACATGCAACCTATTACAACTAAAGATGCAGGATCTTCATTTGAGCCAGTTTGCTACAGTAGGAAAATAAGCAGGAAAATAAATTACTAACTTTTAGAAGCCTTTTTAAACCTTGAATACACTACAAGTTTGCATTTCCTGCTGTGCAGGAAAATTCTCAGCAACAAAAGAGTGATCAATTTAACTTTCCCTGCCTGGTACAACTTTCCCTGCCTGGTACAACTTTCCCTGCCTGGTACAACTTTCCCTGCCTGGTACAACTTTCCCTGCCTGGTCATTCAAGAGCAAAAGGAAATAATTATGGGAATAATGTCAAATGTACTAAACCACTGCCGTGGCTTCTATTAACACTCTCTGTGTGTGTCCTGTTTGTGCTGTGCCGTAGATGTGCGTGTGTGTGTATTAATGTGCGTGTTGTCGTATGTGACGTCAGCCGACAGCAGGGTGGTTGCCGTGGCAATCCTGGCCACCCTCCTCAGCCTGATGGGCGCAGGGTTCCTGGTATTCCTTAAGAGGAAGACTCTGGTCCGTCTGCTCTTCACCAACAAGAAAACCACCATGGAGAAACTGAGGTACAGTAGGACACCTAATCCGACACCTGTGTTTAATCTTATGTTCTGTATGTCAAGATAGACTACTTTTCTAGAGATGCTTTCTTGAAGAGATGATTTTCTTGTAGAAATAACATCATGGTCCCATGGTCTCTCTGGTGATTTGATGTGTTCACAACAATGGTATCCTTGTGACTCCACTAACCATGTGAGAGAAAAACACATACTGATAGTCCTGCACATAGTCCTCACAATGCATGTGGGCCTTGCCTGTACAGAAGAAGGCCTGTTACTATGTGTCTCAAAGCTGCAGCTCCTTTAGAATAGTAGTAGAGATGTAGAATAGTAGTTATCAGTTAGTAGAAGACTAGTATTGTAGTTGAAATGTTAGCTTTCTGTCCTTATAGATCAGCTGGGTCGACCAGACCAGCCAGCCCCAGCCAGACTCAGTCCATGTACAGTCCACGACGCAAGCCCCCAGCCAAGCCTCCAGGTACCAGCATATACAAGGTGGGTCTCTTTCTGCTGGAGTTAATGGACAACTGATTTTCCCTGATAGTCACTTTAGTAGAACACAGACTGTTACACATGACTTTATATGTATACAGTATACTGCATTCTAGTCATGGCTCATCCTATATAACTACTGCTGTACACACCTTTTCTATTCACATTTCATGTTCCTTCAGAAGGTATTCACACCCCTTAACTTTTTCTAAATGGTGTGTTACTGCCTGAATTTGAAACTGATTAAATTGAGATTTTGTGTCACTGGCCTAAAATACAATACCCTATAATGTCCAGGTGGAATCATGTTTTTATAAAAAAAATTACAAATTAATTAAAAGTGAAAAGCTGAAATGTCTTTAGCCAATAAGTATTCAACCCCTTTGTTATGGCAAGCCTAAATAAGCCTAACAAGTCACATAATAAGTTGCATGGACTCACTCTGTGTGTAGTAATAGTGTTTAACATGATTTTTTTTGAATGACTACCTCATCTCTGTACCCCACACATACAATTATCTGTAAGGTCTCAGTCGAGCAATGAATTTCAAACACAGATTCAACCACAAGACCAGGGAGATTTTCCAATGCCTAACAAAGAAGGGCATCTATTGGTAGATGAGAACAAATAAAAAAGCAGACATTGAATATCCCTTTGAGCATGGTGAAGTTATTAATTACACTTTGGATGGTGTGTCAATACACCCAGTCACTACAAAGATACAGGCGTCCTTCCTAACTCAGTTGCCGGAGAGGAAGGAAACTGCTCAGGGATTTCACCATGAGGCCAATAGTGACTTTAAAACAGTTACAGAGTTTAATGGCTGGGATAGGAGAAAACTGAGGATGGATCAACAACATTGTAGTTACTCCACAATACTAACCTAATTAACAGAGTGAAAAGAAGGAAGCTTGTAGAGAATACAAATATTACAAAACATGCACTAAAGTAATACTGCAAAAAAAAATGTTTTGTCCTGAATACAAAGTCTTACAGTATATTTGGGGCAAATCCAATAAAACATATTACTGAGTACCACTCTCCATATTTTCAAGCATAGTGGTGGCTGCATCATGTTATGGTAAGCTTGTAATTGTTAAGGACTACTATCCTCCGTAGTGGCGCCGGAGAAGATGGCTGCCTTTTTACAGCCCTCTAACCAATTGTACTATTATGTGTGTTTATTCGCGTTATTTGTAATTTGTTTCTGTCACCTTCTCTTATGACCAAAAATAGCTTCTGGATATCAGGACAGCGATTACTCACCTCGTATTGGACAAAGATTTTTTCTTCAACGAGTCAAACGCGAAGGATATCCTACAGACACCCGACCCAAGGCCCAAATCCCCGTCATTCGCATGAGAAAGAGATGGAGATATCGTGGACGTAGGTTGGGGTGCCTTGTAAGGATCCGACGACGAGCGAGTAAACTGCCTCTTCCATCAATCCTATTAGCCAATGTTCAATCATTTTAAAACAAATTGGACGACCTAAGATTAAGGTTATCCTACCAACGGGACATTAAAAACTGTAATATCGTATGTTTCACCGAGTCGTGGCTGAACGACGACATGGATAACATAGAGTTGGCGGGATATACGCTACATCGGCAGGATAGAACGTCTGACTCCGGTAAGACAAGAGGTGGCGGTCTGTGTATATTTGTAAACAACAGCTGGTGCATACAATCTAATACTAAGGAAGTCTCAAGGTTTTGCTCGCCGGAGGTAGAGTATCTCATGATAAGCTGTAGACCACACTATTTACCATATTTTTCGTAGCTGTCTATCTACCACCACAAACCGATGCTGGCACTAAGATTGCACTCAATGAGCTGTAAAAGGCCATAAGTAAACAGGAAAACGCTTATCCAGAGGCAGCGCTCCTAGTGGCCGGGGACATTAATGAAGGGAAACTTAAATCCTAATTTCTACCAGCATGTTAAATGTGCAACCAGATGAAAAAAAACTCTAGACCACCTTTAATCCACACACAGCGACGCATACAAAGCTCTCCCTCGCCCATTTGGCAAATCTGACCATAACTCTATCCTCCTGATTCTTGCTTATAAGCAAAAACTAAAGCAGGAAGCACCAGTGACTCAGTTAATAAAAAAGTGGTCAGATGACGCAGATGCTAAGCTACAGGACTGTTTTGCTAGCACAGACTGGAATATGTTCCGGGATTCTTCAGATAGCATTGAGGAGTATACCACATCAGTCACTGGCTTCATCAATAAGTGCATCAATGACGTCATCCCCACAGTGACCGTACGTACACACCCCAACCAGAAACCATGGATTACAGGCAACATCCGCACTGAGCTAAAGGGTAGAGCTGCCGCTTTCAAGGAGCGGGACTCTAACCCGGACGCTTATAAGAAATCCCGCTATGCCCTCCGACGAACCATCAAACAGGCAAAGAGTCAATACAGGCCTAAGATTGAATCATACTACACCGGCTCTGACGCTCGTCGGATGTGGCAGGGCTTGAAAACTATTACAGACTACAAAGGGAAGCACAGCCGCGAGCTGCCCAGTGACACAAGCCTACCAGATGAGCTAAATCACTTCTATGCTCACTTCGAGGCAAGCAAAACTGAAGCATGCATGAGAGCATCAGCTGTTCCGGATGACTATGTGATCACGCTCTCCGTAGCCGATGTGAGTAAGACTTTTAAGCAGGTCAACATTCACAAGGCCGCAGGGCCAGACGGATTACCAGGAAGTGTACTCCGAGCATGTGCTGACCAACTGGCAAGTGTCTTCACTGACATTTTCAACATGTCCCTGACTGAGTCTGTAATACCTACATGTTTCATGCAGACCACCATAGTCCCTGTGCCCAAGGACACTAAGATAACCTGCCTAAATGACTACCGACCCGTAGCACTCATGTCTGTAGCCATGAAGTGCTTTGAAAGGTTGGTCATGGCTCACATCAACACCATTATCCCAGAAACCCTAGACCCACTCCAATTTGCATACCGCCCCAACAGATCCACAGATGATGCAATCTCTATTGCACTCCACACTGCCCTTTCCCACCTGGACAAGAGGAACACCTACGTGAGAATGCTATTCATTGACTACAGCTCAGCGTTCAACACCATAGTGCCCTCAAAGCTCATCACTAAGCTAAGGATCCTGGGACTAAACACCTCCCTCTGCAACTGGATCCTGGACTTCCTGACGGGCCGCCCCCAGGTGGTAAGGGTAGGTAACAACACATCTGCCACGCTGATCCTCAACACGGGACCCCTCAGGGGTGCGTGCTCAGTCCCCTCCTGTACTCCCTGTTCACCCATGACTGCATGGCCAGGCACGACTCCAACCCCATCATTAAGTTTGCTGACGACACAACAGTGGTAGGCCTGATCACCGACAACGATGAGACAGCCTATAGGGAGGAGCTGGCCGTGTGGTGCCAGGTTAACAACCTCTCCCTCAACGTGATCAAGACAAAGGAGATGATTGTGGACTACAGGAAAAAAAAAGAGGACTGAGCACGCCCCCATTCTTATCGACGGGGCTATAGTGGGACAGGTTGAGAGCTTCAGGTTCCTTGGTGTCCACATCACCAACAAACTATCATGGTCCAAACACACCAAGACAGTCGTGAAGAGGGCACGACAAAGCCTATTCCCCCTCAGGAGACTAAAAAGATTTGGCATGGGTCCTCAGATCCTCAAAAAGTTATACAGCTGCACCATCGAGAGCATCCTGACTGGTTGCATCACCGCCTGGTATGGCAACTGCTCGGCCTCCGACCGCAAGGCACTACAGAGGGTAGTGCGTACGGCCCAGTACATCACTGGGGCCAAGCTTCCTGCCATCCAGGACCTCTATACCAGGCCACCCTAGTTATAGACTGTTCTCTCTGCTACCGCACGGCAAGCGGTAACGGAGCGCCAAGTCTAGGTCCAAAAGGCTTCTCAATAGCTTCTACCCCCAAGCCATAAGACTCCTGAACAGCTAATCATGGCTACCCTGACTATTTGCACTGCCCATCCCACCCCATCCCCCTCTTTTACGCTGCTGCTACTCTGTTAATTATTTATGCATAGTCACTTTAACTCTACCCACATGTACAGTGGGGGAAAAAAGTATTTAGTCAGCCACCAATTGTGCAAGTTCTCCCACTTAAAAAGATGAGAGAGGCCTGTAATTTTCATCATAGGTACACGTCAACTATGACAGACAAAATGAGGAAAAAAATCCAGAAAATCACATTGTGGGATTTTTAATGAATTTATTTGCTAATTATGGTGTAAAATAAGTATTTGGTCAATAACAAAAGTTTCTCAATACTTTGTTATATACCCTTTGTTGGCAATGACACAGGTCAAACGTTTTCTGTAAGTCTTCACAAGGTTTTCACACACTGTTGCTGGTATTTTGGCCCATTCCTCCATGCAGATCTCCTCTAGAGCAGTGATGTTTTTGGGCTGTCACTGGGCAACACACCCTTTCAACTCCCTCCAAAGATTTTCTATGGGGTTGAGATCTGGAGACTGGCTAGGCCACTCCAGGACCTTGAAATGCTTCTTACGAAGCCACTCCTTCGTTGCCCGGGCGGTGTGTTTGGGATCCTTGTCATGCTGAAAGACCCAGCCACGTTTCATCTTCAATGCCCTTGCTGATGGAAGGAGGTTTTCACTCAAAATCTCACGATACATGGCCCCATTCATTCTTTCCTTTACACGGATCAGTCGTCCTGGTCCCTTTGCAGAAAAACAGCCCCAAAGCATGATGTTTCCACCCCCATGCTTCACAGTAGGTATGGTGTTCTTTGGATGCAACTCAGCATTCTTTGTCCTCCAAACACGACGAGTTGAGTTTTTACCAAAAATTTCTATTTTGGTTTCATCTGACCATATGACATTCTCCCAATCCTCTTCTGGATCATCCATGCTAGAGTGCATTTGGATCATCCAAATGCACTCTAGCAAACTTCAGACGGGCCTGGACATGTACTGGCTTAAGCAGGGGACACGTCTGGCACTGCAGGATTTGAGTCCCTGGCGGCGTAGTGTGTAACTGATGGTAGGCTTTGTTACTTTGGTCCCAGCTCCCAGCTCTCTGCAGGTCATTCACTAGGTCCCCCCGTGTGGTTCTGGGATTTTTGCTCACCGTTCTTGTGATCATTTTGACCCCTCTGGGTGAGATCTTGCGTGGAGCCCCAGATCGAGGGAGATTATCAGTGGTCTTGTATGTCTTCCATTTCCTAATAATTGCTCCCACAGTTGATTTCTTCAAACCAAGCTATTGCAGATTCAGTCTTCCCAGCATGGTGCAGGTCTACAATTTTGTTTCTGGTGTCCTTTGACAGCTCTTTGGTCTTGGCCATAGTGGAGTTTGGAGTGTGACTGTTTGAGGTTGTGGACAGGTGTCTTTTATACTGATAACAAGTTCAAACAGGTGCCATTAATACAGGTAACGAGTGGAGGACAGAGGAGCCTCTTAAAGAAGAAGTTACAGGTCTGTGAGAGCCAGAAATCTTGCTTGTTTGTAGGTGACCAAATACTTATTTTCCACCATAATTTGCAAATAAATTCATTAAAAATCCTACAATGTGATTTTCTGGATTTTTTCTCTCAATTTGTCTGTCATAGTTGACGTGTACCTATGATGAAAATTACAGGCCTCTCTCATCTTTTTAAGTGGGAGAACTTGCACAATTGGTGGGCTGACTAAATACTTTTTTTTCCCCACTGTACATATTACCTCAATTACCTCGACTAGCCGGTGCCCCCGCACATTGACTCTGTACCGGTACCCCCCTGTATATAGCCTCCCTACTGTTATTTTATTTTACTGTTGCTCTTTAGTTATTTGCTTTTATTTTTTTACTTAACACTTTTTTTATTTTACTTTTTTCTTAAAAAAATGGTATTGTTGGTTAAGGGCATGTAAGTAAGCATTTCACTGTAATGTCTACACCTGTTGTATTCGGCGATTGTGGCAAATACATTTTGATTTGATTTGACTGGGGAGTTTTTCAGGATGAAAAAGAAACTTAATGGCGCTAAGCACAGGCAAAATCCTAGAGGAAAACCTGGTTCAGTCTGCTTTCAACAGACACTGGGAGATGAATTCACCTTTCAGCAGGACAATAACCTAAAACACAAGGCCAACTCTACACTGAAGTTGCTTACCAAGAAGACAGTGAATGTTCTTGAGAGGCCAAGTTACAGTTTTGACTTAAATCTACTTGAAAATCTATGGCAAGACCTGAAAATGGTTGTCTAGCAATGATCAACAGCCAATTTGACAGAGCTTGAAGAATTTTGAAAATAATAATGTGCAAATGTTGCACAATGCAGGTGTGGAAAGCTCTTAAAAACGTACCCAGAAAGACTCAAAGCTTTAATCACTGCCAAAGGTACATTATTAAGTATTTGTAATGAATACTCAGGGAGAAAAAGGTGTACAGTCACGCACAAAGCGCGGCAGGTGTTTATTTCGCCTTCGCAGAAGGCAGGAATCGTGGTCACAGGCAGGCAATGGTCATACACAGGTAGACAAACAGGCAGGTGAAACAAAACTAGGACTGAAGGCTATAACTGGTTCTCACAAACGAGCTAGGAAAAGTCTTAGTAGAGTCAAAACGAATGAACTGAACTAAATAAGGAGCTGATGAGACCAGGTGAGTAACTAACACAGGTGAAATCAATGAACAAAAATGAAAGACAGGGCTACATTCAAGAACACAAGGTTGACTAAGAAAATAAATACAGAACCTTACAGTATTGACTAAGGGGTGTGAATACTTATGTAAATTGGATATTTCTGTATTTCAATATCAATAAATTTGCAAACATGTCTACGTCATTATGGGGTATTGTGTGTAGATGGGTGAGAGAAAAAAGTCATTTAATACATTTTGAATTTTGTAACTCAACAAAAAGTCAAGGGGTATGAATACTTTCTGAAGGCACTGTATCTTTTGTAAATTCATCCGGTGGCTATACGTATAGATTGCATTTGGAATACTGTTAAAGTGCTATTTAGGTTGTTAATTGGATTCGTTCCAACATTTCTTGATAGATTTTTTTATTTTATTTGTTGATTATTTGTTTGACATATTTTAGGACATAAGCATTCGCTGCACCTGCCACAGAGCATGAGAGCGGAGTTGAGCAGTTGGAAATCTCTTTCTTTCCTACCGCTCCGCTAAAAACCGCTCCGCGCTCACAGGCCAAATTCGCTCCATTCATTAAAATCACAATTGAACCAACATTCATCTATTTTTGTGACTACCTGGGCCTACCAATTGGTTTTTAAGTATTGAAACTAAACCATATGGATTTGAATGAAAAGTATTTGAGTAAACTTGAAAAGGTGAATGTAAGAAACAAACATAATTTCAAATAGGCTACAGGTCATATTAAACAGCATATAAACAGTCTAAATAGGTCTGGAGCCAGACAGGGAGCCTAAGAAGGAACGGAAATGTATTATTTAGGCTATATTATTTCAATTATTTCAAGGCTACAGCCTACAAAGAAATACATTGTGAAGCATTTGCGAGTGCAACACAATAGGCTGGTAGGGACGTAAAGCGCTCAGCATTAAAACAACATTTCGTTGTATTAAATCATTATAGTCTATAAATTGCACATATAGGCTGTGACTTACTTAGAATTAAATACAAATTAAACGAAAAATGACTTGTTAGTGCCTTTGAATTCATTTTTAGAATTCATTTTTAGAAACACGAGTTTGGCCAGTCTGTGACTTCAGGCTCATGCGATGGTGCCTGGAGAGCAGGCCAGCAGCGGAGAATATCCTCTCCACCCCTGCAGAGCCACTGGGGAGACTAAACACCCCTTTGGCCACTCTTGCCAGGCTGGGCAGAGATGCAGAGTTGTTTTATTTTTTATTTTTCTATAGGTAGGCCTAAAGGTTTTTAGGCAAAATAACCCAATGAAAATTGAAAGCTCCTTGAACGTGGGAATATGCCAGGCCTATTGGGCCAAAATAAATTATGGCTTATTGTATAAATCAGGGCTGCCCAACCCTCTTCCTGGAGATCTACTGTCCTGTAGGTTTTCAGTCCAACCCTAATTTGGCATATCTGATTCAGCTAGTTAAGGTCTTGTTGAGCAGCTAATAAGTAGAATCAGGTATGTTAAATTAGGGTTGGACTGAAAACACACAGGACGGTAGATCTCCAGGACGAGGGTTGGGCAGCCCTAGTATAGATAATAGAACAAATTAACATAACATTTAAGTGATCTGATTTTTTGTTTATAAATACTTTGCTACAATGACACACTTAGTTATCTATCCACCTCGTTTGTTTCTTTTAGCATGTGCACGTAGTAAGTACACCATCATGATTTCGGGATATTAGTATTTTCAGATTCCACAATGATTCTTTAGTTGTGGACACTACATCACCACACTCCCTCTTTTGCTCTTGGTCCTCATCTTTGTAAGTTACTTTGATTTAGCACCTGTGTGTTTTATCAGTTTCTTTATGAAAATATTTAGCGAACTCCATGACAGTAGCTAAAGCAAGGGGCTATAGAAGCACACAAGTAGACTACAAATGCATGCTGGGGCGGGCATGCCCTGAGCTCTTGAAGTGAGCGAAATTGGAGCGGGCGAGAAGGCCAACGCTCCAGCCTTTGGGAATCTTGCTCCACGCTCCAGTCAAATTGGGCACGCTCCGCTCCGCTCACATACTCTGACCCGCTATAACATCTGCTAAACTGTGTACGTGACCAATAGACTTTGATTTGATTTGAGGGAGCTGGAGTCTGCACTCAGGTTTTTTTCTCCAACCTTTTTCCTCAATTGATTAGTATGGTTCACTCATAGGCCTACACAATGGATGATGTAACAAGTACACTTTGCATTGTATAAATCATTGGGATATGGATGTAGGGAGAACTAAAACGTGTGTTAGCAAAGAAGTATTACAAGCGAATTGCTGACAAACTATCTGTCACACCATTGGATTTCTATTGCAATCATACTGTATCAGAACTGCAGCACCACAACAGGGAATCAACTTGGACTGAGACTTGCCATGCTTATCTGAACCTATTAATTCCAGAATTATTGTCAAAACAAGTTGACGGCTAAGCGGATAATTGATTTAGTCTCAGCGGCTCTCCCTTGAAGAAATATTCATGAGGCCAGTATTGCTGGCAGAAGGCTGAAGGAACTTTAATTGAGATGCCGCGGTCCATTTCAATGAAATGGTAATCATGATGCAGTATCATTATAGGGCAGTGTATAATGGTTCTGCCTGAAATAAAGTGTTTGTGTACAGGGACACAGGAGTACAGAGTTGACTGATTCAAGCGTAGGAGGCAAATTGGGGTGGACTTGTGTTTGAATTGATAAGCATTGAGGGATGCGCGTGGGTGTGTTGGTGTGTGCGTGTGCATGTGTGCATGCATTCAAACAGCCACAGTCGATTCCCATGGAGAACAGCTGGAGTGTATCATTGGGGTCAGAGTTCAGGGTAAGGGTTAGCTGGCTTAACCCAGTTCCGTCTCCAACACCAGTATCTTATATTCTAGTGAACATGGCTGGCTCCTCAGCAGTATTCAGTCCATCTGCCTACTGTATCTGAACAGTCATATAGTTTGCTGTAGTCCCACTCCTGCTGTTTATGGTTTGTTCTGGCAGTCACGGTTCCCACTGTCCAGATGTCCAGCAGACTCTCTGCAAATCGCCTGGCATAGCTGCAGTCCAGGCCACTTCAGCCAGTCAAGCTATCTCAGGTGCAATTAGGCTTATTCTAAGGGGCTAACAACTGTTCTGGACAGGAAATCTGGTGCTGTCTTTGACCGTTTCAATGTGTTCGATTCACTAACTATGTTTTCTGTTATTGACTGCCTATGACACCTGTTCATTCATAGTAATATCAGCTCCATGACAGAGAACTTAGGTATAGTTTTACCCATAGAAATAAGAATGAATAGTCAATGATGGCATAATGGGTGGACTGGCAGCCATTTTGAGTGTACCCATGCCAGGTCGTAAAAGGAGGAAGTGTACCCTTCAATCTGAGTCAACCCAACTCACATTACAAAAAAATACATTCCATTGCATGAGCCACATCAGTTAGCATCATTTGAATGAACATTCCACATTACTATGGCAATCCAGCATCAGTTGATAGAATGTTCCAAAATACCATATAAATTATTGCATCACAATACCAGGCAGCCATTGCGAGTGTACCCTTGATTTTACCAGTCAATTGCCAGGGTTAGCGCTTCCAAGCCCGTTCTATTCATTCTTATTTCTGAATGAGGTGAGACAAGGAGGAGCAGAAGGAGGAGAACATAATAGCTGAAGCACTGACCTGAAAACCTAAACTAACAGCTCTCTCTTCTCTACCTCCATCCCCTCCATATCCCCTCCCCCTCCCTCCATCCCCACAGCCATCACACCTGAGTTCGGAGCCTCTCCTCCCTCCACACAGTTTCCACTCCCACAGCTTGCGGCGGCTGCCCAACTACCAGCCCCTCCACATCAGCCACCCCATGCCTGTCTCCCTCAGTGTGGGTCAACAGCCCCTGCCACCAGTCCCACCCCACCACAAGGCTCTACCGGCCCACACCGCCCTCTCCCCACCACGGACACCGCCGTTCCACAGCCTTCCCCGACAGCAGCCCTACAGAATGGACCAGGTTAGTACTAACTGTTCAGCTATACGCCATGAATACAAATACAGATGGATTTCCCTTATTGGGGATTTCTTTGGAAATTGATCTAGCTCGGATCGACATAGTAAAAAGTAACATATTCCAAAAGGAAAATCTAAAAATGTACTTTATGTCCTCGTCCCAATACCCATACTACCACACAATGTATAAGTTATGGACGATGCATACTAAGTAGTGTGTTGCTATAACCATTGGAACAGCACTTTATTCCTACAGTTCTCCATGTTCTCAACACATCATGCTTTGTGCTGAGCCAGCGGGACTGTGTATAGACGATGTAAGTCCATCTGTCTGCTCAGGGCTCATGCAGGCAGCTGATCTGAATGCGTGGAGCACCATGTCAGATGTCCGCGGGTTTATGAGGTGCAGTGTACACTAGCAGATGCACGTCGCTGTAAAAAAGACATTAACTTTGAGATGTTACTTTTCTCTCTTGTGTATAAAGCACATAACTGCTCCCAGATATAAAGGAAGAGCATGCAGGAGATGGAGAGAGACAGATATAGATGTAATGCATCCTTCTCCTGAGGTACTCTCTGTTGAGGTGGGGCAACAGATGGATCACATATGTGGGAATGGAGTGTGTGTGTATCTTGGTTTCCATAGCAGCCTAGCACAGTTCAGTTCCCCATTGAGAAAAAAAAAATATATATATGGTATCTGTACATCCAAGGCACTCAGGTTCTCTTGTACCCATTAATTTTTTTAACCAAACATGAAATAATGATGAAATTCAAACTCATGAGCTGTATACACTGCTTGAATAATTGTGTACCCCTCCTGGTCTCGGGTTTGACTCGGTCTCCCCCACCCGCTTTAGGTGGTCTCGTCTTCATGTGCTACTATAACCCCACTACTCTACCTACCATGGTCAAACCACTCACATAATGGGATAATATTATTTCACATCAGGGGGACACAATTATTCAAGCATTGTCGGTATAAATCACATTCAAGCAGTTGCTGACACTGACACATAAAACATTACAGAGCTGGAAGTCCCTACAAACTCATTTAGTTTAGGACACACTTTCCACTCTTAATATGTGACAGTGATTTCACAACAACATGGATAAATGTTTTTACACTTCATTCAGTTCTCTAAATGATTTGCATTTGGTGTTTGCTGAAACTTGGCACTTATTTGTGAGTATTGCTCAAGGTTTCTCCCTTTCCTTGCTACAAACTGTGCAGAGCAGCTGGGATGCTGCTAGCAGATGTTTGTCATTAGCTCGTCCTCCCCTCCCTGTTTTAGATTAGTAACACATGATGGCACCTCGTTTAGTTAAACTTTCAGAGAGAACTGCTACAGTGGTGGCTACAGACCTGACAGATGCATTATACAGAGTCTACCTTATGTTGGTGACACACTATAACACAGTGCCCTCTAGTGAGGTTTCAGTACCAACACTACTCTTCAAACTTCTGGTTTGTCGTTCCTAGGACTGCGAGAAACCCAGTCCGCCCCAGAAGCCCCTGCCTGCAGACCCTCTGGGAAGGAGTGCTCGGGTGGGACACAGCACCTCGGTGGTGGGGGTCCGCCTCCCTGGACCCATCCCTATCCCCATCCCCACCGTGCCCAGACCCCTGCTCACCATCCCACAACCAAACAGGTCTGTGCTACGGTGGCCTGGCTGGCACAAAGTTTATAGGTTAATGAGGAGTGGTTGTTCTTTTTTTCCTTTTTTTTTTCTTTGCTCTGCATTTTATTCACTTGTGCTTTTTTTTCACTTTTCAGACCTGCACCCATGCAACCACTGAGACTGCCAAAGACTCATCATTTCGACCGCTGATCTCAAAGAAGTTGTGATGGAATGGAATAATGGAGAGCTCTATGGATGGAGACCCATATTTGCACTACAAGAATACCAGACCTTTGCAACTTTGAAAGTGTCTCAGAGTTTTAGGGAAAGGGGACTGACTTCAAACCTTGGTGCTGTGCCTCTGCTTTTGTTGTCCTCGCTCAGGTACAAATGAACTATTTAATGTCTATATTTATTATTTCTGTGTGCACAGTGCACTCTGGTAGACACTATTGACAGAAGCATATTCAGACTTGGATCGCTGTTGGTGATTTTTTTTTTACCCCCAGCAAAATCAGAAGAACAGTTTGCCATATAATGGAGGGAATGTTTTTTTTTTACATATATATATATATACAGTTAAGGAGAGACATAAAAGGCCATGGTTGTTTTATCCTGTGAAGTTCCTAGAATAATTGAAGAGAGAAAGACAGATTGGGTTCAAGTTAAAGGGAAACAGAGCACTGCATGGAACACTTTATGACAGTAACTTGTAACTCACTAAGCAGCAGTGTTAGGGACTGGGAGTTTTTGTTCAGTTTATCATTAATAAGAACTGCTTTTACATTCCAAGACATCCACTCACTTCATAATCAGAAACGGTGTTGGACTTTGGGCTGACATGTTGGACGTATCAATTGAGGTGTGTTTCGACTAATCCAATTCGGTGCAAAAGCAAGGGAATTGTTCAGAATAGACACGTACTTGAGAATTGACTGTTACGTGATCTTCATCCATAAAAATCTTTATTCATATATACCCTCATATTTTAATTGGCAGGGTATTGGACCCAATTAGAGAACTACCCCAAAGAACAGTATCTCTAACCTTGTAATATTTCTCCACTGGCAAACTTGAACATGTTTACAAACTGACAAATGGTGTTGGGCTCTTACATACCCTTATTAGTTCATGTTAGGACCACACTCTTGAAGGATATGCTGTATTCACCGCTTTCCTAAATAATCAACTCTCTTACACACAGCTTGGAGTATTTGCTGGCAGTTGTGCAATACGTAATGCTCCCAGCGGAGCGAGGAGTCTGATATGACCTGACACTGCTGGGTTTAGAGAATTACAGCAACACCAAATAATGCAATATAACTGGGCTTGTGGAGGAACGTGCTATATGAACTAACATTTTAACTCACTTGATACTGTAGTGTCAGGATGACTTCAGTTTTGTGAACAGTCCAAACCCAACCTAGATGGTGTCTGATGTTCTATTCATTTCTGTATTTTCAAAGTTCACTCAGACAAAAGTATGGCCATGTGGTGTGGTTTACGAGGTAATTTCCAGTACTTGACCTCATATTTATCACTATTCATTTGATATTGGAGCTCGGTGTCATACATTGGCACGCAACTCTCCTTGAGGTTTTCAAGACTCCCATTAAGTTTAATTTGTCCTTTGAAATGTTAGTCTATTACAGGAAATACTCCCAATACCTGTATTGAATGTCGAGTTCTTGTCCCTTTCAACTTTACCAACAATTTGTGGACTTTTAGATTTCCAGTACATTAAAATGTCCAAATGAAAGTAGAGACTGGGTGCATAACGTCTTGGTCACAATATGTTTCATTAAACATAGCTTTGATGAATGCTGAGTAAGAGTGTTCATCATACTGTTCAGTCCTCTGGCATGGCACAGGATGTGTGTGTGCGTGCGTGCGTGCGTGCGTGCATGTATGTATGTTAGCACGCTTTCCATATGCAGTTATGGCCTCACTCTCATAACTACTCATATGGTTGTTTCTCAACAGGAGGGAACTTTTACACGTAAAAGCAGTCAGTACAGCAGTAAAACAGGGGCACATGTGGTTGCATTATTGTAGGTGTAAAACTAAATATCAAACCTGGTCTGCAATGTACTGGGTCATCACCAAAGTACTGATGTGCTTTAGTTAAATGGATGCATATGTGTGGTGTGTGTATGCATATGAAATGTATGTCTTGTCGCTTAATATTGTGGAATGCACTAGCACTACTTACATTGGACTTGCATCAGAAGTTCATTGCATAGTTGCATTTACACTTTTAGTAATCACTGTATGTGTTACAGTTTTACAGATTTAGATATACTGCTATCTGATGTCAGCATTTGTCCGTTTTGGCAGATCTTCAGATCTGTTCATCATCTGTGTAAAAGTTGCTTTTTACAAATGTACTGTATTTTTTTTGTATAACTATTACATTTTCAAATGAATAGCCATTGTACAGTTAGTGTAAATATAGTATCTTTCAGCAATCATGTTTCTTTTCTTTTATGCTTTTTTTTTTTACAAGAGCAGTGGGAACCTCAATAAAGTGATGGTTTCTCCTGTTCAATAAAACATGTTTGTTTCATTAAACTCCTTAAGGAATGAGGATTATGGTAAAAAGCTGGGATTCTGGGATAATTGGAGTACTTGAACATTGAGATTGCAGAGTCAAATAAATGAGGTTTCTCTTATGCTGTACATTTGATATATTTGCACTTATTTTGCTGACTGTACAGGCGAATGTAGACATACGACTTAACACGATACATTTTTTTACAAATAATAATACTAATTTGCACAGCAATGTGAAATTTCTGACTCCCTCTTGCAGGATGATGTTTAATCAGACACAGTGAGCTCCAAAAGTATTGGTACAGTGGCAAATATTTTGTTGTTTTGGTTCTGTACTCCAGCACTTTGGATTTTAAATGATACAATGACTATGAGGTTTAAGTGCAGACTGTCAGATTTTATTTGAGGGTATTTTCATCCATATCGGGTGAACCGTTTAGAAATTACAGCACTTTTTGTACATAGTCCCCCCATTTTAGGGGACCAAAAGTATTGGGACAAATTCACTTACAGAAATGTGTATTAAAGTAGTCAAAAGTGTAGTATTTGGTCCTATATTCACAACACGCAACGACTACATCAAGCGTGTGACTCTACAAACTTGTTGAACGCATTTGCTGTTTGTTTTGTTTGTGTTTCAGATTATTTTGTGCCCAATAGAAATGAATGGTCAATAATGTATTGTGTCATTTTTATTGTAAATAAGAATAGAATATGCTTCTAAACACTTCTACATTAACGTGGTTGCTACCATGATTACGGATAGTCCTGAATGAATCATGAATAATGATGAGTGAGAAAGTTAGACGCACAAATATCATACCCTCAAGACATGCTAACCTATCACCATTACAATAACAGGGGAGGTTAGCATATTTTTTTTTTGGGGGGGGGGGTATGATATTTGTGCGTGTGTAACTTTTTCACTCATCATTATTCACGATTCATTTATGACTATCCGCAATCATGGTAGCATCCACATTAATGTAGAAGTGTTTAGAAGCATATTATATTCTTATTTACAATAAAAATGACACAATACATTATTGACCATTCATTTCTACTGGGCACAAAATAATCTGACATTTAACCAAAACAAACAGCAAATGCATCCAAGTTTGTAGAGTCACAAGATTGATGCAATCATTGCATGCTAGGAATATGGGAACAAATACTGAACTTTTGACTCCTTTAATACACATAAAAGTGCATTTTCCCAATGTGCTGGAGTACAGAGCCAAAACAACAAAATATTCACTGTCCCAATACTTTTGGCGCTCACTGTATCTTTACGGTATAGCGAAACCAAGTAATCCTTTGGGTCTTGAGGGAATTCTTGATGGTTTATTATTTCATTCATCCATAAAAATCAGTATACAGTACATGTATACATGTTATGTTATACAAAACAAATATCCAGATAAAAATGCAGGTTTAAGATACAGCACATACATACAACATGTTAATAAATAAACAACAGTAATAAAGCTATTAGAAATGAGGAAAAAATATATATAATGCTGTCCACCTAAGCCCTTTAATAATGGACTATACCATCTCTGACTATACTCTTCCGTCCTTCTAATAAACTGATGATATTCTGTAGGGGGAAACATTATAATCAACAACATTTGCTCATATATTCACTATAACAGTAGTATACAACACAACAGTAATGTTTATGTAGAAATACATTACCTCTCTTCCAAAGGCCTTTGCCATTTCAGCTGCCCCTGACCCAAACTGCAAAGACAAAAATATCAGTCAATTCCAGAATGATTTAAATTGCTCTAATTGCAACAGATTCCTATGCCGCAAGTTGTCATTACCTCGTTCTTCACATCGTGGTCGGCCCCACTGTCCAACAACAGCTGCACCAGCTCCTCATGGTTGTTCAACACTGCCACCTAGCAAACACACTGGTTATATTGACTGCTAGCCTTGTCCTCTATCAACTTTCGCTGAGTTTGCACCATGAATGGCACAACAAAGGTTTGTGAAGAGTGTTAAGTGTACCATAAGTGGTGTCTTCCCATCCTTGTCCCTGGTGTTAACATCAGCCCCGGCTCTGATGAGGAGAGAGGCCACCGCTGGGTTCCCACTGACCGCTGACACCCTCATCAGAGGAGTCCAGTGGGACACGGTGTCCCTAACGTCCAACTGAGACAACAATCAACGTGCCTTTTATCCTCAAAATTATAACTCTTTCACCCCCTTTAGTCTTCCCCTTTGATAGTTAAACTAAGGCTCTGGTTAAAAGTAGTGCACTTTACATGTACAGTAGGGAATAGAGTGCAATTTCAGACGCAGCCAGCTTATAAAGCTCATAAACGCTGACACCAGTCTTACCTCACAGCCATCCTGGATCATGTAGGCTATGACAGCCAGGTGTCCTCCGTCAGCTGCCCAGTGGAGGGGGGTACAGCCCCCCATGTCCTGGGACTGCCACGTGGCCCCAAATCTCCTCAGGTACTTCACTATGTCCAGGTGGCCAAAGAAACATGCCAGCATCAGACTGACATGGACACAGGAAATGGTGGTGGAGGTCAATCACAAACCCATTCTTCATTTATCCACAACATTTGTACTGTAAATGTGAGCAAATACAGTAGAAGTCTATTTGCAAAGGCAAGGTACATAATACTGTGTGTGCTTGCACACCTGTCTTTCCCACTACCGTTCTTCATATTCACGTCTGCACCGTGTTCTACCAATTTGTGAACCAGTCTGAAAAAGATCCAAGTTCATAGAAAAGGTTTCAAGCATAATGGTGACATTATTCCATTATTAGGAGACCTTGGTGAGCAAGACTCATCCTGTAAGGTTTTACCTGGCAAAGCCTTTCTGTGCAGCCACCATGAGAGGAGTGAAACCGTGTTTGTCATTGACGTTTGCACTGACTGTCCTGGAGAGAAATAAAGCATGACATTCACCATAAGAGTACCTCAAAATGATTTCCTATAGTCCATCTGCTCATTGCTCACCCAGACTCCAACACTCTGGTCATGTCCTCCTCATCATTCATGTTGACAGCACGATGGAGGTTCTTCCCACTCATAGGCTCACCTGGATGACATTATATAAGTGTCATTTTGATAAAGCAGATATGTCAACTGAAAGAGTGCTGTGTACAGTATACTCACGTGTGGTAGAGACAGACACAGCCGGGCTGTAGAGGGACTCCCCAGTTGGTCTTGTGATTCTCAGTCTGTACTTATAGGATGTGCTGGGCTCCAAACATTCTACAGTGTGGTGACTGCTATACCCACTGGTGGTGACCCAAAAGCACAGTTAGCCTACTCTTAGATTATGTCAATTAGAATTAAGCAGGTTTCCAGATATTATTCAGGCCTATAGGTTGTAGTCTATGAATAGCGTATACTCACACATAGATAGTCCCATACGTGTGTGATTTGTGGTCCATCTCTTCCACAGAGAAGCGGGTCCATTTCTCTGGTGAGCCCGTCCGTGGTTCATTCTCCTCCGTCTCCCAGCTCAGGTCAATGCTATGGTGACTCACTTTACCAATGACAGGAGGAGTCGGTGGCTTGAATGGTTTATGGCCGACTAAAGAACAGCACAGACATTGAAAGGGATAAGGTGGGGGTCTGGGAGAGTTGGCCTTAATCTTACACATTTTACAGGAGAGTTACATAACTTACATTACAGTACAGAGGGTTGCATTTCTGGCCATGGCCACTTGATGGCACTACTAGCTGTAAATTACAGAAAAAAAGACCACTTTCTGGGACTTTGTTTTTCTCATGTTCTAGCATTTTATTTTCATTGGAAATAAATAATTATGCACTAAAGGCCACCAAAGACTGTGTACCAGTGAAGGATTTGTCGAATTGCTGAAGGTTAGGTCCAGCTTGCTGTAACTTTAAACTGTACAGTAAAGTTAGCTAGCTACTACAGTATAGCTACTAAAGTAGCTAACGTTAGCTAGCTACTAGCTAACTAAAGCCAGCTCAATCTAACTTAACGTTAGCTAGCTAAACATGCTGTAGTTTGCAAACCTGAATTTCTGAAGACAGTCTTTGATTCAAGACGGAAATCAAAGTAAACTTAAAATTGACATACCTGGATTTGTCATTTTTACAGAAAACAGTTATCTTGTTGATGCCGTTGTATGGTTGCTATGGGCACCAAATGTGGCATGTGCGAGAAAACCTGAGTGTGGAAATCCTTACAATTTTTGGACAACCCTGTGTGATTGGTCTAGGTTGAAGATATGTAACATTATATTTTCAACCTAGCTAGTGATTTATCGTTTGCAATATTCATCTCATTCTATGTGTGCAACATTGTTGCAAATGCAAAATTGCCCAATTGCACAATACATAATAGCCGTGCAGCTGCGCACACTCCTCCACACAGACCATGTTCTCTATTGTTGTCCTTTCAAACTATTGTTCTCTATTCTTTCATGCCTTGGCCTGTCCCATCATGGTGTCATCTGTTGGACTGTTTGGGATTAAGTGGCCACATGACCAATCCAGCCTTCACTTTGTTGCCGGAGCGCGTTTAATTATTCAGGCTCCCCCGGTTTTGTGCAGGGCAGAGGCATTCGAAGCGATTTTATTTAGCTTGAACAACCTACTTTTAAATTATATAAAATCCCAAAACGTTCTTCAAATTCATTTTCTTCACGCTCTTTCTGTGAGCGCATATCTCTCGTCAACCTCAACCATGGCGCAGGGCATAACAACCGGAGGGAAGTATTGGGAGGATAGAGTAGCCTTCGAAACAGAAGGAGCAAGTCAAGAAGATGTGGAATATGATGATGTTTTGGAGCTTAATAAATTTGACGGACTACCCTACTCCTCTCGATATTACACATTACTGAAGGAAAGGATGGCTCTACCAGTTTGGAAAGCCAAGTGTGATTTCATGGACAAGCTGGCCAACAAGCAGTTTGTTATTGTCTCTGGCACTGCAAAAACTGGCAGAAGCTGTCAGGTGAGTTGATTACTCAATGTTTGGTATACTCAGTGTATATTTGTAATACATAGTGACTATGGGTTGCATCCCAAAAATCTCTCCTTTCTCAGAAATTGTGCACTTGTTCAATTCCCTTCTTGGATTTGAAAGAAAAGGACTGGTATAAGGAATAGGCCTATGGTGGAATCTCCCTCTGGTCTAGCCCATTCCTATACTAATCCAATGTTTTTACATGTGTGAGAAGTACTGAACCAATGCACACTTCAGGAGTAAATAAAGATTGTCCAACTGGTAAGTGAAATGAGGGGTTTAATTAATGCTCTCATTATGACTGAAGGACTTGATTAGAGAAAGGATCATTTGTTGTAGCAGTGTGTTTCATGTTCTTATCTTTCTTCCTGTGGCATGCTAAGATCCCCCAGTGGTGTGCAGAGTTCTGCCTGTCTGTCCAGTACCAGAATGGCATGGTGGTGTGCACCCAGGTCCACAGGCAACATACAGTGGATCTGGCCCTGCGTGTAGCTGATGAGATGGATGTCAACATTGGCCATGAAGTGGGCTACAGCATCCGCCTAGAGACATGCTGCTCTGGTGACACTGTTCTCAGGTCTGTAAACACTATTATACACACTGCTCACACACTATTTCACAAACACACACACTCTCTTTCTCATACACACTTACATCACCCCCCTCTTTCCTGGCGTCTGTCTTTTCCGGGGGGGGGGGGGGGGGGGGGGGGGGGGGGGGGGGGGGTAACCACGGAAGTGAACCACGGAAACCTAATTAATCCACTGACCAGACTAATTACTAGAGTAAATGACACTAGCACAAAGCAGCTTCATTAAGGACCCTTTCAGGAGGACGGCTAATACATCATGTTGTCTTACACTTTTGGCTGTAATTTGCTATTAGAGCACTAGAATTGATTGCTTTTACGTTTTTGTAGAAGTGTGTACTTGATAAATCACTTTAGCAGAAGTTTACCAACACAGATGCTACTCCCACAAACCTGTTACCTTACGCCTGTTTACGACCATACATCTGTTTGTGGGTGTATACAGTTGAAGTCGGAAGTTTACATACACTTAGGTTGGAGTCATTAAAACTTGTTTTTCAACCACTCCACACATTTCTTGTTAACAAACTATAGATTTGTGTGTAGTTACCAGCCCGTGTAACTGTCAAAATGGAAGGCACTGGACTCTGAATGGAGGTCATTTTTGTCACATTATCATGGTCCATACACATTCAGCCCAATCAGCTTTGAGAGTGTGAGGTCTATTGGTGTTGACAAGACAGGCAGGAGATGTCTTGTTCCAAGGCAGTAACGTATAGCTACACACTACATGGGGGAAAACGTTTCATCAGAATCACCTTGGGAGAAGCCATTCTAGTCAGTTTCAGTACTCGGCAGTAATGGAGAAAACCAGTAGTGCAAGGACATGAGGTGAAAGAAGCAGACAGGTTTATGTAGATGCACAGCTTCTTGTTTAGTGGTAGCTCTGATGCAGCAGCGTTGTCTGGATAGTAAAGCTAGAGTACGTTGTGTTTCCTCCCTGTCAACTCCATACAATACACAAAAGCTGAGCTAGCTCTGCTCAGGTGGCACAACTGAACAGTATTGGTAAAGCACAATAACGAAATCAGTTGAATGTGTTATGTGCAGCAAAGCGCATACAGTTTCAGTGATATTTAAGAAAAATGAGACATCGAGTGACATTAATTAGGGATACTGGGAGAATCTAGTTTTTATACTCACCCATAGTCAGAAGAACTTGTGGATACCATTCTTCATATGTTAGTGTACCTGTAGACTTCTAGTCATTGCGCTAACGCTAGTTAGCATTGGCTCGTGAAACTAACTTCCTTCATACTGCACGCAGAGACATAACAATTGTATCCACGAGTTCTTCTGACTCTGGGTAATAGCTGTTATTTTGTCCTACAAATAATATAAGCACCCATTATAGTAGTGGCAAAGTAAAACTGATCAAAATTTAGATTATTTGTCATCTAAATAGGCAACCGCATGATTCATAAAATACATTCACTGTTAAAGGAAATTAAATCCTAATAAAGACAGAACTGTGCAGACTAATGAAACCATAGCTTACACATACAGTTGAAGTCGGAAGTTTACATACACTTAGCTTGGAGTCATTAAAACTTGTTTTTCAACCACTCCACAAATTTCTTGTTAACAAACTATAGTTTTGGCAAGTCGGTTAGGACATCTACTTTGTGCATGACACAAGTAATTTTTCCAACAATTGTTTACAGACAGATTATTTCACTTATAATTCACTGTATCACAATTCCAGTGGGTCAGAAGTTTACATACACTAAGTTGACTGTGCCTTTAAACAGCTTGGAAAATTCCAGAAAATGATGTCATGGCTTTAGAAGCTTCTGATAGGCTAATTGACATCATTTAAGTCAATTGGAGGTGTACCTGTGGATGTATTTCAAGGCCTACCTTCAAACTCAGTGCCTCTTTGCCTGACATCATGGGAAAATCAAAAGAAATCAGGCAAGACCTCAGAAAAAAAATTGTAGACCTCCACAAGTCTGGTTCATCCTTGGGAGCAATTTCCAAACGCCTGAAGGTACCACATTCATCTGTACAAACAATAGTATGCAAGTATAAACACCATGGGACCACACAGCCATCATACCGCTCAGGAAGGAGACAAGTTCTGTCTCCTAGAGATGAACGTACTTTGGTGCGTAAAGTGCAAATCAATCCCAGAACAACAGCAAAGGACCTTGTGAAGATGCTAGAGGAAACGGGTACAAAAGTATCTATATCCACAGTAAAACGAGTCCTATATAGACATAACCTGAAAGGCCGCTCAACAAGGAAGAAGCCACTGCTCCAAAACCGCCATAAAAAAGCCAGACTACGGTTTGCAACTGCACATGGGGACAAAGATCGTACTTTTTGGAGAAATGTCCCCTGCTGTGGGGGTGCTTTGCTGCAGGAGAGACTGGTGCACTTCACAAAATAGATGGCATCATGAGGAAGGAAGATTATGTGGATATATTGAAGTAACATCTCAAGACATCAGTCAGGAAGTTAAAGCTTGGTCGCAAATGGGTCTTCCAAATGGACAATGACCCCTAGCATACTTCCAAAGTTTTGGCAAAATGGCTTAAGGACAACAAAGTCAAGGTATTGGAGTGGCCATCACAAAGCCCTGACCTCAATCCTATAGAAGATTTGTGGGCAGAACTGAAAAAGCGTGTTCGAGCAAGGAGGCCTACAAACCTGACTCAGTTACACCAGCTCTGTAAGGAGGAATGGGCCAAAATTCACCCAACTTATTGTGGGAAGCTTGTGGAAGGCTACCCGAAACGTTTGACCCAAGTTAAACAATTTAAAGGCAATGCTACCAAATACTAATTGAGTGTATGTAAACCTCTGACCCACTGGGAATGTGATGAAAGAAATAAAAGCTTAAATAAATAATTCTCTCTACTATTATTCTGACATTTCACATTCTTAAAATAAAGTGGTGATCCTAACTGACCTAAGACAGGGAATTTTGACTAGGATTAAATGTCAGGAATTGTGAAAAACTGAGTTTAAATGTATTTGGCTAAGATTGAATGTAAACTTCTGACTTCAGCTGTATGTACTGTATGTTTGTGACCATTTTCCTCTTCACCACCCCAGGTACTGCACTGATGACATGCTGCTCAGAGAGATGATGTCAGACCCCATGCTGGAGCACTACGGTGTCATCGTCATCGACCAGGCCCATGAGAGGACGGTCAGTACAGACGTTCTGCTGGGCCTGCTCAAAGACATCGCCCTGCAGAGGCCCGAGCTCCGTGTGGTGCTCCTCACAGCTACACACCCAGGACCCAAACTACTGGGCCACTACAGGAATGTCCCACTGATCCAGCTGGAGGGTGTGTGTTCAGCAGAGGTGGTGTATACTGGTACCAGCCACAAGGACTACTTCTGCTCTGCCCTGCGACTGGTTCTGGAGATACACCACTCCCAAGAGGAAGGGGATATAGTCGTGTTTTTGGCCACAACTCAAGTAAGATCTGCTTAAAATGTAATCTCCTAGTCTACAGTCTGGGAATGTGGGAGAAGCCATACCATGACAACTGTTGCTTGGGGAATAGCTTTTCTCAACTTTCTCTTCTTCTCGTGTTTTTCCCTATCTCAGGAGATAGATCTTGCCCGTGATATCCTCCGTCGCGAGGAGGCCAATATATCTCCACATCTAGGGGAACTTCTCCCTATCTCGGTGCACCCTGGGCTGGGTGGGACTCTGCCCATGCCGGGAGAAGAGGACGGCCGGTGCAGAAGAGTCTTCCTCACCTCCAGTCCAAACGAAGACCTCTTTTGGGCTGTGCACATGCTGAACTTTGTCATCGATGCCGGTGTCCAGAAAAGAAATGTAACACGTTGACAAATAGTTATTTTAAGAGAAGCTTTTTGGTAACTACATTGTAAAAGTTTATTTAAATGAATGAATGTTGGTCTTTCCTCATTTTATAGGTTTATAACCCTAGGATCAGGGCAAACTCAGTCGCCATTCAACCTATCAGTAGGAGTCAAGCAGAGAGCCGCAAACAGCTTGTAGGACCAACAGGTATGACAAACACTGAAGTCAGTAACAAAGTCCAGGTGTTGAAGTCACATACAGTCTGGAGAGTCATGTGTTCTTGCTAACCTGAGTGCATAATTTCCCGCAGGGAAGAGTTTCTGTCTGTACCCAGAGGACACACCCCTGCCCAGCGAGACACGCCCCCACATCCTGGATTCTGACATCACATCCACGGTGCTCTTCCTGAAGAGGATGGACATCGGTGGCCTGGGTCGCTGTGACTTCATCGACAGGCCAGGTACGGCAAGACAGGCTGAACAAGTACAGGGTCTTTCTTCAGCATTACATTTAATGTATCTACAGTACTAATGTGACAGGACAGCTAAATGTATACATACTGAATGGAGTGAAACATCAGTACAATGAAATTACATCCATAATGCAATAATGTCCCTTGATTGGTGGCATAACACCAGTGTTGTTTTGTATCTAGGGTTTTGAGTTCCATGCATCCTGTAGAGAGACATTTTGGGTTGAGCTCAGTTAGTTAGTTTGGCCTGTGTGGTATTGAAGGGCGGTGAGCCGTGCGTAAACTGAGCTGACAAGCCCTGTTCTACCGCCATTGTTTTCAGAGCTGACCTGCTTCTGTGAGATCTGGCGCTAGGCTATAGCCCTACACATGGCTCCCTGGGCCTAGTGATGCAGCAGAGGCCATGGAGGGCTAACACTCATTAGAGATAAGAGCTTAGCCAAGCTGTGTGTGTGTGTGTGTAACCCTGCCAAGCACTACAGCTTAATGGTGTGCAGCAGGGCAATGTGGGCGTTCCACTATAAGCCCATGATTGGATGCCATTTAGATTGAAAGTGTGTGCTAAATGGGTGTGTGGTGTGATATTATTTTAATGTTGTTGCTGCTGTGATGCCATTTCTCAGGATTAGACTATTACCATAATTACCATAACGTGACAGTATATTTGAGATGCTTATTGCCCTGTATACTCTATTGTTGAAAACATTGTTACATCCAAAAGCGGCAGTTTAAAGCAAAGCCTCTCAGAACATATATTTTGCATAGTGATGCACAGCTGAAATAAGGATATTGAGGATTAAGATTACAATCAATTTAGCCTGCTTGCCAGTTGTACAACCGTAACAAACTGTTTACAGATTATTTTCTTTATAAAGTCAGATACTTCACAGTTCTGTCATGCACAGTTTAGATTCATATCCTAGGTTGTGTTATTTCCACCAGATCCTGAGGGTCTGATGCAGGCTTTAGAGGAACTGGACTACTTAGCAGCCCTAGATGACGATGGGAACCTGTCGGAGATCGGCATCATCATGTCAGAGTTCCCCCTGGAGCCCCAGATGGCCAAGACACTACTGGCCTCCTGCGAGTTTGACTGTGTCAGCGAGGTGATCACCATCGCCGCTATGCTGGCAGGTGTGTGGGACTTCAACTTGTGCTCTGTGGTCTGTATACCACGTTAAAGATTCATGTTAACACACACACACCACCATGCTGTGGTCATACTTGCGCACTTGCTGACCTCATACAAAGTGAAGTCATGTCAAACCTCACATGTACTTCATAGTGTACAATATTGATGCACTAACCCCTTCTCTCATGCTGCCCTTCTCTTAGCACCAAGCTGCTACCTGGTCCCCTCAATGGAGTTGAGGCTAGAGGCCTCTCAGTGTCACCTGAAGTTCCAGCACCCAGAGGGAGACCACTTCACCCTCATCAACATCTACAAGGCTTTCAAACAGAACCAGCAGGAGCCCTGTGAGTTCATAGGCCTACCTGTAGCCACAACCAGCTTGAAGAAAACTAGGTTAACATTGGCGATAGATTTGTCATTGATTGATGCTTGTAATGTATACAACCCTAAATTCCTCTCTCTGGCTTGGCGTGTTCCAGTTGTCAGTGTGGAGAAGTGGTGTCAGGACTACTTCCTGAGTCTGTCTGCCCTGCAGACGGCTGATGCTATCCGCTCTGAGCTGACTGACATCCTGAGGAGGATAGAGCTGCCTGTCTCCATGCCTTCCTTTGGTTCCAAGGGAAACACCCTCAACATCAAGAGAGCACTGTTAGCTGGCTTCTTCATGCAGGTACGGTGGCTTGGCTTCTACCTTCTGGCATTAGATATCTATTAAACTGCTACTATTAAGACACTTGAAAGATACAATCTACCATTTACTTGGAGTGATTACAAAAGACAGATACTGTTATGACTTTCAGGTGGCAAGGGATGTGGATTCATCAGGGAATTATTTCATGTTGACTCACAAACACGTGGCCCAGATTCACCCTCTCTCTGCCTACGGCACCAAGACGCCCAAACTGGGCCTGCCGGAGTGGGTCCTCTTCCATGAGTACACATTCTCAGAGGACAACTGCATCCGCACCGTGTCCCACATATCACCAGAGGAGTAAGTGGACTAGAGGTGGAAGATGTTCTTTGAACTATGATATATATATTTTTTAAGGGCTTCTGTGGATCTGAAGTAACCATTTGTGAAAGATATACATCAACAAAACAAACATCTAATATATCCAAATATAGGATATCAAAGATAATATCCAAAAACAACTAAATAATAGGTTATAACCATGTGTAGCTTCAAATAGATAACTACAGATATTCACTTCAGGGAGAGATCAGTTCCCAGACAATACTTTCCGTTTTGGCCCAGGCTCTTCACAATGGCACATTAAAGTCAGATTGTAACTGGAAAGGGTTTTCTTAATCCAGCCCTCCAGTTTCAGATGGTTAAAAGGGGATTAGGGATAGCACAGCTACAGTACTTAGACAGTGCTGGTTTAATGGGGACTGTTAATGACAGAGAAAGCTAGGCAGCCGTCACAGGTTACACACTGAAATGTAGCTTTTTAAATCACTCAAATGTTTACCAAATGGTGCCCCTTGCAGCTGTTTGACTGATGTTACTGTAAATGCTATATCCAATAAAGAGAGTCATTCATAGGAAACCCTAGATTGAGATTCTCATTCTATGGTCTATGATCATCTCACACTCATTTCAAAACACACTTAGGTTGCTCTCCGTAATTGCAGGTGACCCAATGTTCCTGTGCTATGTTAAATGTGCACTTCAAGTGCAAGTGAATACTTACTGTGTGAAAACAGAACAAAATGCAAATCCAGTTCACCAATGATTCCCTCTCCCTCCCTCCACCCAGATTCATTCAGATGGCTCCACAGTACTTCTTCTTCAACCTGCCTCCCAGTGAGAGCAAGGACATCCTCCAGAACATCTTAGACAAGGGAGCTGAACACTACAAAGCGAAGAAGATGAAAAATAGCCCCAGCCTAGAGAGCATACCAGAAGTCACAGCCAGTTGTGTCATACAGTGATTGTGAAGGCCTTGGATGGGGACCTCTTTAGAGGCAGAAACGCCCTACTCATTCCCTGGTACTATATTATATGATCATTTTCACCAGTGTTACCTTTGTCGTCTCACCAGGGTTAGTTTTGCGTCATTAAAACTTAGAATCATGTCAAAATATAAAATGAATATAATTCTGTTAATCACTTGAATTGCATTTATATATAAGAAAAAAGTGACTGTCCAGATTGCCAATGTGTTAGTTTTAGTGATTTATATAGGTACCCTTTCTAGTCAATGTATATTTAATTTATAGAGCCCCATGTACCTGTATTATTTTTGGAACTTGCACTTTAATAATAAACACCACTAAAAATGCATGTTTCGGGAGTGCTCAACCTAAATGCACATCTAGTCCAAAAATAAGCCTATTTTGGGCATTCCAAAAGCCAAATTATAAACTGGATGGTCGAGCCCTGAATGCTGATTCGCTGACAACCGTGGTATATTTAAGCAATAAGGCATGAGGGGGTGTGGTATGACCAATATACCACGGCTAAGGGCTGTTGTGCACGACGCAACGCGGAGTACCTGGATACAGCCCTTAGCCGTGGTATATTGGCCATATACCACAACCCCCCAAGGTGCCTTATTGCTATTATAAACTGGTTACCAACGTAATTGGAGCAGTAACAAGAAATGTTTTGTCATACCCGTGGTATACGGTCTGATATACCACGGCTGTCAGCCAATCAGCATTCAGGGCTCGAACCACCCAGTTTATATATATAACAGACCGTATACCACGGGTATGACAAAAGTTATTTTTAGTCTATGTTGGCAAAGTACGAAGAATGCACCAGTGTTTAAGCTGTGTTATATTTAAGCAATAATGCCCGAGGCGGTGTGGTATACGGCCACTCCGCATTGCGTCGTGCTTAAGAACAGCCCTTAGCCGTGGTATATTGGCCGTATACACCACACCGCCTCGGGCCTTATTGCTTAAATATAACACAGCTTAAACACTGGTGCATTATTTGTACTTTGTCCTTACCCTCCACTGCTTTTTAACCATCTGTCCCTTTCTGTTAAATTCCTCTAGTCCGTCACAGTGAGGGCGAGGCAGTGCATAAAATGGCTGTCCCAGACAGATTACCGAGGTACAGAGCAGCACAGGGACACAATTTGAGTTTGTTGCTCCATTTGCTGTGGAGAGAGAACGGGTGGGGTTGACCCAATTCAGTGACAGGGCATTACAGTATTGTAGCTACACGAGGTATTACAGCACCATGTGACCTCTTTAGTCCTACATACACACTTACAGGCACATGCCAAGATACAGACAGAAATAGGTTGAACTGCTTGGCACCAAGGTTGGTGTTGTGTAGTAGTGTTCATACATTGTCATTACCAACATGAATCAAGACAAGGTGATTAGAAATATAATTCAAACCTTTATTTCAAGTCAGGGCAATCATGCAGGCACACACGTTCAAACACTCAGCAACCAGTACAAATCATCCTTCGAATGGATAGTTCGCAGTTAACATTGCCTGCAGGCTATTGCACATTATCAGTTTGAAATGTTCTTACCTTATGTGCTGTTACATTTTATCCAGGTTTATAATACCAAATCCCATTGAGATACCGGTACTCCAAAGTTTGAGTCATGCGCATGTATCTCTCATTTAGAGATAACAAAGAAAATATATTTTAAAAGGTAATTTTCCAATCTTCTTTACAAAACTAAGCCAATTGAAAAGGTGAGAACAAAGACTAAACTGTGGATTTTGCAGTCTGGAAGTAAGGCACAGCTGGTGATGCTTTCACATTGCAGGTGTAGGTGTGTAGAGCAGTGAACACCTTGTTATTTTGGTTGTCGTCATAACGATGCCCCGAGGTCAACGCTTCCTGTCTTTGGGGTCAGCTGTTGCAGGAGGTCGAGGAAGAGCTCAACGCGGTTGAGGAGTGGAGCAGTCTTTTCAGCACGCAGTATCTTGGAGTAAACAGTCTTATAGGTCTTCAGGAGCTCCTCGTCCTTATTGCTATTGTAAAAAAGATATGTACACAGTCATGTGAAAAAGTAAGTACACCCCCTGGAAACATGGATATTTGAGCTAAATTCCCACCACATTCATTGATAAAGGTAACTCAATTTAACAAAGCACAAAAAAAACGAAAGTGTTATGCAATTAAAATAAACATGCATTTTCCTTATGTGGAAAAAGTTAGTACACCCCTACCTTTACCGTCACAAAATGGCTAAACTTAAAATAAGGTGCAAATGATTAGAAAATCATTAGAGAGAAACTTAGGAGGGTCCAGCCAACCATATAGATTAGAAACTTGGTCTGGTTTGGTCACCATACGAGTGTGGTAACACATCATGCCAAGATCAAAATACCTACCAGAGGCCCTCAGAAGAAAGCGAATTGATGCACATGAATCTGTGAGGGGTTACAAATCCATTTCCAAGCAATTCGAAGTACATCATTTCACTGTCCGACAGATCTACAAATGGAGAACATTCCAGACCACTGGCAATCTGGTCGTCCCACCAAATTCTGACCAAGAGCTGACCGAAAGATGCTCATAGAAGAACCCCAGGGTAACATGGGCGGCAGGTAGCTTAGTGGTTAAGAACGTTGTGGCAGTAACCGAAAGGTCGCTGGTTCTAATCCCTGAGCCGACTAGGTGAAAAATCTGCCGATGTGCCCTTGAGCAAGGCACTTAACCCTAATTGCTCCTGTAAGTCGCTCTGGATAAGAGCGTCTGCTAAATTACTCAAATGTAAATGTAAATCAATGTTGAAGTGCATGAGTCAACTGTCAGAAAGAGACTGCACAAACTTGGCCTACATGGCAGGTCAGGAAGGAAGAAGCCTCTGCTCTCAAAAAAGAATATCAAGACACGACTGACGTTTGCCAGAAAACACCTGGGTAAAGACCAAAACTACTGGAACAATGTGCTCTGGACAGATGAGTCAAAGGTGGAGTTGTTCGGCCGCAATGCCAGACGCCATGTTTGGCGAAAACGAAACACTGCCTTTGAACAGAAGAACCTCATACCAACTGTAAAGCATGGAGGCGGTGGCATTATGGTTTGGGGCTGATTTGCTGCCTCAGGACCAACTTGCCATCATTGAGTCAACCATGAATTCTATGTTGTAGCAGAGAATTCTTGAGGAGAATGTGAAATCTGTCAAAAAGCTGAAGCTGAACCGAACATGGATCTTGCAACAGGACAATGACCCAAAACACAAAAGCAAAGCTACAACAGAATGGAATGGCTGAGTCAAAGCCCAGATCTCAATCCTATCGAAATGCTGTGGGGGGACTTGAAGCGGGCCGTGCATGCAAGAAAGCCCTCGAACAAAACACAGTTGAAGCAGTACTGTAAAGAAGAGTGGGCAAAAATGCCTCCCAGTCGACGTAAGAGGCTGATAGACAGTTACAAGAAACATCTACATTAAGTTATTTCAGCCAAAGGGGTTGGTGTACTTATTTTTTTTTCCACACTATGGAATTGCATTTGTTGATTTTTGATGAATAAATGATTGCAAAGTATAATCTTTGTGTCATTTGTTGAATTAGGTTACCTTTATCTGTCAATAGTGTTGAAGTGAAGATTACATATCCATCTGTCCAAATATGTATTTTAAAAAAAAAAGACAACTTTCCAGGGGGGTGTACTTACTTTTTCACATGACTGTTTTTAATCAAAGCTATACTTACGTGTATTAACATTTCTTATTTCCTCAATAATAGTGTAGGGATGCTGAGATTATGACACCCTAACCCCTATCGCCACTGTGTACTGTCTTACAGAGATTGACACTTGTTAAAGAGAAGGCTATAGGCACAGCTCTGTGTGGAGGGACATCTGTGGCAGGGCAGGACTAACACACAGGGATTCAAATGCTTAGAGTTCTTTAGATACTCAAGTTATCTGCTGGCCGAAGTACAGTGTATTGAGTGTAACTCAAGGTATTGAGGGCAATCAGTGAACCAGTAGTGTTATTAGAAAGCCTACCTGACGACCAGGTCTTACACAATGACCTTTTATGCATATTTTATTATTATCTGTTATCTTCCCACTGACTTTACCTGCCCTGCCCACTTCACTCCTCCTCCAAAACGGTGACCAATCCATCCAAGAAGAAATTGATAGAAAAGAGAAGATGCTCTGAGCTGTCCTACAAAGACCAAGCTACTACTAACTGACTGACTGACCAGTCTTAAGATGAAAACATTACGGAAGTTTCAGTATTATGCTTCTACTGGATCTCATGTTTAGTCCTGGTTTAGTCCCCTGCCGGACAAGGTTAATCAGGCTGGGTACAACCAGTCCTTTCCTCACCTTGGTTTGCGCTTCATGGCGGTCATCAGCTTGACCAGCTGCAGCAGCAGGAAGGAGAAACTGGGCTCAAAGACGCCAATCAACTTCATCACTTCTGTTGTGTTCAGCCCTGATGAGGTGTGGCCATCTGCACCACTGTCAAGGGGTCCTGTCAACTCTGGGCCGTCTGTCTACAGAAGAAAAAAAGAACGATGTGGAAATTTAAAGTAACTTTTTAGGTGACCTGACCAAATTCACATAGAAATGTGAGTTATAGATCTGTCATTCTCATTGAAAGCAAGTCTAAGAAGCGCTAGATCTGTTATATGTGCGCTATTTCTATGCTTCCCGTTCTTAAGTTTTTTTTGTTGCATCTTTTACTTTCAGTTTTGTACACCAGCTTCAAACAGCTGAAAATACAATATTTTTGGTTATGGAAAATATATTTCACAGCGGTTTAGATGGTACAATGATTATCTACACTATACTTGCTTATTTACTCACATAAACTGAAATTAGGCAAACTATTAGTTTTAGCAACCAGGAAACGCAACTTCAACAAGCGGGAGGTGGTGTGGGAGTAGTTGGTGGTTAGATGTAACCAATGATTCTCAAACAGAACGTACAAGGGGATTGCTGCTATCCGAGTGCCTCTGCCACAGCAGTAAGTTCTATTTGTGTCTGTACCTCTGTGCGGTCCTCTAGCAGCTCTTTGTGGATAAGCAGGAAGGCATGGCGAGTGTCCGTCATGATATCCAGGGCTCCTGTCAGGGTCTTCAGCTTGGCCCCACTGCTGTTCTGACCTGTAAACACACGGTTACTCAATAACACCACCTTTTAGGAGACTATGACAGTTCCGACCTGGCTGGGAGTGAGCCTGACCCTGGCCTGGGGGAGTGAGCCTGACTGACCTGCCATGGTGAACTCGGCGAAGGCCACCCTCTCCAGCAGGGTGCGGAGCAGCTCGCAGGGCGCGTCCTTCAGGCTGAGGAACAGGCGGACAGCCTTGCTGTAGTGCAGCTCTGCCAGGCTCCTGTGTTGCTTCCTCAGGTGCTCATCCCCCACCTGGCACAGAGGAAGAAACATCAGGAATGTACTACACAGACTGAACACCTTAATGCTCTTCTTCAGATGCAACACAACATTTAAATGGTTTAAAAACAGGACTACTGGTAGATATCTTGCTCTAGTTAAAGTATACGTCCTAGGTCAGGTCCTTACCTGGTTGCGGAAGCAGCTGTGGTACATGGAGGCCAAGCGGTGGTGGATTGTGGCAGCTCTGTACTGGTAGAGGGGCTGGCGGGCCGACTCTGTCTGCAGGTCACAGTACTTCAGAGACTTCAGCATGGCCTCTGTCACCTCCCGCTCAATCTGGCAACCCACAGCAATGAAAATGTAGTTATGGATTACTGTGCTCCTACAATTTTCATACCGGCGCTAACCATTTCACCTAGGGCAGCAAGTAGAGTTTGTATGGTTAGTTAACTTGCTAGATATTTTCCATTCTGTTCATTCACCTACTATGAATCTATCCAAGTGTTACCTGTTCCTGGGCCTTCCTGGACAGAGGGGCATAGTCCTGCAGCAGAGTGGCCAGGGTGAAGTAGGTAGTGGACAGCTCCCAGTTGACTGAGTCCCACACTGCAGGGTGGTTCCCTCTGGTGGCCAGGGACCGCATAGCCCTCAGGTAGTAGTCTATAGCCTGAAGAGGGGGAGAGAGTGAGCGGAAAGGTCCCTGCTCCATTTTCATTAGCACCAACTCTTACAAAGCATAGTGATTTTAAGTTGAATTACCCTACTTAAAGACATGCCAAAAAATAAGAAACCTTATAGAGAGCTTATGCAGCAGTTGACAAAATGACAGGAAAGTGACTGGCACAAAGATAAGCAGATCGTTTAGCCTTCATGCCTTTCTATTTATTGTGGAAAACAACTTGGGGTTGGTATAGAAATTGAAATTATTATATGTCTATTATATAATGATATTTCTATTAGTGTGGTAGTGGTACCTTATTGTAATAAAGAGCCTCCTCTGGGGAGAACTCTCCTCTGCTCAGGTCTGCAGATGTAGCACAGTGGGCCTGGGCACAGATCCTCATCAGTCTGCCTATGTTGCACAGCAGCAGGGAGGTGTTGGTGCTGTCCTCGATGGCCTCAAAGTCCTTCATGCCCTTCTCAAAGCACGAGAAACTCTTCTTCCATATCTCCTGTTCAGCTATAGATACAGACTTATTCACTGAAAAGGAAGGGGGTGGGGGGGTTAGAGTGAGGAAGAGGTTAATATTTTGTATTTTAGGTCTGTTTCCTGAAGAAAGATATGTTTCAGAAATATTGCTTATATTGGTTACAACATTCATGAATGTAATCAATAAATCAACAAATCAACAAATCAACCATTTACACAAAAGTATCCTCCATAACTGATTGGCCAGACTCCTTACCTTCCTTCTCGGTCTGCATTGCAGCTGCCTGGTTCATGTAGAAGACTCCTATCTCGTTGCGAATGTTGCCCAGTCTCTTCAGTACCTGGGCTAGCTGTTCAGGGCCATGCTCCTTCACCACCCCGGAGGTCAGCAGCTCGTAGGCCGCCTCGTAACACTTACTGCTCACAAACAGCTGGTACTCTGGGTCCGTGGCCAGGTCACTGGCCATGTTAAAGGCTGGGGGACAGTCACACAGGCCAGACTGATCTAATTTGTAACAACAATGATGCACTGCATTTATATATAGGATTGTTCAAGCTTTTAAGTATTGTAATGTTAGCGTTTGTTATTACAGGTTCTTGCTTCTGAAAAGCACCACAGCAGGGATCCTCAACTAGATTCAGCCGTGGGCCGATTTTTTCTTGAGCGGATGGTCGGGGGGCCGGAACATAATTACACATAATTTATAGACTGCAAATTGACCGCAAGAAACCCAAACAGATATAAATGTTTGACTAAGACATAATTTCTAATCTTGCTTACATTTGTATACGATCACATCTCTCTCTATTTTGCGTGGGAATACTTGGGAACAGATTTCTTAAATAAAAATCACTTGGTCTTTTATGTCCAACAATGAAAAATAAAACCCTTCACTACATTAAATGGCAAGACCTTTAAATCTACTGAATACTGAAACCTTTTGGGTCAATTGTGAAGACATTAGGAGGGATGTGTTATGTGTTTATTGTTGAAAAGTGTGAGTGTCTCTTCACCCTGGCAGCTGCTCTCTCTGTGCAGGCTGTGCAGCACTTCCTGGTCCTCCTTGGTCTGGTAGCTGTACTCCTCGAGGTAGGCAGCACGGTTACTGGCGTTCTGGGCAAGCATCAGCTGGATGTCCCCACACAGAGACAGACACTGGCTGTGGAACAGCAGCACCCGCGAGTGCAGGGTACTGCTCACTGAACAGTAGGCATCTGCAGAGGGAGGGAGAGAGATAAAGAGAAGGATGAAGGAATGGAGGTAGCAAGGAAGGTTCAACACTATTTCAACAGGTCGCCTACATTATCCATCAGTCCAATCTCAGGCAGCCAATCTGATCAAAACTACATTTCCCAGAATGCCTAGCTGAACCGGAGAGGAGACACTGACCGTGGCACTGCAGGGCCAGTTTGATGTAGCGCAGGGCCCGACCATACTTGAGCAGGTTAGTGGCAGCGTCTGACAGTACGTAGTAGGCCTTGGACGCCTTGAAGAAGAGCTGCAGCTTCATACGGTGCTGCCAGGACCCTGGGATCATCCCTGACCTGGTCGGATGCTTCCGGTCCTCCTGGAAGGGACCAGCTGTACCCAAGAGAAATGGAGAGAGAGACGGAGGGGAAGGGAGAGAGACGGAGGGGAAGGGAGAGAGACGGAGGGGAAGGGAGAGAGACGGAGGGGAAGGGAGAGAGACGGAGGGGAAGGGAGAGAGACGGAGGGGAAGGGAGAGAGACGGAGGGGAAGGGAGAGAGACGGAGGGGAAGGGAGAGAGACGGAGGGGAAGGGAGAGAGACGGAGGGGAAGGGAGAGAGACGGAGGGGAAGGGAGGGAAATAGATGGAGGGGAGAGAGAGAGGGGATAAGAGAGATAGATAGGGAAAGAGACATAAAGAGGCAAAGAAATTGAGGTATTTATTAGGGGCTCTTCCCGGAGCATCTTCACATATAACGAGGAACCTGCTCATTATGGTACATCATCATTCATTATCAATAATGTAGTATATCTATGCTTCTTGATGGGGTCAGTGATGGCCAACCTCTGTCCAGGAGGAGTGCGATCCCTTTCTCCACGGCCTTACTCCCATCCTCGTACTTCAGGGGAATGGGGGTGTTGGGGTCAGCAGCTGGGAGGTCACTCTCCTTCTTAATGCTGCCGTCCACTGCTTTTAGTCCCTGCCAATCACATCCAACCTTTAGCGCTCACATACACAGCATTTATTTTAGTGATAACCAATCCCTTTTTTGTACAATTTTATTTTTCAAACAATATATAAACATATACAGACAAAAGACAACAGACAGACGCACACAAACATCCACGTCATCACACCTGCCCAGACCCACATGTTCCCACCGCATCTATCGCCAGTGCTTGTAAGACTTAATGCCATTTGGCCTCAAATTGCACTATTCTGTGTTTCTCTGTAGCCCATACCTTTTCAATATCTAAATAATAATAATGCATTTGATTCTTCCACTGTCTTAACAATGGAGGATCATTCAATTTCTATTTTTATTTTTTATGATTGACGAGAAAAGTATGGTTCAAACCAATTGGCTATCTCACCGCACCCTCATATGCCATGTCTTGAACTAAGCAGATACAGTGGGGGAAAAAAGTATTTAGTCAGCCACCAATTGTGCAAGTTCTCCCACTTAAAAAGATGAGAGAGGCCTGTAATTTTCAGAAAATCACATTGTAGGATTTTTTATGAATTTATTTGCAAATTATGGTGGGAAATAAGTATTTGGTCACCTACAAACAAGCAAGATTTCTGGCTCTCACAGACCTGTAACTTCTTCTTTAAGAGGCTCCTCTGTCCTCCACTCGTTCCCTGTATTAATGGCACCTGTTTGAACTTGTTATCAGTATAAAAGACACCTGTCCACAACCTCAAACAGTCACACTCCAAACTCCACTATGGCCAAGACCAAAGAGCTGTCAAAGGACACCAGAAACAAAATTGTAGACCTGCACCAGGCTGGGAAGACTGAATCTGCAATAGGTAAGCAGCTTGGTTTGAAGAAATCAACTGTGGGAGCAATTATTAGGAAATGGAAGACATACAAGACCACTGATAATCTCCCTCGATCTGGGGCTCCACGCAAGATCTCACCCCGTGGGGTCAAAATGATCACAAGAACGGTGAGCAAAAATCCCAGAACCACACGGGGGGACCTAGTGAATGACCTGCAGAGAGCTGGGACCAAAGTAACAAAAGCCTACCATCAGTAACACACTACACCGCCAGGGACTCAAATCCTGCAGTGCCAGACGTGTCCCCCTGCTTAAGCCAGTACATGAAGTTTGCTAGAGTGCATTTGGATGATCCAGAAGAGGATTGGGAGAATGTCATATGGTCAGATGAAACCAAAATAGAACTTTTTGGTAAAAACTCAACTCGTCGTGTTTGGAGGACAAAGAATGCTGAGTTGCATCCAAAGAACACCATACCTACTGTGAAGCATGGGGGTGGAAACATCATGCTTTGGGGCTGTTTTTCTGCAAAGGGACCAGGACGACTGATCCGTGTAAAGGAAAGAATGAATGGGGCCATGTATCGTGAGATTTTGAGTGAAAACCTCCTTCCATCAGCAAGGGCATTGAAGATGAAACGTGGCTGGGTCTTTCAGCATGACAATGATCCCAAACACACCGCCCTGGCAACGAAGGAGTGGCTTCGTAAGAAGCATTTCAAGGTCCTGGAGTGGCCTAGCCAGTCTCCAGATCTCAACCCCATAGAAAATCTTTGGAGGGAATTGAAAGTCTGTGTTGCCCAGCGACAGCCCCAAAACATCACTGCTCTAGAGGAGATCTGCATGGAGGAATGGGCCAAAATACCAGCAACAGTGTGTGAAAACCTTGTCAAGACTTACAGAAAACGTTTGTCCTGTGTCATTGCCAACAAAGGGTATATAACAAAGTATTGAGAAACTTTTGTTATTGACCAAATGCTTATTTTCCACCATGATTTGCAAATAAATTCATTAAAAATCCTACAATGTGATTTTCTGGATTTTTTTTTCTCATTTTGTCTGTCATAGTTGACGTGTACCTATGATGAAAATTACAGGCCTCTCATCTTTTTAAGTGGGAGAACTTGCACAATTGGTGGCTGACTAAATACTTTTTCCCCCCCACTGTAGACGATTTAAAGTACATTTACAATCCCATAACTATCACCATACTACAGTAGAGGCCCACCTTTAAGACGTAGCTGAGGACGTGCCGACATCTTTCCTCCTTGTCTTGAGAGACGGGAAATGCGTAGATTGGCTGCAGTGGGGGGTAACAGGATTACTTCATTGTCTAGATAGAACATCTAAAAACACCTCTAAGACAACTCTACTCACTCCGTGTAGCGGCTAGTTTCTAGTTAGGTCAAGATATGTAAACATATCCACAATGTCACCCAAACAGAGTAGCTAGCGACAAACGTGTGACACTCACCCTGATCTGGTGAGTGGACTTGTACTTCTCTGGAACAGACAGCTCCCCCACTGATTTGATAATAGCTACAGCTTTGCTATCATCCTGTGAGTCCAACGCGGTACTAAAGGAGGCGTTCTCATCACTGTCCTCTGGTAGATCTTCATGATCCTCCTCTTCCTCCTCGTCACTGTAGCTGTCCTCTGAGCCCCCGGCCCGCAGCGACTCCCCCCCTGCTCCATCCTCTGGAGGCTCGTCCAACTGGAACAGCTCTGCCAGCATGTAGTGGGCCGATGCTATGATCTGAGCCAATCAGAAAGGGGAGAGCACGGTTAGAGAGAGGGAACGGGCCAACAACAGAGAAGGAACAGGCTAGCCGGGTTGTTCAACAAATGTGTAATTTATTTTTCGTGCAAATTTCTCGTCTTTGGATATCAATGAGAGGTTTGCACAAACATTTTTGAAACAAAGGCCTTTGGTCATGTGGAGTATGAGTGCGAGTCCAGTCCATTACCTGTGGGTGCCTCTCCTGGTCCAGGAGCTTAACACAGTTGAGGAGCAACGTTCTGATTGTTCCATAGTGCTTCCTGTTCTGGCTCTTCTTCAGCATCATGTTGCTAGCCACTCTGCAAGAACAACAACGCACATTCTACAAAACAGAATGTATAGTCTGGTGCCACCTGTTGGACTTACTGTATTTGTCATTACTGTACTGACTGAAAACTGTATGTGTTGTGTACTGGTTTCAGGGACATGTGTTAATACTGTGTCAGGTTGCAGGTACCTACTTGTAAAGGAGCACCGCCACAGGCAGAGTGAATGGGTTCTGGCATTTCTCCTCTGCTGCTTCCTCACAGAGAGTGGTGAGGTCATACAGCTTTACGATGTCACTTCCACTAGCTGATGAAGCACAGAAACGGGACAGTAAGATTAAGTAGGGCTACTACCACATAGTACTGTTTATTTACTAGGTTTATTTTGTAAGTCCAACAGGAGTTACAGTGAGTGTGTTGTGTTATCTCCCACCTTTGAAGAGCCAGTAGGTATGGCCCTCTTTGGTGCAGTTAGACTTGAGGAAGGACAGAATGTTCTGAGCGATGTCTTTCACAACCCTGGTTGAGAAGGTGGAGTTCTCCAGATCAGGGATGTCTTCCGTTTTGATCATCTCATATTTCTGACCAAAGAACAAATCAGCACTAACTTTAGAACAGTGTTTACATTTTAGTCATTTAGCAGACTCTTAGCCTGAGTAACTTACAGGAGCAATAAGGGTTAAGTTCCTTGCTCAATGGCACAGACAGATTTTTCACTTAGTCGGCTCGCGGATTCGAACCAGCGACCTTTCGGTTACTGGCTCAACACTCTTAACAGCTAGGCTACCTGCCGCCCCAGTGTTCAATTGTGAATATGTATATAGGGTTAAAAATGACAAGTTTGGGCATTAAAGACAGGGCTTATTTACCTGGACGATACCATTTACATGAAAGCACATGACGAGCTCTGGAACATTGCACATCAGATTGTCCAGCCAGTAATCAATACCTGTGAGAATGTTGATTGGCTTGTTGTTATCCCTAAAAAAGAAAGAACCTTCTAGGTATTTTGCAGGGGAACATTGCTGTGGAACAGTAGTAAACCAATTGAACATTTTTATATTGACTGCCATGAATGATGCTTCTGGGGCCATTGTTCCCCACTTTACGTGATTCTGACCTGAGCCGCAGGCTGACAGCTGGGTAGCGTCCTCCTCCAAAGATAGGCATGTTGGACCCCACCAGCATGTGGATGTCCTCAAACGTCCACAAGATGTTCCTCACAAAGTCATTCCTCAAACCCTGTAAAAAAAAAGTTGAGGGAAAAGTTGAATGGATACTTGAATTGAATAGATGAAACGAATCTACAATCAAAGAAACAAATGCCAACTAAACAAAAGACAGAAAATGCACATCTTTAATCATCCTGTTGATGACCCTACCTGACTGTTCTCCCCCTCGTTGAACAGTGTGGTAAGGTTCTGCTCTTTGGAAGCCACTTGTCCCAATGCATACTTGCTGTCCATGGGAACCCCTTCCTGTAAGGAATGGACATACAGTCACCAAGGAAGAAACTGAAACTCAACCAGAGCACAACACAGACTTAAGGTACTGCACATTGCTACCCATTTCCATAAAGGGTGACCTACCTCTTTGTGGGCTGTGGACTCCTCTGTGTCTGAAGGGTTGCTGGTGAAGGTAGCTGGCCAGGAGGGACCAAACTCCTCCGCCCCACACCCCTCATCAGGGTTGTCTGAGTCAGGGACAGGCTCTGCGGCTCCATCACCATTAATACTAGAGAAGACATGGAGGAGTCAACCTTTAGGATTTACTCTTGCTAAAATAAGGTTCTTGTTTCTATTGCAAGTCTGTCACATTAACAAGTAGGCTAGTAGTCCAACTAGGGCTGTGGCGGTCATGAAATTATGTCAGCTGGTAACTCATGCAAATGACTGCTGGTCTCACGGTAATTGACTGTTAATTAACAAACACGATTAGCAACTCCGGACTTCCACACATACAAGCTGCTGATGCGCTCCTTTGGAAAACATAGGCCTACATTTTAAAAAGTTGAATGGAGCGGCTATTGTGTTGAGCATAAAAGTGATAATTTGAAACAGGTCCAATAGGCTACACTTAATTTAGAGTTAATTGGTCACTTTAGTTGTGATAGGCCTACAAACCTCAGAATGTCTTAGAAATCGAAACATTTGGCTGCATGATACGACTATATTTATGATTTGGGTGGCAAGCAGGTTAGGAGATATCTAGTCAATGGAATTAAAATGACAAAATCAGAAGGAAAGGCTACAATGACCAAAAGCCAACAGGCAAGCTGCTATTGTTATTTGTAGGCTATTTGTTATTTGTAGGCTAACTGTAGGACGGTGAGAAGCACAGTAGCGTTATGGCTAGCCTCAATTAGCCTAGTTAACTAGTTTCTCTCGGTTTGATGCAGTCAAGACAGATACTATGTAATCGGATGGGATGATAAATAACTAGCAGTCTACTAGCGCGAGTTAACAGTGGTTGCTGTCCCTCTCCCTCCGTCTGCTCCAGTGCTCCGAGCCTTACTTACACACACCGCATGGCCCCTCCACCGCTCCATAGTAGCTACAGCTGCTCGCTCTGTGCCTCTCTCTCTCCCTTTTGTTAATTGCGCCGGTTAATAAAGTAGCAAAACAATTGGCTTTTTTGCTGCTTCCCTCACTCGGATTGGACCGGGTGTGGACCCGATCGGGTCCATACAGGGCTGGGTCTGGTTGTCCTTATGTCCGTTCGGAATGGGTTTTTAAAAATGTATTTATGCATATTGGGTTCAGGGCTTTCTGGTGTCCATTTCGGAACAGGAGCTCTAACTCCCATCACCATTTGTCCTCATCACTTAGATCATTCAAATTCAATCAAAGGCCGTTAGCAAGTTGGGTAGGCTACCCATCAGCCCCAGTAATTTTCACAGTTTTGGATGGGATTACCGTGACCAACGGTCACAGGGAATTTGACTGCGGTCATGACTGGTGACTGCCGGTGTGGTGGTAATGTGGTCACTGAGGCGACAGCCCTATGTCCAACCTCAAATAACTCACCTGTAGTAGAGGAACTTGGACAGGATTGCTTTTTGGTACCAGTGTTCCTTGCTCTTCTTTTTTCTCTGCCACTTTTGATCTATTAGTCTCTGGTAAAACTCCTTCAGCCATGTCCAATCTCCTGTCTGACATAATATACATATAGATCATACTACTATACTGGCTACAATCAAAGAAAAACACAATCAAATGTATTTCTACAACCATTGTCAATTGTTCAGACATTTTCAGGCTTTCTTCTCCGCTGGCTGTCTAATTGTACCTGAGAGGACCTCATGAAGAGCTCCTGAATGTCCAGTTCATCAAGGAGGAGAGTCCTTCCCACGCGGTGGACGGCCATACTGACATGGGACTTACTGTAGGGGATCTTCAACAGCTTCTTGATGTTCTGAGTAGAAAAGAGAATGAAACCGTTAGGTTCAACAAACAGTTTTGATTACCAATCATGTCAAACACATAATATAGTAGCAAAACAAATTCTTAGCTGTTGAGCGGATAGACCTACCTCAGAGTCTGACACCACATCAACATCATCCCCAATAGAATCAATGAAGTCATAGGCCATCCCAAAACTGTAGATAGAAGAAAATACATGTACATGAGCACCTTGCAACAATTCAGTGATGATGCATACCACCAGATATCACATCTCGTTTTGAGGGCTGAATAACCAGCACTTCACCTGGAGAAAGGTTTGCTCTTGCTGCTGGACCCTAGTACAGTGGATCCTGCAGGCCCAAGTTGGGGGCTCTCCCGGAGCCAGTTGGCAGGAGGCAGCTTCAGGTCTGTCTTCTCCTGCAGTAGTGCATAGGTGGTGGGTGGAGGGGCAGCAGAGTACTTCACCACTGCACGGCTCTTTATTTCGTTGTTGCCAAGGCACATCTCCAACTCCTTTGATACACGTCAACAATGGTAGCATTGATGGTAAACTCAGACAACTTAAAAAAGTAGCGTTAGACAGCTAGATTATTGTGAAGTTAGCTACAACTAATTTAATACATTTAAATATCACATGTATGTACAGCTAGCTAGCTATAACATGCATAGACACATAACTGCAGTTCAAAGCTTGCTAGCTACTGTACAGCTTACCTGTCTGCCACTGGCACTATCACCCCCACTGTCATCCACTTCTTCACTTGCACGGTCTGGAAGGACGCCGTCCTCTCGGTTCCCTGGTGCTGAACTCATTTTCTGTCTACAAGCTAGCTACTTGCTACAAAAACGAATGCCGTCCTTAGCTAACTAGCTAGCTTCCTGAAAACGTCAACAACAAATACACAGTGATAAACTAAGCTAATTGCAAGTGTTAGCTAGCTAGCCACTGTAGCTAATCCACCACCTGCTGATTAGCTCCCTAGCTAGCTACCTAGCGTTATAGCTTTACACACGCGACATATTTGTTCATCTGAGCCAAACGATATGAACAAAATTAGCAAGATAGCCAACAATATCACCGTTCTGCAGTCTTCCAGACTGTATCAACACCACTTGCTGCGTTCTGCTGTTTGTTGCTGTTGACAGAACACACGTTTGCGTAAAGCCACAGATTATCCATTATATTGACCAGATACTCTAGCGGCCGCTCTAACAATGAAAATAAATGTCTTCAAAAACGGAAGGCAGTCCGGAGAAGGCAAAATCAGGTGGGACCATTCTAGCCAATGAGAGGGCAGATACGCGTGTGAACAACAGGCACAAAGGTTTCCCCTAGTTAACACAGCCAGAAAGTTATATGTAAAAATTCATGAAAACAAACATTTGGTTTTTGGTTTTAATTTAAGGTTAGGGTTAGGCATGAGGTTAGGCTTAGGTTCAAAATCGCATTTTAAGAAGATACATTGTAGAAATAGCCGGGGTTTATGACTTTGTGGCTGTGGTAACTAGTGACGACCAGGCACAACTCCGATATAAAGTGTTTTTTCTCAAAGTTGCAGCAATGTCACGTGTCCAACTTATATCAGTACACTCGTAACAACCCAATCGTTACGAAACTTCTATTCGATAAAATAAGACACACTTAGTAAATAAGCCATTTAATTTTTTGCTAACCAAATTCGGCACGCTCTCATTGACATCCATATAAAAGCTCCTCGCTTGGTGAGCTTGAAAAAATTACAAACCGTCACCTGCTAGAGAAGAGATTTTGGGCCCAGTTATTCCTCTCGCTTCGCCTCTTCTTCTCTGGTAAAGCAACACATCAGAGCAGGGACACTTTTGAGGAGATGGGAAACTCCATTAGCGTCGTATTACTGCACACTGTGCACGTTGCCCGTACGTTGTCAATGGGCGGCGCGGTGCATTCTGGGTACACTCCGACAAGGCGATCTCGCTCCTTCGAGGAGTCAGTGGAAGTCAATTGGGCGCTAGCACAAAAACCCAACATAAGCACGAATTACGTGAAGAAAAAGCTCAGTATTACAAATATTTTCCTGGATTTCAGATAACTAACTTGTCTTCTGTGATATCGTATAACTTTAAAATCGTGACATTACGTACTTTTGAGGAGAATAGGCAGGTTTCTCGACACATACCCTGATTTTTAGAAGGGATTGCGTGACGACGGTTTAGTAACCGTTTGATGCAGCATAACAACGTAAATGCGATTGGTCGAAAGTCTGCTTGTTGGCGCGTTATACGTTCCTCAATTTATTTCCGCTAGGATTCTTATCTCCTCCTTTTGTAATCTCTTTGATCAGAGTATAGCGCTCACAACTTCCGGGTAAAAAAGCAAAATAAAAGACTGCATGTGCAGGATTATGAATTGAGCCAAACTGCAAATGAAGCTAACAACGATAAGTGTATTTTAATACAACAGGATAAAATACAGTAGCTTATATGATTGGATTTGGACAAACACATATAAAAGAAGGGTGGTTAGGGTTGGACTTTTAGATTGATAGAACATGTCGGTTGTGATGTTTCAACCGATGTACTCTGACTCTTGTTAGTTGCTGCTCCCTTCACAGTTGTTTAATTATGACCCGGATATGCCATTACCTCCTAGAAGCTTCCAGTGAGTTTACAGAAAAGGCTAGACTTTTTTTAATAACATTATATTCATTATCTCTATTCATTATCTTATGTTGTGATTATTTTATTTGTCTATTCTTTACCCTGATTTCTTATCTTTAGCAACATTAATTGTTCCTTTATTTTCACATTCCCTTTCCCCCAGTTAAATTATTATGGAAGGTTAAAGGTCCAATGCAGCCGTTTCTATCTCAATATCAAATTATTTCTGGGTAACAATTATCTAGCCTACCTTACTGTGGTTGTTTTCAATTAAAATGCTAGGACTGTTTGGTAGTGGTCTGAGTGTGGAGGGGAAAACTGAAAACGAGCTGTTATTGGCGGAGAGGTTTGGAACTGCCTTTGTTATTGGTCTATTAACTAATTTACCGCCTGGTGATGTCACAATTTCACAGTATTATTCCAACCTCATAGTGTAGAAATATATATCAAACAAAGTAAAATCAAGGTTTTAATTGCACTGGACCTTTAAATAAAACGGTACCTAACTAGTTTCAAATTAATTTAAGTAAACTGGGGTAAAGCGCCCACTACAAAGAAAAGAAAGACATCATCTTTGGAAGTGTGAGTGACATGGGGCAAACGAGCGGAGACTTCTCAGCCTATCAGACAGACTACTAGGACAGCCAGGACACAGAGGGCGCCACAGAGGGCGTTTTCCAGGAACTATCTGGAGAGGTCAACTGTGGCAGCTGCTGCCCATGCAGGAGAGCACTTTATGTGGTTTGGGAGGCATGATGAGGACCGTCCTGTGTCCCTTGGAGTGCTGGCAGCTACCAACTGCTCCTCCTCATCCAAGCCTTCCAGATACTCCTACCATAGCAGGCATGAGATGAATACACCATATTATCCAGATACTCTTCTTTAGGAAATCTGAAGGCAACACATCTTGATAGTCTTACAAGTGCAATTAAAAAACGCAAACATTGAGATACGGAGATTTTGAATTGTATTATACATTTCTCATTTTACAGTGAAACTGGGTTCTTAAGGGAAAACAGATCAGACTACCACCATCCCTTTTGCTCCTCAGTAATTCATCAAGTCCTGATTAATTACGTAATAAAGGGCCATCTAAAGTACACCATTCATCACAGGATTTAACAAAGTAGATTAAAAACCTTGTAAATTAATCACATCATAAATGAGAAAGATTATTAGATGTGATGGATAAAAGACAAAAGAAGACACTGAGTAGACATTATGGCATTATATTCCTCTACTGATGAAAGATTCACCATTAAAATGCAAGCTTTTTATTTCGAGCTTGGTCGAATTGATACTGCTACAATCCATCTGAGGCACTTCCACCAGCTGAATAGCAAACATGATTGAGATGGAATGTGTGTGTGTGTGATTGTGTGCCTTCCTGTGGTCTGTTCTGTCTTCAGTACTGCGCCTACAGAGGGTTTCGTGGCTAAATTCACAATATCTCCAGCAGATGGCAGCTCTGTATGAGTAATTGTTATAGTCTGACAAGTACTGTAGTTATCTGTTATGTTGTGCATGACCTCATCAAGAAAGACGTCACCTGGCATGGGCCCAGGCTTGGAAAATAAAAAAGGGAGAGAAATCGGAACTTCATGTCAGAGACAGACAAATTAGAGAGTCTGCATGGAAGGGAGCTTGATGATGTTTATTAGACGCGCTACAACATGTCCCAAAGGCTGGCAGATACCCCTCAGCAGCTATCTGTTTCACTGGAACCACTTAAACATGGCCGACTGTACTGGAGCACTGAGGAGAGGAGGGAGAGGAGGAAGGGTCGGGTGTAAGGCAAGGAGAACACCTGCTTGGGATGTCTGTATATTCTCTATGCTGGCAAAGAGAGAGAGAGAGAGAGAGAGAGGCGGGCTTGGGAGCAGCTGCTCTCTTTCAATGAGCACTCTACAGGGAGATTGTTTCACTTTTTTTTATTTCTCTCCGGGGTCTCTATCATGCCTGACCTTTACTTCACTGTTAGATCATACAGTATTTATAGAAGAGATTAATTAGACAATGAGCTGACCTTTTGAACCATCCGTTCTCTCACAGTTAGTAGGTTGGCTGCTGGAGACAGTGGATTGACAGAACATGTGTTCAGTAACCACAGGAGCAGAGAAAGAGTTAGATAGTCACCTGTCTTCTATCTAAGATCGTCCTCTTATCTTTTATCTTCTACCCTATGGGAGACATGCTAAAAATATAACCAAACTATACAGTAATGTAAAGAAAGGTAAAGATGTATCCACCTGGAATCGCAATTCACCATCAAATCACCATCACATATTTTATCTACAGAGGCAGTTGAACTGAACTTGGATAAGGGACGAAGAGTGGAGGTGGTATCAGGGTTTCTGTGTTCTTTGTTTGATTGATGAAAGTTATGAACCGGTAGATTGTGTGACTGTATTAATGCTTGGGGAGAGAATTGTAGATACAGTATTCATGAAGAGGAGCCTCTAGCCGTATTGAGAAGCAGGTGCTGCTTACAAAGTAACACCTGCACCTCTCTGTCTGGCAGTCCGTCAGTCCATCTGTCTGTGAGTTACTTTGGGCTGTATTTTCTGCCTGCACCTGCTGGATAGTGAGGCTGTAGTGCTGGTCTTGGACTTGCCACAACATGCCTGTTCGATGCATTGACTGTGCACCACGCCCCAGCCTCAAGGAGCTCAGCATCAAATCACATTTTATTCGTAAACAACAGGCCCTTCTCAACCAATCAGAGAGAAAGAAAATAGAGCAATAATAATAAAAGTAATAAACCTACACTCGCACGCACGCACACGCACACACACACACACACACACTCTTCATAGAGGAGGAAGAACTCACAGGGGAACACATTGAGAACCATGAACTCAGTTACAGACGACTTGACCCCTTTCTCTGTCTGTATATTTGTAGGTAGTTTTGTTTTTGTTTGCTCTGCCCACTCCACCCACCCTCTGTTCCGACGTAGTGACATATTTTAAATCTCTGTGGCAACAGCGTCCTAATTTATTCAGTTCACAGAGAGGTCAAGAACAACTCCCCCACCCACCCTAACTCTACAAAACTCAGGAAAACCCATTCCCCCCATCATAACCATGATAAGTGAAATAACCCATACTCAATGGACATCATCAATTCCATGATGCATTGTGGGTACATACTGACTGACTGACTGATCTACTAATAATAATGAGTAGTTATTTATGATGCAAGGTAATCTGCAGATCAGTCAGTCGGCAGTCGGCTGCAATGTCGAACGAGTCCTATGTTGTCCATCCACACCATGTTTGTATGCATGTGTGTGTATGTGTGTGTGTATGCACGCGCGAGTGCTACTGTGTATGTTTTTGCATGTTTGTGTGCACACTGTGATGTGTAAATATGGACCAACAAGTGCAAACAGATGCCAGCTGGCGTATCACACTTCCACTCACTGTCTCTCACAGACAAAAGACACAATTCAGTAAACAAGCTTTCAACCACGAAAGCGTACCTTGATGAATATTAAATGAGACACTTTGAAATGAATCGTACCTCTTTGGTACTGGAGGCCCTGTTTGCT